CTGTTTATGAGTCTAATAGGCTCGTGTTCGAGGGAAAATGGCGGTGCAACCATGGTCGCTGAAAATTAATCAAGCCATAATACAGTATTGGATGAACATTATACAGAAATTTGAACGTAACTAAGACAGAGATGTGTGAAGATATATATGAGTTCTTATAATAACATGTCAGGAGTTCTTGTGATAACTGTCACGTAGTTGTCGGAAAACTTTTGTATATACTACAGAAACACTAAAGTCAAAAAATGTTCATTTTCATATTTAAAGTCCTAAATTAAACATAAATGATTAAGCTTGCCTTACATCTTGTATTATGTATCAAATACTAATTTATAGTCCATTTCTATCGTCTCTTGTTTCAAATCTGGTTGTTTTGAGTAAAACATTTATTTGCTAATTCGCACATATTGACCTGTTCATTTGTGATCTTCATCCTGGCCATACATAATTACCTAATTATAATGCAAAGTTGCAAAGATATAGCCCCGGCTAACACATTTATTCCCGATTTTTCATATGTCCTGGAGTTCTTGTGATAAATATAAAGATGCCACAGAGTCCTATGATATCTTTTTTTACGTTAAGTGTGGTTCTTGTGCTCAATCACGGCACGTTTTAGCGGTTTTTTATTTTTCAATATGGTTGTACAGTAGAATCCCTCCTTAAGACCACCCCGGAATTAAGACCACCCCGCTATTAAGACCATTTTTTAAAAGAACGGAATTTGCTGTTCTTTATATCAATAGTAACATGATCCAGAATTAAGACCACCTCGCTTATCCACATTTAAGACCACCAGATTCAGTCCAAATTCATTGTTTTATTCTTTATTTGACCCCACTATTGAGACCACTTATGTTAAAGTCAGCACCTACCTAGATCACAAATTTGTTGTCATTATCTGCTTGAATGCTCTTAGGCATGACATTTGATTTCACAAGGTGTGAAAAACTGTTGTTATTGGGTTATTGTATGAAATAAGGTGAGAAAGTAAATTTTAGAGTAGTTTAATGTTGCTTTCAGCACATTTATTTTGTGAAGAATAAATATCTTATTTGATAGGTGAACTATGTACATCATATAATAATTAATATTGAAATCAGACGAAAGAGAATTTAATGCTAAATTTTTTCAGAAATATATCTACCTCTCATTGGATTAAATATTATAACACACTTTTATATTGTTAAGATACATTTTGTTTGTTCATGCAACATGTACTGATTAAAAAAGGCCTTGGTCATAAAGTATGTAAGCAATAAGAATATTCACATTTAAGACCACCCCGCAATTAAGACCACTTTGGGCCAGTCCCAATGGTGGTCTTAATTGAGGGTTTTCACTGTAATTCATTTTGACACGTAGTACGCTCATCCTTTGCACAAAAATGGGTATATGTAGTGTTGGTTTTGAGTGTATATTATTTCTTACCCCCGTTTCTTGTGCAATTTTATAGTATTTTTGCTTACGTTGATTTCGTTGAATGGAAAAAGGATTGATGTAGAGCATTGAACTACAGGATAAAATGCGCTAAATAATATATGATAGCATATCACCTGTATATCCCTACTTTTTCGTTCGTTATAAATAGCTAATATAAAAATTCTGTCAGTCTATTTCGCATTAACTTCACTCATTAGAGTTTATCTAACCATTAATTTAAACGCCGGGTCAATCTCGATAGCCAGCGACACACTGATAAGAAAAGATTTTAAACGAATCACATAATTGAAGCTACAATCGCTCACATGTCACTTCTTTTGAGCTGTTGAAATCGTTCCATTGTACCCTATTAGCTTCGACCTATTACATAAATTATTGAATGGTAATAAAATTATAGTTATAGACCCTTTCATTTAAGCGAAGAGTTACTTCCCTAAACTTCCATAAACTAAAAACCCACTTTTTTCAATAACTTCTACTCATTGTTTTAATTTAATTCTTGGCTTTAACAACTACGGTGATTCAGAACAATTTGCTAAGCAATAATCTAGCACAGTTGCCTTTGTAAAATTCAAGTAACTTCTGCGTTTTAGTCAAATATTTTTACATAACTTATGTGTTTTATCAGAAATACATGTATGACTGTGTAAGAACTATATTTTTTTTCATGTTTTAGTTATTTTAATTCGTTTTTATTCTCTGTGTATTATGTGATGTGCTAGGTCTCTGATATTCTACGGTATATTTTAAGCAATAATTCTTATTGTTTAAATTGTCTGTATCACTTTTATTATCTGTTTTTTAGCATTTTTTTAACACTGCATTCATGTTAAAACAGTATCATTATGGGACTTTTTCAGTTTTGACGTAAATGGGGATAGTAAATTCTGATTGTTTAATTACGATTATAACATGAAAAATTTGACTCATACATACATAAGAATTTAAAAAAAAACCAAAGATTAAGATTTATTCTTCCTATGGGGTAAAACAACGGAATTTCAATGTGAATATATCTATAAGATTTTCTCTAATGCCAGGACAAAAAGCTAGTTAATAAATCAAATAGTAATATTTCATGGACACCCATACACTGTTAAATTACCTTATACAAATTTAAAAGGTCATTTTCTACTTTTCTGTGTGATTTTCTGTCATTTAGAAAATTCCGGCGTTTTTTTGACAAACATGAAAATAAAATTGTCAATGTCTTTTTAATGATTGTTTTTCAAGCTGAAAAACAGGAGCAGAATGCATTATGTCAAGACTTATTGATCGTCGTTTTTCATTATACCATATAAAAAATCTTTCAAAGAACCAGTGAAGGATATAATTTTATAAAACTATCCTGAATGAACGAAAACCACGTGGCTAAGATTCGCAACAGACTATAGTATGGTGGCTGATTTGTGCCATTCGTATTTTCGCCCCGCGCCCCCGCCATTTTAATTTGTTAATTCTCGACTTTTCGCTTGTCAGGGTCGCGGGACGAAAACACGCTAATTAGCGGGGACGCCGGGCGAAGTTTTTTCATTAAACTTCGCCCCGCGCCCTGCCGTTTTATTTCTTAATTCTAGCTCCGCGCCCTCGCGGGGCGAAGTTTTATTTGTTAAACTTCGCCGCGCGCCCCCGCTAATTAGCGTGTTTTCGTTCCGCGACCCCGCCATTTAAACTTGTAAATTCTCGACTTTTCGCTTGGCGGGGTCGCGGGACGAAAACACGCTAATTAGCGGGGCGCGGGGCGAAGTTTTATTTTATTAAATTTCGCCCCGCGCCCCCGCCGTTTTATTTCTTAATTCTCGCTCCGCGCCCTCGCGGGGCGAAGTTTTATTTATTAAACTTCGCCGCGCGCCCCCGCTAATTAGCGTGTTTTCGCTCCGCGACCCCGCCATTTTAACTTGTAAATTCTCGACTTTTCGCTTGGCGGGGTGGCGGGACGAAAACACAAATGGCACAAATCAGCCACCATAGTTTTGAGATGATATTATTGTTTCTGTTTTGAATAAAATAAAACTTCGCCCCGCGCCCCCGCTAATTAGCTAATCGGCGGGGGCGAGGGGCGAAAACATAAATGGCACAAATCAGCCACTATACGATAGTAAGATAATTTTGATATTACAAATATATTCTTATAATTATGAAAATAAAAGACCTTTTCTCAGTATTTTATTTTATAAATAAATAGATTTGTATATATAAGCGGTACTGGGTCGTAACATGTTAATTAACATACAAAGTTCACAGTAAGAAGTCACAGGGTGCATAATTATGTTGTATTTACAAGCGACATTTGAAATCACCAAGGTGCATATTTTAGAGTTATTACATTACAACAGATAACGTCACTTAACGGCATCCGTATTTGGTTATGGATCATCCTAGGGACTGGTGCCTAACTTATTTGATACTCCAGTCAAAAATTCGTTAAATCATAATTCAGTTAAAAACGAATTTCTGTGTATAACTTGTTTTTTGTTGTCCTTTTTTTTTTTCTTTTTTTTTTTGGTGATTAAAAAAAGATAAACAGAATATGCATAAAACAAAAATATCAAGTTGAAAATATCACTTTACAAGTTTTAATATAATATGTAGTGCATGCATTGGCATGATGTACGATTTTTTGAGAGTGCCTTTTTTTACCGACACAAACATTATACAGTCATGTACATTTAAAAGAATTGTTACTTTTATGCTTTTACTTTTTTTTTGAAATTAGATAGATTTATGTTATTGTTTTTCTTTTCCTCACTATCTTGCAATTAATTGTTTTCGAAACCACAAAATTCTTACATTTTTGAAACTCAAAATATCTCTTTGGTCCTGTGTATTAGCAGAGACATAGATACATTATGTATATCTCTGTAGTGCTATTTAACTGCCCGGTAAAACACGGTGCGACAATTTTTCATTATTAAGAATCAATCAAAAATGGAAACCATGATCAGTTACCCAGCCATAACTATTGTCTAATATTGAAACAAATGGTTAACCTTATCATGGTAAACATTTTATTAATCTTTTTTTATTTTGCCAATTTCAATCTGCCCATCAAGATTGTAATATCCCTCTGTTAATGTACTTAATCGTACCGTATCCCCCAATGACGTCATCCAGGGGCGAAAACTTGAATCCAGTCTCTTATAAGCTAATTGAACACACAAAAAATGAGCACAATGCTTTTTATTAAAAGATTCAATTAAACCCAGGCCAAGCGACGAATAACGTCACGTTAAAATGAATACATGGCCATACAATATCATTTTTACCGAGTGCAAAATCGGCACGGGTATGTGATAAAATAGTTAATGGTCGCCGACTGATGGTGCGTAACTTAAAAATGTGACAAACAAGGCGGCGCCCAACGAACGCAACCCCCACACGACCCAGCAACAAGAACCAGTGGCAAGGAGCCCAGGCGGGCCCCAAACAAAACCAGGACAGGGTACAAGGCAGAGCACGCACAGGCTAATCACCAAAATGATAAATAATTTGTAACTGATAAGATTTTCAAAGAAAGACTACCTTTATTTAAAAAACAATGGCGAGGCACAATAAGATATAAGTGTTTTAAGTTGATATTGTACTTGTTATTTCAGAAAAAAATATAACTGAGATGAATCCTGAGGATAGAATCAATAACCCACAATATCTAAACTGGATCAAAGGAACTTTAGCCCTCATGCATTTGTGTGACGTCGTCCGTAACTATACTTATCACATATTTGATAAGTTCTTGGATACTATTTCAAACCGTCGACATTATAACAATGGATCAAATTATAAATTTTTGGCTGATAATACGAAATGGGATTCCAGTAAGTGGAGGTACACAACGATTTATCAATGCGTGTGTCAATCTTTATTCAGAGAAATACTAAGACTTCACTTCTTTGGCGATAAACGTATTGGTTTTACAAACTGCAAAGACAAATATGTTGGAGGACCATGGGGTTTAGCAAAGTTTTTTATGCCAGTGAGCAAGTATTGTGCTGACATTGAAACACCTGGAGAAACGGAACCTACTATTGTCTTAAAGATGATTCAAAACTGTCGTCTTTTCGACAATATCGCACATGCAAATATTGACATTGTAAGTATTTTGGCCACCTTTAAAACTTTAAGTGGAATAAAAATATATTTAAGACATTTTTTACTTTTTAACACACAAATAAAAGGATATGTCACTCCGCTTGAGGGTTCTGCAACAATATAGAATATGAAAGAAATTATACCAAAGCGGATGCACAGCCTTGTAGGAGCACATTTGTCTCGGAGCACATTTGTCTTACGTAAGACCGATGCGAACGCATTTGTCCCACATAAGACAAATGGGACCTCAAATGCCTACCAAAAAAAAAAAAACTCATTTGTGTGACAAATGTGCTCCGATCAAGTTTTTTAAGGGACAAGAAAGCACATTTGTCTCATGTGTTTTTAACGGACAAGAAAGCACATTTGTCTCATGTTATTTTTTATGAATTATTTGTCACATATTTCCCCACGGCAGAAATTCTTTCTTAGAATCGAGGTTCGCCGTTTTACCTCAAGTGTAATCATCAATAGGTTTGCTTATGCTTTCTTTATGAAAACCTACATTGAACTATTAATTATAGTATCTCTAATTCAAGAAATTGATTGGCTTAACCTGAAGGCGTACACTGAAACATACTAAATCCCGTTCACGATGGTACAATGGTGACAGCGCGATGGCACCATGGTACGTTGATGACAACGCGATGGTGCGATGGTGAAAACTGAAAACACAATGGTACGAACGTGAAACAACGATTGTACGATGGTAAAACAACGAAGGCTCGATGATGAAAACGTGATGGTACTATGGTGAAAGACGGTGTTACGATGGTGAAAATACATAGGTACGATAATATTATGATAAAACTGCGATGGCATGATGATGAAAACGTGATATTATTTTCTCTATCATGTCATCGCACCATCGTGATTTCACCATCGTGCCATCGTGTTTTAATCATCGTACCATCGTACCATCTCAATTTCACCTTTGTACCATTGTGCATAGCTGTTCAGGGAGACAATAATGTTACTTATGTCCAAACGGAACACCGTAATCGGTTGATATTGACTGATACAATATCGTGACTCGTTTCGTATCTCGCCGAAATCATGCGTCTCGCGAAATCTCGCGTCTCGCTTCGCATCCCGTTGGTCGACGCGAGACAAGAAATTGATTCCAGGTCATAAACCGCTAAGTAGTTTTCCCTTTATAGTCTACATAAAATCACTTAAAGGCCCATTATGCCTGAGAAATGCTTTTTTTGTATTCCTCAAAAGCTTTTTATTTTTGGTATACTTTTATAGCTCCAAAAAGTTACTCATTGGCCAATTACCTGAAGCATTTTTCATCTGCTGCCTTTTTGCAGTTTGTACAGTTGAAATGATTCAGAATTTTGCATTGAAGTCAAAGTACTACATTGTTTACATTTTGTTACTTTTATGACGCATTATTTCACATTTATCGCGAATTTCTTTGGGTTACAAGCATCTAACTTCCTCAGAAATCATTATTTGAATATTAATAAATTCATACATGCCCTATCTAAAGAAGTTAAAATTTATTCATTTTTGAAATCTCTTGGTACGGGATACTTCGACATTGCGAGATCTCCTGTTACAATATCGTGCCTCGCTTCGTGTCTCGTCGCGTCTCGCCCGATTCTGATTATTTTAGGAACCCATGCATGTTGTAAGTGCCTTTTCAATGACGAATCTGAAAGCCGAAATTCTTAGAAAATGACGATTTTTTATACATATATTTCTGATGAAAACGAAATACGTGTGTAATGGTCTTCTTATTTTCTCCATAGATCATATAAGGGCCTCCGAGGCCGAGTGATTTCAAAAAACCACTTGCCCCTAACAGCTGTAGGTTCGACACTAACACGGGGCGTCGAACTATTTATGCGAAGATCCCAGTCAGGTTCCAAATGCGCAATACGTACATATGCGCGTGTGCACGTAATAGCTATCGCGTGCGTACGTTATAGTATCGCGTGGCCACGGAAAAGCTATAGTGTGCGCACGTAATAAATAAGAAAATTCTATGTTCCCTTTATGCCACCGTAGATACTACCTTGTTTTTGCTAAGAATAATACATGTGCCATTAATCATCTATAAAACTTTAAGCATTGAAAAGAAAAGTATCACAATTAATAACGATAAGGGTAGAGTTGCTGCATATGTGTTTAGGTTCTGGGTGCTACACTTTTTCATTGTGACATGCAGAACAGGGATATTCTTTAATTTGAATCCTATGCAGAGGCAGGGAGTTTTTGACTTACCGGAAGTGACCTAAAAACGGTATTATAAATATACATTGTAGAAAACACAGAACAGTGGCTGGTAGCCGGTATACAGATGGACATAATTTAATTACCCTTTAATATTTTTATCGAAAAATGTGAGACAAATGTGTTTCGAGTGTCCTTTCTATTGTGTGTCGAACACATCTGTCTCATTTCCAATTTGCCGCAAATATGAAGGTTTACGAACACATCGGTCACACTTCGTGAGACAAATGTGCTCCGACACAAATGTGCTCCTACACAGCCTAGTTATTTCTTCAAACAAGCATATTCATAGTATTTAATAATTCCTATTAATTGCACAATGCCTATTAGAGAAATATATATAATGACAATGAATTTATTCGTAATATAGCTCAAAATACAATCAGATTTTCTATTTAACAAAGAGTGATGAATGAATATATATAAACATATGAGTATATTTACAAGTATGTAATATGCTGATATAAAGTTAATTTAATTGTGAATTTGCAACCTGTAATTAAGCCTTGACAATCGCAGAATGTATATGATTAATTTAACAATTTCATTATTAGTCGTGCAGAGTATTTGAGTTCCCGCTGCATGAATAAAGAATATTTAAAGGGCATTAATCTATAACTTATGATTTTCTTTTATACTTTAAGACGGGTTAAGTTATGTTGCTTCCACTATATTATTGTCGATTTTTCTTGCATTCAACATGCATGCATGATGTACATAAACAATAAAATGTCACAAGACATGTGGCTATTTTAAGCTTAAAATATCATCTACTTAAAATGATCTATTTTTTCTATAAATTTTCGTATGAAATTGCAAACATCGATGCCAGACAGGTAGATCGATTGTTTTAATAAAATTCGGTATGTCGCAATTTACCATGCTCAATCTTATGTCTTAAATGCAGATAATTGAAAGTAGAAATGCGATGATGCATTCGCCATTGAATAATGTAAATGATGCAGACTTGAAGAAGTACATTGATGCTATGGTCGACTTTTTGAGAGATGCTTTGAAATCGCAGATAAAAGACAACATTCGACAGCAGCTGAACAAAGCTCAGGAGGAAATCCGTCAGGTAGTCTTAATTTTATCCTATAAACTAAAATTAATTTTAGCTGTAGCAGAAAAGCGTTCTTTTTAAGCTATTATTTAATCTCAGAATCAATGAAATATTACAACTAAGTAAACGAAACTTTTCTTTCGATTAAAGCTGAGGTATGCAGATATGAGAGTCGATCTGCTTCCAGAAAATGCAGAGAGAGCGATAAACTTCAAGAAAAGATTGGTCATTGGTAGTATAAAGAGAGAGTATGAAGAGGCCGATGTTGCTAAATTAGGTGAATATCTCGACATCCTGGATGAACTCGGAGGTGATCTTCTAGCGTGGAATAAAAAGAGCTGGGAAATCGGGAAGCTAAAAGAAATTGGAAATTACCGGGAGATGCTGGATAAAGCGTTAGCAGAAAAAGATGAAGCGATAAAAAGTTTGAATGAAACGAGAGAAGAGCTTGATAATGTTAAGATTGAATTCAATGACACGAAGAACAAACTACATGAAGCAGAAACTAAAATAATTACTATACAAAGAGAGCTTAAAGATACACAAGAAAGATTGGATGCAATTACCGAAGAAAATAAAGATAAACAAGACGAGTTAAATACCACCAAAAACCAATTAGATTCAGCAACCAAAGAAAATGAAAGACTACAAGACGAACTGAATGATACAATAGAAAAATTAGATGCGGCAACAGAAGAAAATGTAAGACAACGGAACCAATTGAAAACAACACATGAAAGATTAGATGTAGCAATTAAAGAATCGAATGAAGTTTATCATGTTTGTAAAATTTTTGCTATCATTTCACTCTTTGTGGCTTTGATTTTGGTATATTTTTGAAGCATCTTATTGTTTTCATGACGATTCGCTCGCTTAAACATTGAACATTATGAATCGACACATGTACGTATGTCATGTTCTTCGAAGGCATTAAAAGTCTGCAAACAAAAAAATGCACCAGCCACGTTTACGTATTGTACTTAAATTTTTAATTACAGAACTTCTATGCTTAACTACAAGGGTTGTTGGTAGGCGACAATGTGTGTAGTTTACTCTGAAATAATTATAAGCTATCTACCCTGAAGGCGTAAAATATAGCATTATATAAACAATATTGGCGATGGGCATTGTAAAATGTTTTGCCAATAAAAATCTTGAATCTTGAAAATTATCGAGAGCGGGACGTTGTCATAGATACCGAATTTAACACGATCTAGACATTCAAAAAAAAAAACAACACAAAAGACAATATTTTATAATAAAAAGATAGGATTCAGTTTTGCTGATGGTCAACAAACGTATTCAAATACTTTATCAAGCAAATACATTTAGTTCATGATAAAGAGACTTAACTCTTAGTCTTTTTAGTTGCAAAGCAAATAGCGAACAGATAAAATACAATTGCCAGGAGTGTCGCTAGACAAGTTGTTAGAAGAAATCTTTTTGCAGCCCTGTTGATGTTGTTATTCTGTTAGAGATATGTTTCTAATTTGTCTTTAAGTATGAAAATAAATTGCTCGTAAGAAATCTTTATGTACTTTGTTATAATCATGTCTTAATCATGTTCATTATTTTATGTTGCTCATATATGGTATATTTAGTGGCAAGAGGAAAACAATTTTGAAAAGGGTTACATACAAAATGTTTTCAGTGAAGGTGTAACAGCGAATATATTATTGTTTGTTTGCGTTTTACGTTGCACCAACACATATGGCAACTTTCCAGTTTTACTGGTGGAGTAGGGATGATATCGTTATAGAAAATATATAATGGAGATGTAAAATAAAGGTGTATCTGTGTAAATATTATCATGTTGATGATCATCATGATAATATTGTTACTTCTAATTAGTTTACTGACAACTAAGAATGTACGAGTCTTTTTTAATCTAAAAATATTGTATGTACTTACTAATTGTGAATAAGATAGAAAATAAATATTTATAACAGTGTGTAAGTAGCACATCTTGAATTAATCTATATTCCATTATACTAACATTTAAGAAGTGATAATAGTTTGTCTATTTGAAATGTAACAGTCTGTGTTTAACTGTCTTATATCTAATCTGAAATAAATTTTTATAAATCAAATATCTTTCAGTCTTTATCACAAACTTAATTTTTACTTGAAATATCAGTCACACTTATGCTGGTTTTAAGTAAAACAAATGTTTTAGTAGAATTGTCATGTATTTTAATGTCTGCATGTGGGTTAGTTTACATGTACAATTTCTCTAAAAGTTGTATGCTACAACTAGACATATTGATGGTGGTGACAGTGATGGGAAAATTATATGTACAACATATTTTTGAGATATTATTATGCAGCTGAAGACCTCAAGCGACAATAGATCATCAGTTTATCATTCTTGGTGCCACAATAGATGAAAGAGGAAAAGTGAAAACAACTTGGTCAAGTATTTCAGTCTTGAAGATCAAGTAATTTTAAAATATTTCACCAGTTTAACACCACAGTTGTCCATTGAAGTATGCCTAGGGCATAAAAAGACAGGGTTTAGGATCTTTCGTCTCTGATGCCTGGACAACTACATGTAGCTTAACATTTTGATCAGATATAGTATATCCGAGGTCCTAATGAATGAAAATATGTGACTGCAACCACAATACCATGGGGCGGGGAATTAATTAAAGGAGACACAAAGAGCCAAATATTGTGGGACACACCGATATGTGACACACTCTAAAACTCTCAAGTCCAACAACAATCAAGGTAAATAAGGTAAGTTGAATATATATATGATTATCAAAGTTTTCTTTGATAAAATGATCAACGACAGTTTTAATGAGTTTTTAATACTTTAATTTAGCCATCTGCTAATTTTCTATTCTCAGTTAAAACAAAAATATATACAAAACTACATTGTAACAAAATATGAAATAACTTTGGTACTGTGTACAAAACCTACATAACTCTTAACTGCTCAACTAAAATGAACCTACAACTAAATGAGGCATTTAATCAAAAATATCTCCAAAAAAAATAATCTTAAGACAAAACTAAAAACTAAGCACAAGTTTCACTTTATTACCTTTTAAGTTAGTACTGTTGATATGTAACACAGATCTAACAACAAACTGACATTATTTGAAAATCTTTGTAAAAAGAAAACAACAAAACAAGGTCAACTCTTAAGAAAAAAAATCTTACTAACAGCATAATGTTGCCAAATCATTTATTAAGTCAAATAATAAACATAATAGTATCAACTAACAGGGTACAGTTTTACTCTCCTGTGAATTATATCAGTACATATTATTTATTTGTTAACATTAATAAGAATACAAACTTCTAACAGAATATGCTAATACAAGTCTTGAACTATTTTGAACTTGCAACTGATAAAGGTGATTAAACAATAACATGGATTCTACAAAATGAATGCTGAACTGATTATTCTGTTCTTAAATTAACAGACACATCATGTTACATTTGAAGATTGAATGTTTTTTTAAAAACCTTTTATAGTTCACCAAGTCCTTTCAATTATTAACTACTCCAGTCTTTTGAACTTCAGATCCTTGAACCATCACACTTCATTTTCCAATTTTCTCATATTTTACCATTTTCACACTTTAAATCATCAATTTTTACTTTTACACCATTTATGAATGATAGTAATGAAGAAGAAAGCACCAATTTATTTGATCAAGGACTCTGAGGCCATGAGTAACATTTTCAGTGATCTTGTCACCTTGTCATTAGGGTGAGCTGGGATATATATTCTTAGTTTTTGGTTTAGGGCATACAACACTCCTTTCATATGTTCCTGTGTGACAGAATCATGGGGGTCAAGGTTCATCACAGCTTCTTCCAAGTATCTGAAAAATTATAGAGAAAATTCTTGTTAAATAAACCTACAACAATTTGTTTACATATAAATGAGCATAATCATTTGGAAAAAAAAATCATAAAGCAGCATGCTCTTTTTTCTCAGTACTCAACAATGAATTGAAAATCTTGCTTTCAATAACCAGTAAGGGAGGTAATTAAACAAGTGAGGGAGATAATTCGATAATTCAAAACATATATCATAGTAACCTCCCTTGGCAACAAACTGGAGGAATCACAATACATATGCATTTAAAGACAAGGCAATAGTTCTGAATGTTTTTAGTTTATTAAGTGAAACAAAAAAAAGTTATTTGATGCTGATTTGTGAGAAAAAGTGGCATGTTCCAAAATATTCTTTTACCAACCTTTTAAAAAAGATTTCTAAGGTCTTTAAGTAATTTGAATAGCTAAAATCTTTTAACTTAATCACTCTATGAATTTTATCACTTTCTACATTTTCATAAAATATAAGAGGCATTCTTCTTTAATATTCAAGACAAAATATTATGAGATAACTAACTAAGTTAGCCTTGGTGTCAAAGAGTGAGAAAAGTCAAATTAAAACTTGAACCAGAGACCTTTGGAAAACCAGTTCTGGAGCTCTACAGATTGAGTTACGGCCCCTTTACGCATTTTTTCTCAATTTGAAACCGTGAGAAATTAAACTGACTCACAGCTATACTATGATGGTTTCTCATTGGACACAAACTATGACAGGGTGAGACTTACTTGTATTTAAGATCTGTATGATTCTCTAGATCAGCTGACAGCTGCTGTATGAGTGATAGGAGGACAGGCTGATGTAACGGACATGGTTGCTGGTTGAAAACTTGTGATGGATTTACTGTCTCACATAGACTCATCACAAGTTCAAGGTTAGCCGCTGACAATGCCTGAAATTAACATCATAAATATTGTATACTTGATTCAAATCATTAATCATTTGCTCATTCTCTTGTTTTACCTCTTATGCTAGTATTCACCTATTTTGATCAAGAAATATATATCTTGTTAAATCATAAAATAAACCAATAAATTTCCACATATAGGCACTCTCAAGTTATCTCATTTCAATTGAACAAAGATAAAAGCCTTTTCTAATACTTAAGGACATTTTTCCTTGATAAGTAGTCTTTCTTCTAGTAAAATAAGAAGTCTTTATTAAAATTCTATATAAATCTTTACTTTATACTTGTACATGTATCTGCATATTCATGAAGTTTTTATGGTTTATGTTGAAATGCAAGACTCAGTAAGTACATTGTACAAAATATAAGGGGAAATGTCAGACGAAGTAAAGAACAGCAAAACTACAAAATGTTTTAGCCAACATAAATGCTTGTGATATCCAGGGCTTCCATTAAGTTTCAAAGACTACAAATCTCTGATATTGGAAGTCACATTATATAGGTAAAGAAGGAAAAGCAATAAATTTTGGAAGTCACAAGCCAAAATCATGGAGTAAATAACTCCCAAACTTCCATTAACGGAAGCCTTGGATATTAATAGCATAAACTTTGCTCCACTTACCTGCTGAAATGCTGCATTTAGCTGCCCTTGTCGTAACAGATTCAGTATGTGTGTTTTCTCTACCTGAGGGTCAGGGGTCGCTCTCATTGGTGTCACTGCCCCTGACCTCATAGCATTAAGAACACTATCACTGATGGAGCTTCCCTGCTCCCTCATAGCAACCGCTACCTCTTCCCTCACAGCTTCCCTCACATACTGGGACATATCATCTTGTAACCTGTTAGATAAGTACAACACATTTACCTTTTCTTGAATAAACAATTACAACAGCTTAACTACACAAATTAATACAGTCTTTCCGAAAGACCGTCGGCCCTGACCGGTAAAAATTCAGAAGGTCCGGTAAAAATATATGTATTGACGGCCCGACGGTCCTGTAAAGAGTTAAGGTTTTTTATTAAAAACCTTACATTCAACATTTTGCAAAGGCCAATCATTTACCTAAATTCAAAACATATCAAAATATTGTCATTACACAATATAAGCTCGTGCAATGCTTGTCAACTGTTATGCATTCTCATAATGCAAACTTTTATGTAACTACGTAAGATAAAAATATCCGACAACTAGTACAATTAAAAGTCAATAAGCGGCCGCGTAAATTACATAAGCGGCCCAGATGTGAAAGGTCACCGGCTATTAGTTTGTTTACACAGATGAAAGTGTCAGTGTATTAATTGGAACAATTTACGTCTTTAATCCACAGACTTAGAGTAATGCTTAATTACACGTGTGCTCAACTGTTTAGCTATGAAGGATCGTCCAAGATGTTGACAAAAATTAAACTATACTGTGAAGGTACCAAAATCATTGAACAATTAATCTGTCAACTTCACTAAATTACCGATATACATGTATATAATTCTGTTTACATATGCCAGACTTTTGCTGAAATTTACCCTCTCATTTTGCTAGTATATAGTCTGTATGGAATTAAAGTTTAAATAGCAAAATCCATTGAATACATGTATAACAATATTTATGTTTACATTTTGATTGTGGTAAAAAAAGATAACTTCACTTTGTTGATAATATAGTTTTCTTTTTGTACACAAATTTTTTGACTGCTGACACTTATCAAGTGACTCAAAATGCTATACCAATCAGGTTTTTTTCGGTCCAGTAAAATCATGTTTGGTCTAGTAAAAATTATTAGTTTACAGGACCTACTGTCCAGTAAAACTCAGAAGTCTTTCGCATAGACTGTTAATAAAATGGCATTTTCATACTTTAAATTTAGAACCCTGCAGTACATATGATGCTAGAATGGAATGCAGGCCTGATACTTTATATGAAACTTATAAGTATTTTCACAATAAGAACTATACAAGTTAAATTCTAATTAGCCAAAAAAGCTTACGGTTATTTTAAATGTACATAAATGCCACTGTCACTTGCCATGGAAATTTCAGATAAGTTCATTTAACTTTCCATTATTGTATGAAACTTACAGAGACATATTCATAAAACTTATTCTGCTGTTTTATCCTATCTCTATCTGAAAATATGACTTATGATCACTGTAACAGATAGGACATCTTTTTCTTCATCTGTTTAGTTTTAAGTCACAACACTGCCAAAGACATGTGATGACTTTCTAGCTTTCCTACAAGTTTCCCCTCTGAGTTACATTCCAGGCACAAACAGGGACCAAAATGGAAAAATATACCACCAGCAAACTTGTTTTCCCCACATGGAAAAAAAGGTATTAAAATATAGAACATTTACCTTGATAGAGATTTATGGACTTCATTACTGAGTTGAGATTGTATTGTTGCTATCACATGAGATTTCATTTGTTCAGCTGAGGTTTGGAAGGAATCAGTAAGTTTTCGTAATTCTGCTACAACTGGATCACGTGCTTCTACATGTTTCTGTCGAATACTGTCGAGATGTGATTCCAGTTGTCTAGTATCTGTAAAGTAAGATCAGATACCAGGATACAGCTTGAATCTATTAAGGATTTATGTATTTGAAGTTTGAGGCAGAAACCTTTAAAACTAAAAAAGTTATAGCAAAAAATAACAACTGAGCGACTTAACGATAAACATAAGTTTCCCATTGACTTTTGCAGCATATTCTGCTGTCAATATTACTCTGCATGAGTACAAGGGTGAATTTTCAATTTCAAGGATACAGGCAATTCTAAGCATTACACAAACCGGGTACCAAACTTGTTACACATCTTCATAGTTAACTCACTTACAAATGATTTGGTCAAAATAGCAAGGTTTTATGTCAATTATCTTACAGTCAGTATCAGCCTTGTATGAGAACTTGATAGCATGCTTGTGTATAAATAATTTACAGTTGTAATTTCACACCACTAAAAAAAGATGGCAAGTCCGGAAGCTTATTATCACATTGTCATGGTGACTAGAACATTAAAATTTAACCCGACTAATAAAGACAAAACAAGCTCAAACTTACATTCTTTTGTACCCCTCTGGAAGGTATCTGTAACTTGCTGGTACATGTTTTGTGTAGTTCTCTCAAATGAAGGTATAACAATATTCTGGAATGCTTCTCGATATGCAGCCTGCATTGGTGCCTGTATGGCATTGCCTGCTGCCACACCCACAGCCTCTACTGTTTGCTAGAAAACAATGGAATATTGTAAATCTAAGATTAATGGTATAAATTGTACAAGTTTCCTGTAATTCCACAGAAGATCCATCAAAAAGACAAGTGTCATGACCCTATATTGTTCATTTGAACTGTAGCGCTCAAAAAAGACTTCACAATAGTTCCAAAATTAACAAGTAGAAGCAGGTTGTATATCTCCATACAACTGCTAAAGGCAGAAAATGCAATCTTATCCTTAGCAGTCTGTCAAGACTAATTTTTGTGAAAGAATTAAAATTAAACTCAAACTTCAGTCTTTAACAAGATTTTCAAAAAAATTCCTTCATAATGATCAGAAAATATCTGAAACACACACCCGCCTCAATCAAATTAATTCAACAATCTTAATACATTCAAAATAGTTCTGGTAAACTGTATGAACCAATTCATCATCTATAAATATGGAAACTGTTCATAAATATAATTACATGAATTTGAACTAAAAATGCAAACATGGCATTTCTTTTCATATAATCCTTCACCAAGAAGAACCTTTTTCTCAACAAGTTAAGCTAATCAACAGACATGCAAACCCATGTGGTCTTTATCCATGTTACCAATATACCCAGCCAAAATTCATTACAACAATAAACACATACCCGTGATCTGAATGTCTTGGCAATGTGGGAAGCATTTTCTCTGATGAGGGAATCAGCTGCTGTCAGTTTCTGTGTCATGTCTTGATGTATCTGGTCTTTTACAGGTTCCAATACTTTTGTTATACCTACATAATATAGTTAATACACAGGATAGATAAAACACACTAACAATCAATCATCTCTGATAAAATTTCACTTCAATGATGCAAAAAAATTCTTTTAACTTCAACACTTGGACATCTTCTTCAATAAAATTCTATTCTTTTCTACAGCAGACAAATACTTTCTTATCACACATTGTTTTAATAGCTCAATAACAGTACTTACTTGCATAAATTGTCCCCCCAAATTTTTAAGGATTTAGTGCATAACAATTGTAACATGCATGTGATAAAAGAGATGCCAGAATTTTACACTAAATCTACATTAGAATGAATGAAGGGAGGCAACTTGTTTTCAGAATGAAAAATACACATCGATAAAAAGAAAAAGGAAAACTGTTTCCACATCCAAATTGTATGTAGACCAAAATATTTAATCTATAAAGATGTATGAAAAATCTTTTTATAGAAATAGTTTTGATCAAATGTTAATAATAGAAAATATTATTTCTACAAAAATATAAATTCTAATATGCTTTTACTATAGCGACTTACTGGGAACAATAGTGCTACGAACTACTTTATCCATGTGACTGTTTACTGCCTGTGCGAGTGACGTAGCTACTGTATTCTGTAATCTCTCTTGCTTACGTTCATCACGAGCCTCTGCTTGTCTCAATATATCCTGTACTCTCTGATGTTAACATGCGTTAAGGTTATCATAATACAAAATATGTTGCCATAGTAAGTAACTTAGTCTGCCCCCTATTAATTTTACTAAGTATTTTACTTCATAATAGGAATTTTTCTTTCTTTTTAAATCTTTGTACCACTTTTGAAAGCGGGTTTAGTAGTATCTTAATTTCTATCATGTTTAATTTGTATATGGTACTTTAATGACTTTCAGTTGGAAAAAGGAACTGTCCAATGTTTTGATATTTACTTGCTAATTTTAGGAGACATTTGTATATGAAATTGCACCAGTAGTTTATGAGGAGTAGTGGGGACAAGCTTTTGTGTATCTGGCAACACACAGAAAAAAAACACCTTTTTATCAAAGGGCCATAACTCGGCCAAAAATCATTCAACAGGAAAACCCGTGCAATATGCGCAAGGACTTGAGCTACAGATCAATCCTGTAAAGTTTCATTGAAATTGCATTAGTGGTATAAGAGAAGTAGTCTGGACAAACTTTAAAAATTATTAAAGGGCCATAACTCTGACAAAAATCATTGAACCGGAAAATGCTGACAATATGCACAACTAGACTTGGTACTGATCATTCCTGTAAAGTTTGGATGAAATTGCACCAGTAGTTTATGAGGAGTAGTCCGGACAAGTATTGTGACGGACAGACAGACAGACAGACGGACAGTCAGACGACGGAGAAGTGATCCCTATATGTCGCCTCCGTAGAGGCGACACAAAAACTGACAGTATGTAAATTTATAACAAAGGAAGTTTATTGAAAAATTTAGTTGTCAAAGGGTCGATGGATATTTTCTCTCTGAAATCCTATATTTTAACAATAAACAGTTCTAACAGCAGGTCAATTTTAATTGTGTACAAATCTAGTCGTCTTATAAAGATTTGTTAAAAGGATATTTTCTTTCTGTGAGTGTTGGTTAAACAATCTTTCTACCCTTGATGTAACAATGTTCTCTAGTTTACCAAGATGTTCCTCTATACTTGGCTGAGCACCTTCCGATACCTGATGTAACTGTTCCTGTTCTAGCTGCCGACGTCGTAACTAAAACAACAACACAATTATCATATAATTCATAATTGTTCCAAATTGACCTGATCCCTCAACAGAAAATACTCTATAGCAAGTTTTGATTGAAATAAAAAGTAATGGATCACAATAACAATAGAAGTTTATAATTTCACAAAGAAATACATGTTTCTTTTCCAAATAGGCAGGAAAAGGCCTGACTTTTTTTGAGGCAGTAACAATGGTAAACGTTTAGTTTATGGAAATTTGAAAAGAAACACTGGAAAATACACAGAACTACCTCTGTACAACAACTACCTCTGTGCAGCAACTACCTCTGTACAACAACAGTTTCAAATTTTCCAAGGTAAAATTTCAAAATAGATTTAACCTCTCTACAACAACACCTCTCAGCAACACCTCTCGTCTTCCAAAGGGGGGTTGCTCTGCAGAGGCTATACTGTAAATTTTGATTTACCTCAAGATAATTTTCTTGTTGAGCAGACATATTGTGTTTCAGAAATTCCAGTTGTTGTTGTTGATTCTGTATAGCTTGAAGTATGGCAGCCATACTGGAATGTAACTGTAACAAAAATAATAAATTTTGTTATCACTCTCTAAACAATAAGATAATTATTGTGTAAATATCATAACACTACAGTAATTACTTAAGTTGAAATGAAATAAAATTCATAAATTCTTTTAGACACTAAAAATGTAGGCATATCATTTTCAAGCTTTATTATGCAAGTAAGTACAGCCATGAATAAGGTTATGCGACATAATTTTTCAGATATTATCTTTTGGTAATAAGAACAGCATAACAACCATTTATTCATCTCGAACATACTGTAAAGTCTTTATTCAACACCAGAAACATTTGATTTGACCCTAGGTCAGTTTTTTTACAATTATCCCACTACATTGGTATAAATGACATATAATGATTCTGACCTACTCATTATCAATATGATAGGTTTCAACAGGAAAACACTAAAATTAAATAACCAACAAAACATAGACATGGTCTAATCAGCCTGCATTGATGTACAGGCTAACCTGGCTCTATATTGGTGACATCGGTAAATCAACACACAATCATTGCTCTACCCAGCTAGCTTACGGAACATCGGTGGTTCTACTCAGGTGCCCGTTCGAGCCTGAAATAATGCATGGAAGGGCACCTGAGGTCTTCCTCCACCAGTAAAGCTGGAACGTCGCGATATGACCTATACTGTGTCGATGTGACGTAAAACCCAAAACAAACAAACACACTCATTGCTAATACACTTAAAAGCACAAATTGACCAGTCTTCTATATGAAAAATAGAACATTCAAATGCACCTTCTGTATTTCTGCTGTGTCAAACACTTCTCTAATAGTCTCTCTGTGTATTTCTCTCACTTCAACTGGTCTATTGTCTCTATTGATACAAAAACAATTCATCTTAATAATTTCATAATCAGCTTTGAAAACTATGCACTATGAAGATCACAAAACAAAACTCTGGATATACATGCTAAGGTTAGAGACATCTCTCAATTAACATTGGCTGATAGCATACGGCTAGTTTTATAGTAGTGGTTTTTGTTAAAAATTGTTCAAATTAATGATTTTTGTTTTAAAATGCACAAATAGTGGCTTTTTATTGAAAAAAAGTCACATATAAGTAGCTTTTGTTTTAAAATGTATTAAAAGTTTTTGTTTGTAAATGCAGATTTTAGAACAACTTTTTATTAAAGAATAAATGTTCAATATTTAAAGTAAAGGTTTACCTTGGTGAAGAGGAATAGCCCGATCCTGCAACAGGAGCTGCCATTGGTTCCCTCTTGTTATCCATACTGTAACAAAATAGCAATATAACATGTATATGTATATCTAAGTTAATCTAATTTAAATCTTCAAAGTGAAGTTGTTTGCTAGTTCACCTACCGGTATGTAACAAAATCTGTATGAGGACAGCAGGCTTGACTATTCTCAGAGCTTGACAGTAAGAAATGAGGCATTACACTGAGTTATGTAACTCAGAGTTATGGGACCAGTGCCCACCCATCATGTTAGATAATCACAGAGAACAAGTGTGTGAAGTTTCAACTCATTGCCTTTATTTGTTTTGTAGATACACATACCAACTTGAATGCAAAAACTTAAGCAAAGTGTGATGGCGACACCAGGCTGAGCACAATAGCTCTGGCTACTCACCACCCTTTGGGAATATGCCCATGAGAAGCAATTCGGCAAGTCTTGTTGCCACTCAATGGGCAGATATTCTAGGGAGGAACATCAAAACTACAACACACAACAGATATTATCAATCCAAAATTTTTACAGCATAGTCAACATTCTATTGGGTCTTAGATAATTTTTTCATTTTTTAAAAAATATCTTTAAAAAAGTTGCCTTTTGTGTAGAATGTCTGTTTTGAGTGAATTAATGAATTCCTGAGATGTGAAAATATTCAAATATTTTATAGGTTAGAAAGTTCACTAACCTTTCCTCGGAGGGTTCTTGTTCCTCCTCTATCTCCTCTTCTATTTCCTCATCAGCATCGCCCTCTTTTTCTCCCTCCGACTCGCCCTCCACTACATTCTCCTCTTCTTCTTCAACCACTACATCATCATCATCGTCGTCATCATCTTCACCTTCTTCTTCCTCTTCATCAACATTCTCTGTGTCATCAACATCTCCAACCCTACAGATGTATTACAACATACAATTTTGAAAAAAATTCTGGTTTAAGGGTAATTTTATTAAATATAACTTTAAGCCATAATGCGACTATACAGTATTACTGATGGAAGACCTCATGTGCCCCTTTGTACATTAATTCACTACCAATTTTCTGTAAGTTAGTTTGATTGCTTCTTCACACAACAGAAACCCTGTCAGGATTCAAACCCAAATCAAGAACATTCTAAGTCAGCAATTTTTCTAAGTAGGCACCCTTTACCACTCAAACACAGAGGCCCAATACATAAACATCACTAGAGTGGATGGACCAATGCACGGCATAAAAATACTATATTTGATATGACAAATTCAAATCAACATCAACAAATCTCAATGTTATATGTCCATTTTCAAGACCGATGATATTGTTTTAAATAGCCATTGTGTAAACTTCACTAATCACATAATGAAGTACATAGTGGGAGCTATAGATAGTCCGGATAAACAAGTGCGGTTTGCGTTAAATTGTACCATAGCTTGGCGTACAGTACAACATGATACAGGTTTGTTTTTCGAATAAAATCTTCTTTTATCTTATGAAGAAAACATACTGAATAAATTGTAACATTTTCAGATATTCTAAAGAAATATTTTTTACGCCTAGCATTGGTATGCGTCGAGCATTGGTCCAACGACTCTATTATAAGAGAGCAAAGTATTAAATATTTGCACAATTTCAATTTATTACTGATATCACAAAGCAAACTGTTTTTCTTTCTGAAATAAGTACTTATGTCAAAAGGTGGTATTCTAATGCTTAAATGGAGATTTTTTGTTGTTTTTTTCAGCTGGAGAATAAAAATTCCTAATAAGTTTCTTCACATGTTATTTTGAAATAAATTTTCTAGAAATGAAAGAAAGACACACATAAACTCTAATTTTCTATAACAGAGGTTGTCAGGACAGTGTGCTCCAGTATTCTCAGTGCTTGATAGTAAAAGAAGAGCCTGTATTATGCAGATTTTTTTCTATGATCAAAAAGGGCCATAATTCTGTCAGATTGAGTAATGGGCCCTGGACCATGACCTCCTGTTTTGCTCTCAAATAGGTGTTTTTCAAGATACCAACTTGCATACGAAAACATAACTGAAGTGTGACGCCCCATGCCAAGTAAAATAGCTGTCCCTATTCTTCGTAATAAATTGTGAAATATGACCCGCATAGCAAATTACTTAATAATTTAATTCATACAACTTAAATACCCGAATAAAATCACAAATGAAAAACTTACTCATTGATTGAGCCTCCAACATCAGGTGGTTTAGGCCACATCCTCAAACTTGATTCTGTACTCTCACCTACTTGACCAGTATCCTGTAATGATACATAAACATATTAAAAAAAAACACCAAGAAATATTCTAGCTCTAGACTCTACATTGTTACCTGCACATTTTTAACATTAGAAATATGTTAGATTCCAAATTATTGAGACTCCACTGAGGTTTTCGACATACCGGTAACAAGATTGTTAATATTTTTTATGTTTATGTTCCATTTGAAATAGGTCTGGGCTTGTGTTTCAGATTTTAGAACAGTCCACATTTTCAGAATTATTTTTCTGATTGTAAAAAAAACAAAACAGTCCAAAACATAAAGAGTTTAAATGCTTCCAACTCAAAACAGGCTAAAAAGCGCACAAACATTTAATTTTTAATTTTCATCGGAGAACATCTATATTTCATAACTGTTTTGCATACCTTTCTGTTTTAAGTGCCCTAGTTGATCTATGTAAGAAATATTATTTTTCTATTTTCAGGTTTTGCACCTCAAAAGCCTTATAAAGCAGAACAAGTTTATTGCAAAAATTCACCAGGGTGAGACTATTTCTTTTTAACTTTTCAAAAGTTGAACATCTAAATCACTAGAAGAAGTCATTTTGTTTTAATTTAATCCCATGGAAATGTGACCAAAATAACACTTTTGCATCCCAATTGTTTTAACAAGTTTTAGATTTATATTGTAACTGGAGATTAAACAGACCACAACTGTACCTGAAGTTACTAATTATGGTTTTATTGGCAATATTTCTAACTCAAAAGTCAAGTACTAAAAGCACTACTTATAAGAGATCTTGGTTTTGTTTTTTTCTACTTCATCTTTTTTTAAAATAATCTATTTAACTTATTTAACTTTTTCTGACACATTTGTGAATCAATTGATCTGCTATTCACTGACCTCCCTTTCCTCAAATGGTTGTGTACCCTCGGTTGGCCCCTCAGAATACCCGTCCTGGTCCTCTCCCATGACCTCGGCCACTTCCTCATCCATCTCGTCATAGGAACTCTGTGACTTGCCATGTATTCTTCCTTCTGATACTTCATATGCCCCTGTACTTTGTGTACTGTCCAATGATACCATCTATAACATTAAATGATAGAGACATTACAAACACCCTCCACACTTACATGACCTATCATAATACTGAATGTGTTTAAAGATGTACTATGCTCATGGTTGAGGAAAATATTTAAATCAAAGAAATTTATTAAATCTATGAAATTCTTACTGAGTATGTCTAATTTGAATACAAGAATGAGCAAACTATGTATGGGAAGCTCCGTTCTCTATTATAGTCCAAGTAAAGTTTGTCTTTTCTGATAAAAAAAGTGCCAGCAAGTTTTTTTAATGACACTTCATATTGATATTGCGACCACCTGTAGTGTGTAGAATTTTAAACATAACATATCTACTTTGTGTGAAGTCTAAACATATTTATTTCATATTAACAAAGAGACTGTGTACGATAATCAATATTTTCTTATATCAAAATTGAGCAAATTATAACTTTAATGACAATATTTTGATGTATATAAAAGTTATCTATATAAAGATTGCAGCAAATCTATCAATTTATCACTAACCTGCAAGTCGCGCTTCTCGGTCGTCTGCTGCTGGAAGAAATCATCTACTTCCTGTGTCTCCTCAGGTGTTGGAGTAGCTTCCCTTACTTCTGGCTCTCTAGCAGTGGAGGTGGGAGTAGCAAGTTCATGCTCTTCACTGGAAGAAATAGGTGGGAGCGGGATAGAGGATGGTGTTGTTTCACTTTTGGATGTAGCTGGGGACTGGGCTCCATTTTTTGGCGTGGTTGGAGTCTGGGTAATGGTGCTACCAGAGCTGCTCCTTGGTGACAGGAAGTCATCATTCATAGCAGATACCTGGGTAAAACTGCTGGTGCTAGACATACTGCCTCGGACACCATCTAGCATACTGTCCTCTGGATATTGCTTTCTGTGACGGAAAATACAATATGACATTTAAGCAATAAAGTCAAACCATGAATACCAACATCAATTGTTTGAGAATAATTTTACATTCAAAACAGTCAAATGGAAATAGATAAGACTTACAATAATAAGAGTTAACCAACAATACTGTAATGGTCACAGTATCTATATACCTAGGACTAGAAGTAAAAGCATCTGGAGTTAGAAGCACAGGTTGTCCCAGGGCATGTTCTGTGACAGCTCCGGAGAAAGAATCACTCTTGTTATGTTCTCCACTACCTTCCATGTTCATGCTGATGTCAGAGAGCCCATCTACCATCCCACCTTCACTCTGTGATACTGAGCTGACAGATGGTGGTGGGGGCTGTGGGGCGGAGGACTCGGGTTTGAACCTGATGAGCAATTCCTGTAAGGCCTTTGGATGGACGGTGTAAAGTTTAATCTGTACAGAGATACTGGATGTGTTTTGTTCAACCTTCTTATCTTCATCATCAACATCTTCCTTTATGATCTCTCCTGAAAAATCAGAAGATATAATAAGTTGTTCTACCGTTTCACAAGGTCTATAAGCACCTTATATATTTGATACTTGTTTAATGAGATAAAAAGCTGAAGTCTTTTAAAGTGACTCCACTGTGATTTTTGGACATGAGACTGGATAATTTTTTTTTGAGATTTTGTACCATTTGATGTAGGACTAGATCAATTAATGCCAAATTTCAGATCATTTGCTCACTCTGTTTTTTTTCCCAGAAAAATCATTTTCACAATGCAAAATGACCTCAAAATGAAAAGCCTTTGAATGTTTTTAGTTCAAATCAGGCTAAGAATCATACAAAAATTGATTTTAGATTTGTACTTCTTATATATTTCATATATTTTTCTGTTTTAAGTGCCTCGGGAGGCAAGAACTGTTTTCAGACTTTTGGACTTCCTTTAACCATTAAACTGCATAATCTTCATTACCTTGTTCTGTTTGAAGTCAGAAATATTCAGTATAAGCTTAAGAAATTTCAACAACCAAATTAAAAGTATGAGATGCTGACAATACATATAATGTAGTTTATATGACATACCTGTAGTTATTTCATCTAGATGAGAGTCATCTCCCTTAGACTTTTTTAATCTCTTTGTAACCAGCATCTAATATAGCAAAGCTCAGGCAAGGCTGGGCTAAAGTAAACTCTGATACTGAGCTTACATGAGCAGTATTCTGTTCACTATCTTGATGAATTTGTAGCACATACAGGACCTGTGTACAATGACAAATATTAAATATGAAAGGACTTCAAAGGGCTATTTTGGTAGGCAAAAAAAAAAATGACTGATAAAATAAGAACATGAAATGTACCAATGATTGTGAAGGAACTAGATACTTATGATAACTCTTTTTTTTCTAATTTGAACATGTTTCTTTAAATGAGAAAATAAACAAGTTCATTTCTGGAAAATGCTTGGTATTTAGCTAGGGTAAAATAAAAAAAACAATGAAGTAAATGGTGCAAAATCTCAATTCAAATTTTAATGATAAAGATTTATATAATTATAATGGGGGAAAATACCAAATAGCATTAACTATTGTAGTAATTAATATACATTACATTTCTTTTTTATCAGAAAGAACAAAGAATTTGGCCACTACCAGGTCTATGGAAGCTTTCATACATGGCCCACACTAAAAAATTAGACGGGCCCATCCTGGGACACAGAAACCTGCACAAATAACACATCAAAATTATAGTTATAAAATTACTTAAGATTGCACTTCATTTAGGGGAAAAGAGGAAGAAAGTATGGTAATTATTCAATCCAAAATTTATCACAAAGGGGCTTAAATTAAGAAAAGAAGATGTAACACAACTAAATAGGGAGAGAGATTTTTACATAGCTTTATGTGACATTTTTCAAATTATTTTTCAATGTTATTCGTTTGGGACACCAATAGTTCCAGTCACATGTAAATATCTTAAATTTTGAAACCTAATTTACAGATACCTATCTGCCAGTAAAAGTCGTCATTCAATTTATTCACTTCAACATTGCATTGACAAAGAAAAAAAAAATTTTTGGGCATGTTGAAAAAGGGGGTAATTAAAATGTTGAACCACACTAAAGGTTGTCTAAAATAGTTTAAATTACCTGATTGTTTGGAAGACCAGTACACGCTAAAAACTTCCAGTTTTTTAATCTCCTGGTTTGTATGCTGGAAAGTTAAAAAAAATTTTCCAAAAAATTGAGCAACTGAAAAATTAAAAATTCCACATTTACTCTTACTGACATGTAGATAAAAACCAGAAGTCAAAATATGATTTTGTTGTTAACATGGTAAATTAATGTACAATAGATGTGTAGTTAGCATATAAAAATAACAGCCGAGTTGTAACAAAGACTGCCCTATAACTGAACAATGGAACAAGTTCATGATTCTATACACTATTTTTAATGTTTTAATACTAAACATTGGCCTGAACAAGTGTTTCATTAAAGTTTTATCAGGCAGTTAAAAAATCAGAATTCTATGACGCCATACCATGAGTATCAAATTTACAGATAACTTCTCCAAATTAATCCTTTGAAATGCTGTAATGGCATTAACATGCTGCTTATATTACATGATTTCTCAGTTTATTTACTTATTTTTAACTTCTCTTCTCTTGTATAGAAGAAGCATGAAAAAGCATGCACAAAACTTACTCAGGGCTGCAGTTTTTATGATCATCTAAAAAGAACAAACAAGACATTGGCTTTCCATTGTGTGGTTTCCACTGGTGTAAACATCTGAAAAATAGGAAAGATTTTTTGATTAAAGATAAAAAATGAATTTCAATGTAGCCGGGTTTTGAGATAAAATTCTATTTAAAAGTTTATTTTTACCATTCTATTTTAGCTGATTGTGAAAAAAGGGTTTTTAGAGTTTAAAAAGGAACCACTTTGAGAAAATTTATCAGAACTAAATGTACTGGTTAAATTTTTAGAAAACAGGGTTTTTGAAAATAGCTGGGCTGAACTTTCTCTAGGTTCCCCTGTAGTCACTCTTCACCTCCCATCTTTATGCAATCTATGTTATGAATATTCCCTACAATACTGCATAAAGGCACAATTCAACTGTGTGGCTTTTTTCTTTTATTCACATGTAATTGAATAGAATCAATATTTCCTAGAAACTTCCCTTCAAAGTGCTTGGTGTGTAAGTTATCTAACAAATGGTTGTTTTAGCACTATAATTTTACCTGGGAGAAGTTTGTTCATGCATGTACACCTGGAAGAACTTCACTTCACCATCAATACTGGCTGTAGCTAGAGCAGTGCCATCAGGAGAGAATGCTGCGTCCATGATGGGCTGTAACACACACACATAAATATATTACTTTACTAATAGAAATCAGCATTTTTTATGCATAAATATTTCAACAGATATTCAACTATTTGGTTTAAGGTCATATCATTATTGTAAAGGTATTGAGACAACTTTCCAGCTTGTAACAGTACTCTAATTGCATTATTCCAGTCACAAGTGGGCACCTGGGTAGAAGCTAAGAGCCAAAACATTTCTGTAAGCTAGCTGAATAGCTTTCTCACATGAATGACAAAACTTATAGTCCTGACAGAATTCAACCCATAGCTGCCAAAAGCAAATGCTTTAAAGTTGGAAACCATAATCACTTCATTGTAATTATCAGTGTGCAGTTGAATTTTTAAAAATTTAGCTGTAGAAGATCAATAATGAAATACATTCCAAGTTATTTTAGTAAAGTTATTTGAAAATCCAGTCACACCAGCAACATCCCTATAATTACATTCCATTTAATCAATAAACTGCAAGCCTATTATAATGCTCATGTTTGGGCCAAGGTCTAAAAAACTGAAATATAATGCAATGATTGCGAAATTACTTGCATTACCCTCACTTACTGCCAAAATCCATATAAATTAATACATGCTTCACCCTATTCAGTATATAGGAATATAAGAAAATATATATAATTTACAGACAAACATACCTTTACATGACTTTTGATCTTCTATTGCAATCCGGTTTCTACATCTCGGGTATACAGAGGTCCAGAACAGGATCAATAAGTGATGTAAACAATAGTAATATAATGTGATGTGAATGTTATTATTTGACATCCATTGAAAAATAAAATCTAATAAAATCTGTTTCGTAAAATTATGACTATATAAGGTTAAAACTGTGTTGAAAAGTGCTAAATGAAGTCCATGTTACTGAATATAATCAACTGTCTTGGGAAGAAATTTTACTTCCCTATTTCTTTTAAACGCGACTTTATTAAAAAATAAATCGATTATGTCCCATCGGATTGAACCGATGATCGATTGGGACAAATTTCATCTGGTTGCCATCACTACTTTTGATACTGTCATTTAATCATTTTATGGCTGGGCATAATTACAATCTTGATAAGTCATATAATTCTATACTGTTGTTCTATTTTCAGAATAGGAACAATGATCATCATGGAATTGTAAATGATCCAAAATTAAGTAGTATTTGTATGCAATCGTTTGTGTCAAATCTTTGTATTTAGGATACTGAAACAAACTTTGTAGCAAATAGCACTGTCACAGAAAAACCAAGATAAAACTATTCATCAGAAATACTGCCAATAGATTTTGTCTCAACTAAGTCTTCTAAACTGTTAAGATTTCTAGATCAATAAGGTCAATTTTTAGGACAGAACATTATAAAACAAACAACAAATGGTCATACCTTTTCATCATTTGTAAGAACAAGTACACGGCTGGCATTATCCTGGGTGCTGGAATCTGTGGCACTACTATCATCAGCATCGTCGGGTATATACGGACACCATATTACACGATGATACTCACTCACCAGAGTTGTCTCCGGACGTTGTATATGTAACAGCATCGAGGAACTATGTATTGTTAAGAATAATTCTCCTTTAAAATGAATAATCATCAACTTTTCTATTTCGTGATGAATAAAAAAACAAGAACAAAACAACAACAACAAAACAAATATATTTTCTAAATATAGTTCTAATATTTCAGGTTTTGTAACAAGGATATGTATGAAGCAGAAAACAATTCAGACATTCAAAGCCAGTTATAAATCACTCAAATGTCGTAAACCTGAGTATTCTGAATTAATTTTAACTGATATAGAGATTAATGTATTTATTATCAGAAATAAGGACCATGACAAGACTAAAATCTTTCAAACAACACAAATCTTACACTACCTGCAAAAACCAGATAACAATTTTAATGAAAGGATACGTTATTTTGCCATCATCTGTCACTTGTTTAAGCTCATAAACACAGAGATTTCCTATTTCATCTACCACGGCAAGCAGAATATCATCAGTGTGAGCGAACGCTAGATCTATTACACGCCCCACAAAATCTTTTAACAAATGACGCTCTGCTGTCCTTCTGTTTGTTATTCTTACCACACCTCCAGTCTTGCCTGATAATAAAATGATGAGAAGATTAATATCAGCAGATGGTAATATAATAAACATTACTCTCTATCAAATTTATAGCAAAGTCATGGTTTCAATACTATTGGCTGCTAAACTTTAATGAGTATACATGCAACTATATTGGTATTTTCACAAATAATTGGTATCACAACAGAAAACACTCTCAAGTGACAAAAAAATGTACAAAAAAATAAGTTTTACAAAAATTGTTGTTAAAGTAAAAGCTGTACCAAGATAATCAAAGCATTATCCTACATATTTTTAAAAGTATTCAGATTTCATAGGTCTTAATGAACTATCTTAAAGTAACAATGTATGGTTAAAATATCAATAGAAAGGAAATCAATAACATAAATCCTATGATATAAAATTAAATTTTACAAACAAATTACTACACTTCAATTGCATTACTACATTTCCAAGTGCTGAATATTTGGTCATATGCAATCATATTTTGGCTTTATTTTCAGTAAAGCCCATGGACATTTTCAATACTCCATGATTTAGTGCATACTCGGAACTCCTGTAGCATTGTCAGGGTTCTTTCAATCAAGAATGGTTCACATTTAAAAATTAATAATAAGTAAAAACAACCTACCAGTACATACTATAACTACGACAAAGAGACAATGAATATCAACCTTTAAAATACTTAATTTCTTAAATGGACATATCCAACTTCCTTTTTTGGTACAGTCAATTATCAATATAAAGTAATATCAAGATATCAAAATTTTAAGTTGGTCTGATAACAGTACAGAGCCTCGCCAGACTATACTGATGACCAAGGCTAAATCACGTTTAGTTTGAGCAGGGTTGTGTTTTAGAATTATTTATAATACATGTAATAAATGCAGTACCTTTCAAGACATAAGCCACAAATACATTTCCCCTGTGAACAGCTACAAGATTTCCTATATAAGCTCTGTTCTCCCAGTCATAATTCACTACAGGTGTTATCTTTACCTGTGAAAAATACAATATCTATGATAAATATAATCTCAATTTGATGTATCAGCAGTAAAGGCAAAGTCTGACAGAATGAATACCACTAGTAAAGATATGACAAAACTATTATGTTGGCTTCTAAAATGTTTTATTTTGACCTTCAAATTCGAAACAAGGCCAGTAAATTCCATAAAATGATAGAGAAAAAAGGTCCAACAATTCAATTACATCATCAATGTACATTCTAGCAATGCTATCAAGTAACAAAAGTGTTACAAAATGTTGACTTGATATCAAAGTTATATCTCTGGTTCCTGAAATTCAAATAAATCAATATGATAACCTGAATGTTGACTTAAAAAATTGAATATGCTGCAACATTTAAAGCTATTACCTTGTTAGATCCGGTCGAGCCAGACAATGACTGAGATTTTGCCACCTGTTTGCTAGATATTATATCCACCTCCTGACCATAAACACTGAAACTGTTGGCTGTATCTGTCCCTTGTAGTGTGCTAAAAATTATAAATACAAACAAGATTAATCACCCAATTTCACTAACTAGAATTTCCCATCTAGATCATAGACCACCATAGGACTGTCTTTATTAAAATGAAAGGGGTATATTTACATGCTACTAAAATTAACTTTCAAGGTTGTTTAATTAATATCTCTGAAAACAATCAGATGCAATGTATTGTAACATACATTAGTTGATGATGGGCTCCCTCATCATACATGGTCTTTATTAATTCTGTAAGAGTAGGGTCAGTGCCGTCTCCAGTTGTTTGTCCCATACTAGGTATTGAATGCAAGATCTCATTGCTGAAACAAGAAGAAACCTTTTTTTGTTATCTTTTGTATAAACAAGTCTGATCTTCAACAGATATCCAAGATAACATTTTTACAGATCTTAAGGCTTTTTCAAAACCCAAATATAACAAATATTTAGTTTTGTATGAACAATTTAATTTCGTAATACAATTTTTAAGTAAATTCTTCCATGAAAGGTAACTTTTATCTGCATTTTAAAGATTTTCAATCTGATTCTGACTTAATATACAGTTGAAACAAATTTTGAAATAATCTTCAAACTTACCTATCACCTATAGTCACTGATCTATCGATACTCATCATAGATGATGCTGTAGAAAAAGATAAAAATGATAAATTTCAATACTTTTAACTCATAAACTTTAAATTTATCCAAAATTCTGTGTACACAACTTTGAAAATAGAAATTGTAAACAAGTTTTAGCAAAAAACATTTTTTGTACATTCAGTATCTAACTCTTTTGTACATTTAGAATCCAACTGATTTTTTCAGGGATTTTTTTTTTTGGCTTATTTTATAGCCGTTATTGGGTCATATTCCCAATTGAAAATAGTATATTATTTCCCGATCCTCGGGAAAATATTCCCAGTTGAGAGTTACAAAATAAAAATATTGAATAAAGAATTCTAAAATCTTTGAAAATAAGGGCTTCAACACTATAATAGTGCTTAAATGTTTGAAGATGCCATCCTAGACAGTGATTGTTTGCATTCATTTAATCAATGCAAAATTTCAGTTATGCAATTTTTCCCAAACATCGCTGAAATTCCCAATGCCATGGGTATAGGTCATGTTCCAAAAATCCTGGAAAAAATCCCTATTTTTAAACTGTATTATTATTATTAAACATATAATTGCTATGGTATGACATTGGACAAGTTAAATTTAAGCAAATGTCTGGCATCTCTCATGAATTCTAAATACTAAATATTTGTATATTATAGTCTTGTATATATGCCATGAATTCTATAGTCCATAGGACACAGAAACCCCTATATTCAAGTTTAACCAGTCTACAGACAGACAACATGACATCAGGCCAATGCAGACAAGGGCAATCTTCATCATTATATGGTCCTCCCCTTCACTAGCTTGGCCTGAAGTCAAGACTGTCATTGACAGTCTCTATATGAACTACTTAAATAACCGAGGTATATTGAGAGAAAAATGCGAGTTGTTTCCCTTGTTCAGACCATTTTATGGTGTTTTATACAGTGAGATAAGCAACCGATTACATTTACTAGCAATTCTACTGCTAAGAATAGCCTGTCGTCTGCTTGTTCGGAAACTGTCAATCCGTGACCGTGTATTCCATGTTTGTTTCAAACCCTGTGACAGTTAATTTTGTTAAACAGGCTGGTGAAAATGCGTGATCGGGCTAAGACATAAATATATCATATTTCTATAAAAAATAATTAATATGTTTCTTTCTAACTTGTTTTGTTTATTAAGCATTGATATATCAGGGTTGTCATTAACATTTTTTGCAGAAGGTTTGTTTTGAAATTGAGGCGGTCATTTCTGTCTTTATCATGCATAACAAAGAGTGTTTTCTTAATTTTGAGGCGGCCCATAATGCATTTGAGACAGGCATTTTGGCCTCCTGCCGCCTCTTAATGACAACCCTGTATATGATACAAATCAAAATTGAAGTTATTTTGGTTATCTTTTATTTTCTTAGAATTATTTCTCTTTTTCCCATTTTCTAGAAACAAAATATTTGAAGTTCATAAAAATTAAATTGTAATGTAAAATTCTAAATAGAAATGTGTCCAACAACCTCATTTTGTTCTAGATTATTGCGTCAATACCTTTATTCTATATATTTGGATAAAATATTCTGTTTCTGGCATTAATATTTTGAAAATTCTTTGACACTGAACATTATACTTTTAAGTTTTCTCTGAAAACTGAAAGAAATGTATGCTGACAGGTGTTGGCGCAATGAATTAGAGTATAAAGAAGTTATTTAACCTATTTTGTTCTACACTTTGCATACGTAACATTCTTTTTAAGGACTTCAAAAATTATGTGTTATAAAAACATGAAAAAAGGGAAATAAATCTCACAAAAGTGACAGTAGACAAATATTTTTCTTTCTGTTTATGTCAAATATTATTCTCTTTAAACAAACAAAGTTTAAAAGAAATATCCTTATTTAATTTCTAGAAATATGATTTTTTTATGACATAAGCCCGATCGGGCATTTTCTCCAGCCTGTTAAAAGACGTTTTTTTTACTTTTGGTCATGAAGAGCTCAGAAGTAATGCATTTATACACAGACTTACGTTTTTAACCTTTCCCCAAGATTTTCCTTTATTAAAATTATTTTGCTATAAGCTTATGAGTATTTTCGGTATGACGTTGCTTTGCCATGAAGTAATAATATTTCAAGGCAACCTCATTTACAGGCTAATTTATTTGGTGCTTATCTAAACCCTTGTGTTCTTTTTTTATTTCCTTATCAACCTTTTATTTTCTGCAATATCATATCCGAAAATGACACATCCAATTTGTATCCACTTATGAATTCTAAATTATTTGACTTAATTTCTCACTAATGTTGTAATTTCAAATTCACTTCTCCTGTATTCTAACTTCGAAAGAAATAATCTATACAGTGGAAATGGCACAAACCTGTTGATTTCTGAAGATCTAGCAATTCTTTCAAGAGCCGACTTGTATCCCCGGTCGACTCCATCGAAGAAGTTGGTGATTTTGTCTCGTCCATGATATAATACGCTAAGACAATATGATACTTCCCTGGTTGACTTTATTCAAAGTTAAAATTTTGTTGAATTTTTTTAATACAAGTTAACACAAAGCTGTATTTATAGAAATTAATCGCCGTAAAATAAGACATTCGTTTAGTATGGCGGCATCCATTGAAAAGGACTGGTTCCAAGTTTTTTGTACGGACCTAAAGAATTGAATTTAGCACAACTTTTTTTGTAATTTTGCTTCGCAAAGTCATCATTTCAATTTTTTTTTGCAAGTAATGCTGGCGTAAGAGAAGGTGAAAATCTTTCATCCGTGTTGTTTTCATTATTTTTTAGAAATGATCTTGCATAGATTATGTCTGAAAAATATGCTGGTATAGCTGTATACACTTGCTGATGATGTGAAAAGTTTATTAAGTAATGAGGATTTACTCTACTGTAGAGGTGTTTTTTTAGACTCTTTCTGCTGATACTGTAATTTTATCAGAAAATGCAGATGAGCTTCAGACTGCATTAAATGCTATGCTAGAATATTGTAATGTGTGGAATTTAAAAGTGAACTCCGCAAAAGCAAAGTTTGTAATACTTTCTAGGGACAGGAATCGTATGGCACCTCAATTTTCGGTGTACGGACATAATCCCCTTTGGACAAAATCCCCTTCATGTATTTTTGTATATCCGGACATAATCCCCTTCATGGGTGGACATAATCCCCTTCATATGTGAAATTTTGAAGAGGACAAAATCCCCTTCATAAAATTGCTACCTAGGACAAAATCCCCCTCGGAGGAATTTTCGGTTTATAAAGTGGGTATGGGAATGACATACTGCACTATGATGTGTAGTAAATATCTTAATGTATAAAAAAGTAGAAAATATTTCAGCAGAAAAGCACATTCAATTAGCAACATTCAAATCACAATAAATTTGCTTTGTTAAAGCATTCATAACAACCAATCAAGTATTGCAGTGATCTTGGTTTGATTAAATTATCATTCTTTCATCAATAGAAATTGTAACAATGGATAGTATATATCAATTAGAATTATCAACTTAAATTATAGAATCAATGAAACAATTATTGGCTAATAAAAATGTTTTTCATAATAAAAAAGTTTTTCATACTAATCAATTTAAAACAATTAAAGAAATTGCCTAATCAAATATGTGTAATGCAGTTGATAATTTACCATAATTTAAATGAAAACTTCTAAACTAAATAAAGGTTAACTATTGATGCATAATTATACATAAAAAACAAAAGTTCATTATTCATCAATTTTAAGGGAGTATAATAATACATTATTCATCAATTTCTATGGAGCATAATAATACATTAGAAACCTATGAAACAATGGGATTTTGTCCGGGTAGTGAAGGGAACTTTGTCCAGCCTTGCAAAAAAATGAAGGGGATTATGTCCACCCATGAAGGGGATTTTGTCCGGGTAGGTGAAGGGGATTTTGTCCGAAGGGGATTATGTCTGACATTCCAATTTTCTTTTGATAATGAGAACTTAGAATTAGTACATGATTTTTCTTATCTACATGTATATAGGTATTCAATTTATGGAAAATGGTAATTCTGTTAAAACTAGAAAACGTCTTATTGATCAAGCGAAGAAAGCTATGTTCTCTCTGATAAAAAAGCTAGAAAATTGTTACTATCTGTAGATCTACAGATCCACTTGTTTGACACAATGATTGTTCATATTCTTTGTTATGGCTCTGCAGTTTGGGGAATAGAAAATTAAAAGTGTATTGATCAGTTTCAGCTTATATTTTACAAAATTATACTTAACCTCAAGCAAAGTACTCCCAATCGTATGTTATATGGTGAACTTGGAGTTACTCCGATATCTTTGCAAATAAAAAGTAGAATTATTAACTATTGGTGTAAGCTTTTTGAATGGTAAAGATGATAAGATTTGTAATATTTTATATAAGACTCCATACTCAGTATATGTTAGATATAGAACTTAATAACCGTGGCTTTCTTTTGTTAAGGATACTTTGGACAAACCCACAGGGGACCCACACAGTGTTTGGATGGTATATACTGCTTGATGGTGACCTTAAAATGAGATTTAAGTCATAACCTTATAATATGTATATAAATATAGACTACATATTTATATACATATTATGTCATATTATATTTCTGTCACATGTTCTTATGAACCACGACAGTATTAAATAAAAATCTTGAAAATCTTCTGTGTGATCACCCCTATTCCAGGTATTTTAGGCTAGTACAGCAAATTTTATATATAGCTCAGTTGGTAAAACCACTGACTGTCACTCCTGAGGTCCCGGGTTCGCTCCTGGGTAGCACCCTCGTTTTTTTTCAGAGACACTATCACCCGTATGTGACTGGGGAGGATGCTGACGAGTGGCCTTCAACGACAACCTGTTGGCAGCGGTCAGTATACGTGTTTCCCACTTACCTAGAGGTCTACTGGTAAGAAATCCAGGTAATCCTCGCACATATCAATGCTGTAACCTGCTAGTACAAAATAAAGAACAAGCTAGTTTTGTTGACCAAAAACAAGAAATATGAACTACATGTACTTGATACCATATTCAAGGACATGGTGTTTCTTCCCTTGGAGGATAAGTCTGCAAAATAGTCTTTCCCATTAGATACTTGGCTTGTAAAATTGTCAAGTGGACTTCTACAAAGATAATACGAATCGTGCTCCTGGGGTCAAAATTTGCTGCATTTCGGGGGTCACTTAATTTTTATAGATTTATAGAAAATAAAAACCTCTAAAGAAAGTCCAAAACATCAAAATCGAAAATGTTGCAGGCTCGGTATGATTGAACAGGCTTATCAAACAGAGTCTTCAACACTTTCAGTTTTGTTGTTTTAAACTTTCTGTAGGATTCTTATTTTCTCTATTTTAACAAGTTTGACACCTTGTTTTCTATTTGACAGGTATAGGTGTGCATTAGTTCTGCAGCTGTGTCATTTAAGCAATATAGGCCTTATGTTTCTTTTTCTTCTTCCAGTACTGTACATAACCCGCTCTGGGGCATTAACGTACAGGGTGTATATACAAATTGTTGTGCGGCGAATAAGTGCAAGTTTAAAAGAAGAACGGGTTAAAAATAAAACCAAATCCGGCATATTAGGGCCCCATGACTAGTCCTCCCTTGAAGGCCTCAAGGGTGACTGCTGTGGCTAGGTGCTGTGGAAGCTGGTTCCACAGGCGGATGGCCGAAGTTTCAAAGGAGAACTTCATGGTGTCGGTTCTGAAGAATGGGACATGAAATCTGAGTCCGTTGCCATGGCCACCAAGTGTCAGGGTGTGGAAGTACTGTGCAGCTGGGATGGCTATGATGTTGTGCGTGATCCTGTTTACCATCACTAGCTTGGCATTGGAGTGGCGATGCTGTAGTGTTGGTAGTCTTGTAATCACCTTTAACAAGCAGCTCGCCTTTGGAATGCTTCCAGCTGGTTGATGTTGGTGGTTGTCTGTGGGTCCCAGACTGTGCTATCGTACTCCAGGATTGTTCTAACAAGGGTCTTGTAGGCCTGGGCCTTCATGTCTTGTGGGAAGTTTGTGATGTTTCTTCCAAGGAATGATAGGGAGTTGTTGGCCTTCTTGATAGTAGACTCTGTGAGTACATTCCATGAGAGATGTTGACACCAAGGTACTTTCCACTTTTGACTGATTTAAGAGTTGATTGGTGGACCTTGTAGGCATAAATGACGGGGTTTCTTTTCTTGGTGATTTGTATTACTTCTCATTTGCTGGGATTGAACGACATCATCCACTTGCGTTTACATTCCTGGAGTCGATCAATGTCTTCTTGGAGAGCTAGTGCGTCGGCTTCTGATTTGATTTTTCTGTAGATCAGGCTGTCGTCAGCAAATAGGCGGCTGGTGGAAGTCACGCACCTAAGTAGGTCGTTGATATAAAGGAGGAGCAACAATTAAAGGACCTAATACTGTGCCCTGATGTACCACGGATGTGACTGGGGAGGATGCTGACGAGTGGCCTTCAACGACAACCAGTTGGTAGTCTCAAAACAATCCAATCATTTGAAAGACAGTCAAATGCCTTAGACTTTATTATTACTAGAAAGAAAAGATTTCACAGTAGGCCAGACATGTTTTGACTTAGACCCCCTCATTATATATGAAGAAAATATACTGCATTGAATTTCTTTTAAGTTTTTGTTATTAAATTTTGCTGTTTCCTAAATGTTTCATTTTTTTAATCTGTTTTACATTTTAAAATGAATTTCTAAGCTCTTTTTCTACATAGCTCTGCGGAGTTCTCCCTTTACAAAAAGTGTGGATGAGTGGGGGTCTTTTTAAACATTTGCTTGATTGGTGCATGTTTGTCAAATATTTCCTCAAAGTAAAGTTTCACTGGCCAAATAAATGTCGTCAACGTCGTCAAATATGTGAGCTACATGAAACGGTACTTTTGATAAATCCTTGTTAAAGTTTTGCTTGTTAAATGTTTTGTAGAATCTAAAATTAACGTTTGGATTTGGTTGAGTTACAATGTTCTCTGATGATTGTTGCAATCAAGTCACTCAGTCCTGAGTGTTTCAGATTAGATTTGGTCTTTTTGTCAAAATAATATTGAAATAATATTGACACAGCTTTCATTTGGCATGTTGGTCCTTTAATGATACAATAAATGTATGTGTCAAATATTTGAGTGAGGGGTTTACATTAATCATGTTGTTTTAGGTCATAAGTCAAGCCACCTGTTGTTAAAATATGGTCATAGTTTAAGAATAATTTATCTAGAGAAAAAAATATTCTCAGTAAAAACATTATCTTTTGTTTTTGTAGGTTTGCAAATAGCTAAAATACACCAATTACGTTTCGTCATACAAGGCTGTGAAAAACACATACATTTGTAGATTCTAAAATCTCACATTCAAATTATTTCTCCTTCTAAAAGACAGGTCATCTCTAACATATATAAAATCCACCATAACTTTTGTTTTCATCTTTCCTCTTCATCTAGTAACCTGGAAAATTATAAATATTATTACGTTTGTATACGGTATATATGAGGTATCTAGATAACTTAGTTTCTGATATTGCATTTTTCCCCGGATTTTACTCATTTTTCAGGTAATTCATTTTTCAAACTACTGATATTCAGCTGTGATACAAGGTCTTTTTAAATTTGCTTTTCTTCATATAAGTGGTCTATTTCCACGTTTGTTAAATCATTAATGCCATCTTAGAAATATTGTTTTTTTGTTCTTCTTCGAGGTAGTATTCAGAGGCACTAGAGATAGCTGAATTAAACTGTATCTCCTGATGTTATTAATGTTATTCATGCACTTGTCCCAACAGTAACAGATTGTTTATGGTTCAATGTAGGTTCCATGCATGTGTTCTGCACTCCTGAAAGGTTCGATAGATTCATTTACACTAATCATCATGTCAAGTTCAGTAGCTGAAGGTGTCTAGTTTTAGTGATTAACCTGTCCGTACTCTGTCTTGTGCCCTGTCCTGTTTTTGTTTTGGGTCCGCCAAGGTTCTTATTGCTGGGTCGTAATGGGGTTGCGTTCATTGAACGCCGCCTTTCCTTGTTGATCTTATCATATTTTCTGTGGTTTACCGGACTTATTTATTGGATTTGTTTGGTCATCTTTTTCATTTTAGCATAATATGCAATTCCGTCGAGGAATATTTTGTTCAGTTAGTTTCACAGGTGCTAGTGGCATTGATTTGACCTAAAATGGGTTTAACCTTGTTATTTATGCAATAAAATATCAATATACTAAACAAAAAAATTCACTGTTATATTATTATAGACATATAATATACATGTAACAGTGATTTTGTTTTAGTATATTGATATTTTATTGCATAAATAACAAGGTTAAACCCATTTTAGGTCAAATCAATGCCACTAGCACCTGTGGTTAGTTTGCTATCATGATGATTCAGGAGCTCTTTTTACGTGGACTTGTTAAGTAAAAATTTCTCAAAAATGTTCCAGAGCTTAGAAAGTTTGCTTGTAGCATCACCTTGTTGTCTTCTACAAAAGTTGTATAAAACACGCTGTTAGGGCATGAGCTAGTGTAAAAATCTAAAAAAATTTCACATCAGTGACCTTGACCCCCATGACCTAAATTTATTAGGATCAATAAAGGCACCCAACTGCCAAATATGGAAGATACCAAATAAAAGAATGTACATGGAGAAATTTATGATAAATCTGAATTGTTGATACCGGTAGGCCCTATTTCAGTGATAAAAGGGCAAATAAGTTGGGAAATTTATATAACTTGGTAATATCATGTACTTTGTCTTTGAACTGACAAGTGCCATTACAGTACTGACAGGACTCAAGATATTACACAATTGCCGGTTTTGATTGATTATATCCATTTTCAAATTTACGTTACATTCTACAATCATGTACATTTACTTTGCATTGACATGTGTGTAAATTATGAAACCATTTTTACAAGTTGAAATTAAGGTACGTTTCTAAAGGATAACCTCGTATGGAAAGGCAGTTCAGCTACTTTAACTGGGGGAGCGTAAAAACTTATTTGTATGGAGTTTTAATTTCTAACACTGCACATCCATGCCACCGGGAGACACAGGACATCGTCAGATAATTAAATAACAAATGCTACATACAAGACAAGTTTCTGAAGCTGAGGGTTATGTATAAGGTGGCACGACTCGGATCAATTGGTATTAGCTGCCAATATCCTGATTAATGTTGAGGGGAGTGACCATTCCCCTCCACTGTAAGTAGGCAGGGACAATGTCAGGAGTCTAGGGTACGTTTTGTGCCTTAACAATGAGATGTTGTCTCATTAAACTCAGACTACAGACAGACACAGAGGCAGGAGTCTCATATGATAAAGCAAGAATGATTATAACTAAAATATCATAAGGCTAGAATGGCCATAACTACAAAGTATGTAATTCTTTGACACCCCCACCCTCCTCATTCTTGCAAATTCTACTGGCATTCATTGTTTTGAAAATATTTTAACAGGAATGTAAATTATTTTTAACTGAGTGTAAAAAAACAAACCATACATATGGCTTCTTAATATTTATTCCAACTTTAAACAGCATATAAAGAGTACTTTTAGTATAAAGAGGTACAAATAATTTTGCAAAATTCTTACACACAATCTTTTTAAGTACTGTAATTAATGGAAATAAAAATCATAAAATTCTAAGTAAGAGCACCACATGTACTGTTAACTGAGCATATTAAAGGAAACAACTATCAATAAGCAGTTTTTACAAATATGGTGAGTTAAAAAGGGACATAATTTCTAAGAAATATTGCATTCAGAGTATTGCCCCTTGTCTAACAAGTTTCATGTTGATATCAATCATATTAGTTAATATGCAATTTTGACAAAATACTAAGTTAAAATTGGGTGTAACTCTGAAACTAAATCTTTTAAAATGAAGCCCCTTATTTAACAACTGCACCTTGTCATGCTATAATCAAGTATGTCAACTTTCATGTTGATAACTATGTCATTGATTATCACAATATAGATATATCATCAATATTCATCAGTCGATACAATATCGATACAATCTTTCAAATATAGATACAAGCTAAAATTTATTTATTTCTGTTTGTGAATATATACCTCTCTATTTTGCCTAATTAGAGAAGTGTTTTTTTCTCCAATTTTCTATGCTAACTTGAACTTTAAACTCTGTTTTCAAATGTCAGTGACAAAGATAACAGAAAAAAACAGACTTTCTATTAGTTTGTAGTATTTGTAATGTCTAATACAAGCATGCATAACACCATAATCCCAATTTATAACACATATTTAAATGTTTTTCATTGTATCTTCAGTCAAAGTTGATATATCGATACACGTCGATATTTTTCTCTCAATATATGATACAAAATATTCTGTCAATGACAGCCCTTCTATAACAGGTTACAGGCTACATACAAGTTTTTACAAGATGACACTGCAGCAATCATAATGGCGTTACTTCTTTGAAACAGTCAAGGTTAAAATTGAGAAACATGACAAAAATCTTAGAATAAATAAAAATCAGATCTTGAGTTAATTACTCTTTTCATATAAAATCAAATTTCCTTCTTTAAACTAGCATGCAAATCAAATTAGTCCCAAATAGACGTTATCCGGAACTCGTTATCCGGAACTCGGCATATGTAGGTTTTTCCAAGATATCTGTAGGTACAAACTAACTTTTGTCCGTTATATCTTCACGGTGCACTACCCGTCACAATAGATAAGTTAACCTGTTTCGCTTATTTTCGAAGCTGTAACTGTAAAAAGTTTGTACCTACGGATTAGCAGGGAAAAACCCAAATATTCTTAATTCTGGAGTAAGTCTATTATTTTATACAACAACTTCAATAACAAAAATATCATGGCTTAGATGTTCATCTAAACAAAGAATAAAATAGAAGAAAAATCAGAAATGAATGAATAGTACATGTACAAGTTTAGAAAGCATGTCATTTGTCAACAGTACAATTTTATAAGGGCATAGCACCAGTAAAATTAAAGAGCTACTGCAAGAGGGGTCACATTCTACTTTTGCTTATTCCTAAAACAAACCAATATACAATATACCTTCATTTAAAAAAAACAAGAACTGAGCACACCACTAAACTCATTGCTTGTAAGTTACACAACAGTCTAAATAATGTAGAAATTTAAAGTTCAAAATGGGCCATAATTCTGTCAAAATCCATGTTATATAGACCCTGGACAGTGACCCAATATCAAACTCTATAAAGTGTGTGAAGTTTCAACCAGTTCATAAATAATTCAAGTGAAACAAACAGACAATTCACACAACATTCTTTAACTGATAGTACCCGCTTCTGACAGAAGTTGTTATCTTTTCGTAAGCCAATAACTAGATAACTCATCTTTATGCATTACACAATTGTATTAAGCCATTCTATTTATGTTTTTTCCTTTTTTCCCCAGTTATCCAATTGTGCACTGTGTTCTTTATTTTTTTCCAGCCTAGACCTTTTAGTATAGAGTATTTCTTCATAGCTTTTTCACAATCAGCCATTTTCAGTTCCCTTTCCTCACGGACATTGCTTTCAAAAAGTCTTCTCAAAAGCCTACTTTGTTCATTCGTCAACTTCTTAATTTTTCGAGTTTTAGCTGAAAGAGAAAAATTAATGTTTTGATAAGTTATACTGCTGACTGACATAACAAAACAAACACAGATTTTTAAAATACATGATAAGAACACTGGTATCAGACACAGACCTAGAATTTATTACCAGAGGGGGTTATAAAATTATGAGAAGGGGTTTTTATTATTTTTCCAGAGGGGGTTCTGAGTTAAATTTTTGTGTGATTTGCCATAAAAACAAACAAAATACTTAAGTTAATTTCCAAATGTAATATTTCATGTAATATTATATTTCTTACATATTCTTAAAAAGAATAGTCATATTGCAGTTGGGAGTCAAACCCCATTCCCATCCCTCTGGATCTGCACTGAAGTGTTAATATCTTAAGGTATAGAAGACCAAATGATAAGAATAATCTGTGTGCAATTTAACCATATCTCGGCTATAAAAAAATCTTCAAAAATGTACAAGTATCAGTAAAAGAAATAAATTTTTAACAAGAGCACCGCTAGGCGGAGCATTATATGCCCGAAAGTGATTTTTTTATAGTAAAGGTGAAGCATTTGTAAGACATGGGAATTTAATAAAATATTACCTCCTTCAAATAACAATCCTCCTTTGAAGTTTCAATAGTGTGGTCCAAATGGATCTTAAGTTATGCCCCAGGAACTGTTTTCAATTCTAAGGTAATAGTGACCTTGAGCTTGTGACCCCAAAATCAATAGGGGTCTTCTACCCAATATGGACAATCATCCTATGAAGTTTGAATATTGTGGGCTAAATGGAACTTAAGTTATGCTCAAGAAACTGTTTTCAATGTCTAAGTAATAGTGACCTTGACCTTTGACCTTGTGACCCCAAAATCAATAGGGGTCTTCTACCCTATATGGACAATCATCCTATGAAGTTTGAACACTGTGGGTCAAATAGAACTTAGTAATGCTCCGGAAACTGATTTTAGTTTTAAGTTAACAGTGGCATTGACCTTTGACCTTGTGACCCCAAAATCAATAGGGGTCTTAAACCCAATATGGACAATCATCCTATGAAGTTTGAATATTGTGGGCTAAATGGAACTTAAGTTATGCTCAAGAAACTGTTTTCAATTTCTAAGTAATAGTGACCTTTGACCTTGTGACCCCAAAATCAATAGAGGTCTTCTACCCAATATGAACAATCATCCAATGAAGTTTGAACACTGTGGGCCAAATGGAACTTAAGTTATGCTCCGGAAATTGTTTTAAGTTTTAATGTCATAGTGGCCTTGACCTTTGACCTTGTGACCCCAAAATCAATAGGGGTCTTCTACCCAATATGAACAATCATCCTATGAAGTTTGAACACTGTGGGCCAAATGGAACAGGAAACTGTTTTCAGTTCTAAGGTAATAGTGACTTTGACCTTGTGACCACAAAATCAATAGGGGTCTTCTACCCAATATGAACAATCATCCTATGAAGTTTGAACACTGTGGGCGGACGGACGGACAGACAGACAGAAGGACGGACGCCAGGGGGTATAACATAATATGTCCGAAATTCTTTCGGGCATATAAAAAAGAGGAATAAAACGCAATAAAAACACTTTCCTCATTTGGCATGTCATTATATTGCAAATTAGTTCAGGATAATTAATTCAATTCCTATTTCAGACCTTTGGATAATTTTTCATAAACTTATTGGTACTTGCAAAAAGAATGTAAAAATCTTACATGATAAGCGTTTTGATCTGGCAGGCGCTGACGAGGTTTCTGCTTTACTGCCTGAAATAGAATGCAAACAGTCTGTAGGACCTTCTAGGAATATAATGTTCAATTTAGTGTCACTTAAAAGTAATATTGATCAACTTTTAACTTACCTGTTTTATTTCTTAAATGGACATTTCCTTAATCTAAATTTCGGAACTGTCCATTATCAACTTTGGGGATATCAGATGAAAATTTAACTCAAATATACCTAAGCATAGAGCCAGTAAAAGCCTATTCAGATTGCACAAATGATGGCCCGACTGGTGGCAAAGGCTAATCACCATCCGGGTAAATGTTTAACAACCTCTTAGTATTACTCAATAAACCCAGTTTTTGCCCTGGGGCCATGAACAGAACAAAGCTGAATGTCCATACTACACACCAAATATCTCTGTTCTTGATTATGTGACTCTTTTCCTTAACAGATTCCGTTAGGAACAGCAGCAGACAGCACTTGTTATAGCACTATCTCTATATACAATGACTGGATATTTGATGGACAGTGCCTTGCAGTTTTTGAGAAGTTTTAATTTTAAAAGTTTTCATTATTTAAGTTGCCAAGAATTTGGCCATGTGGGTTCAGAGTAGATGTCATTTGAATTGTGGACAATGGACATCCATCAATTATGAAAACTCACATATGTGCTAAAGTGTGTTAAAATAACTAGAACTGCCACTATCATGGCGTGAATACCCCCGCATACCACTTTGTCAGAATCAACAGTGGCCATTTAGAGCTCAAGGACAACCTCCCTACCAAATCTGAGGTTACTAAACCAGTGCATTGCTAAGTTATGTATTCTACATGCTTCAAATGTGAAAATGTCAAAATCAATACATTGCTGACAGGACATTCTTTAGCAATTGAGATGAAAAGCTTTTTTTTTGTCAAGGTCCCTGTGACCTTGACCTTTGACCCAGTGACCTCAAAATCAATAGGGGTCTTCTTATAGTCATGATCAACATCCATGCCAAATATGAAGACTGTGGGTCAAAGGAATCTTAAGTTAATGGGTGGACAAACTTTTTGAAGTCAAAGTCCCTATGACCTTGACCTTTGATCCAGTGACCTCAAAATCAAAAGGGGTCATCTACTAATCATGATCAACATCCATGCCAAATATGACAACTGTAGGTCAAAGGAATCTTAAGTTATTGGGCGGACAAGCTTTTTGAAGTCAAGGCCCCTGTGACCTTGACCTTTGACCTAGTGACCTCAAAATCATTAGGGGTCATCTACTAATCATGACTAACCTTCATGCCAAATATGACGACTGTAGGTCAAAGGAATCTTAAGTTATTGGGTGGACAAGCTTTTTTGAAGTCAAGGCCCCTGTGACCTTGACCTTTGACCTAGTGACCTCAAAATCAATAGGGGTCATCTACTAATCATGACTAACCTCCATGCCAAATATGACGACTGTAGGTCAAAGGAATCTTAAGTTATTGGGCGGACAAGCTTTTTGAAGTCAAGGCCCCTGTGACCTTGACCTTTGACCTAGTGACCTCAAAATCAATAGGGGTCATCTACTAATCATGACTAACCTCCATGCCAAATATGACGACTGTAGGTCAAAGGAATCTTAAGTTATTGGGCGGACAAGCTTTTTGAAGTCAAGGCCCCTGTGACCTTGACCTTTGACCTAGTGACCTCAAAATCAATAGGGGTCATCTACTAATCATGACTAACCTCCATGCCAAATATGTCGACTGTAGGTCAAAGGAATCTTAAGTTATTGGGCGGACAAGCTTTTTTGAAGTCAAGGCCCCTGTGACCTTGACCTTTGCCCTAGTGACTCAAAATCAATAGGGGTCATCTTACTAATCATGACTAACCTCCATGCCAAATTTGAAGACAAAGGGTCAAAGGAATCTTAAGTTATTGGGCGGACAAGCTTTTTGAAGTCAAGGCCCCTGTGACCTTGACCTTTGACTAGTGACCTCAAAATCAATAGGGGTCATCTACTAATCATGACTAACCTCCATGCCAAATTTGAAGACAAAGGGTCAAAGGAATCTTAAGTTATTGGGCGGACAAGCTTTTTGAAGTCAAGGCCCCTGTGACCTTGACCTTTGACCTAGTGACCTCAAAATCAATAGGGGTCATCTACTAATCATGACTAACCTCCATGCCAAATTTGAAGACAAAGGGGTCAAAGGAATCTTAAGTTATTGGGCGGACAAGCTTTTTGAAGTCAAGGCCCCTGTGACCTTGATCTTTGACCTAGTGACCTCAAAATCAATAGGGGTCATCTACTAATCATGACTAACCTCCATGCCAAATTTTGAAGACAAAGGGTCAAAGGAATCTTAAGTTATTGGGCGGACAAGCTTTTTGAAGTCAAGGCCCCTGTGACCTTGACCTTTGACCTAGTGACCTCAAAATCAATAGGGGTCATCTACTAATCATGACTAACCTCCATGCCAAATTTGAAGACAAAGGGTCAAAGAATCTTAAGTTATTGGCGGACAAGCTTTTTGAAGTCAAGGCCCCTGTGACCTTGACCTTTGACCTAGTGACCTCAAAATCAATAGGGGTCATCTACTAATCATGATACCTCCATGCCAAATTTGAAGACAAAGGGTCAAAGGAATCTTAGTTATTGGGCGGACAAGCTTTTTGAAGTCAAGGCCGCTGTGACCTTGACCTTTGACCTAGTGACCTCAAAATCAATAGGGGTCATCTACTAATCTGACTAACCTCCATGCCAAAAATGAAGACTAAGGGTCAAAGGAATCTTAAGTTATTGGTCAGCGGACAAGAAAAAAACCGAACGGACGGAACGGACGGACGGCCGACGGACGGACAGCCCGACGGACGGACAAGCTGATTCCAGATACCCCCCTTTACAACTTTAATTACGCGGGGTATAATAAAAAAATAAAGTAAAGAGCATTTTGCTCTATTTTTCTCAGTGTTTTACTGCACATTTCAAATGATAATCTGAATCAAATTTTGAGGTTCCTAGCCTTTGAACTGACAATAGGTTTCTGGCTAAACTCCTCTAGATGCATTCAATATATGAAGTTTAATGTTCTAATTTCAGTAAATGACCATAAAAACAGGAATAAATAAAGGGTTAAAAGTGCTTTATGGCCCAAATTAAGTTTGGCAAGGAACATCTACATTAAAAACTTCCTAAGTGAATGCATTTTGATTTAATGGCCAGGAATATATTTTGCTATTATAGTGAACTCTGTCATGAAATAAGTGTGGCAGGAAGAAACTTTTATCAACACACATATGTCTTAAGTTTCAAAAAGCTTTCTAGTTAATTACAGAAAACAAAACTCGACCATTACAGTAAACGTAAGTCATGATAATAACTTGATCCAGTTTTTCTTCAAAGTAAAAAAAGGGGCATTAATTTTGTTCCAAAATCCAAGACAAGATAATGTCCTTTTGCTTGAAGTTGGGATAATGGTCACTAAGAAGTGTTTAAAGTGTTTAAAGCAGTATCTTAAAGTGTATAGGAAATAAATCGGTGGTACGAGTATGAAAAAACTTTGCCAAAAGTGTTGAGCAGACGTCGACCACATGCGTACAAGTCCCGGTAAATTTCACTTTTTTTTTTAAAATTAAATTTAGTTACTAAAAATGAATATTGCTTTTGGAAAAGTCATTTTTTAAAAACCATTTTGAGCAAGATGAAAAAAAAAACAGTTTTGGAAAAGCTCCCTTTCCCTTTTTAAACATACTCCATTTTTTCCTTATTGAAATAGAAGTTAAAAACTTACTTTCAGCTAAATGCAAATGACCATCACCTCCACTGTTATCATTATTATCAACATCATTTTCATCTTTATTTTCATTAACATCATTTTCATCTTTATCTTCATTAACATCATTTTCATCTTTATCTTCATTGTCATCATTTTCATCTTTATCTTCATTGACATCATTTTCATCTTGATCTTCATTGACATCATTTTCATCTTTATCTTCATTGACATCATTTTCATCTTTATCTTCATTGACATCATTTTCATCTTTATCTTCATTGACATCATTTTCATCTTTATCTTCATTGACATCATTTTCATCTTTATCTTCATCAACTTCATTTTCATCTTTATCTTCATCAACTTCACTATCACTGCTCAAGTTACCAACTACAAAAATTACAAGAAAAACAGGACTATAGGTAGAAGCAAACTCTAAGGATTAGATCTACATAAGAATCAAGTAGCTAGAAGGATGTTAAAGTTATTATAAAACTTTTTATTATTATGTTAAGTACTTTTGAAATATTTGTACATATAATTCAAGGAAAAGTAAATTTAAGACTGAACATACATTTATTTATGCACACCTATGTATTTAGTTTTATCAAAACTTTTATAATTCAACTTGTTGCCTTTTCCATTTTTAGAAAATAATGAAGAAAGACTTCATCATTAAAGAATGAAAAAAAACTTCTTCATTACATATTTTCTTAATCTAACATTATATGCATAAATTAATTGAAAAGCCTGTATTTTAATAACAAAGTATTCAGTAACTGTGAGGAAGGGTCATGCAAACTATCAATTTTCTACCCATAAAAACAAGAAAACTTACTCTCATCTAATGAAATGTCATCAACAGACTTTCCAGTAAATTGGTTAATTGTTCCATTATTGAATGCAATTAAGAGCAGACCCATCCTAGCAACCAAATCAGGTTCTTGTGGCAGGCGACTAAATGACCCATGCACTTTGATGTCATGTCCCATAACAGTTTCTAAGGTTTTAAGATCATTTTCCTCCATATTTAAAATCTGAGAAACAATCGTCACTTGTTTTCTAAGTTTGATACTTGTGATATTCAGAGGTGATGATACATTAGCCTCTGTTGCAAACTTTTTAAGGACAAATGAAGTATTAAGTGGAGTAGTGCAACTAAAGTTTGGTCTGGCAAACAGATATTTGTTGTCTTTGTGCACACCAGCTTGACTTCGCCACTTCAAAAGAAGATCTATGTTTTTCCCAATAGAATGAGGAATGAAAATAAGCACAGTCTGCCCTTTGACCCCAGGGATATCTACTCTAGGAACTGTGGCCAACAGCGCTTTTTCAGTACTACTCATTAAACTTCCAACTTCTTCAGGTGGAGTTTCTGATTTCTTTCCAGTCATATAAACATCAGCAGTTAATCTCTGAGTTTCTCCAGCATGACTCCTATTAAAAAGAACTAGTTGAGCCAGACTTATTTGATTAAGTAGTTCCCAGTCAGATTTTGAGAATGACGGTGACTCTTCTAAGCTCTTTCTCAGTGCTTCGGTTTTCTTTTGAAAGAAAAGTTGTAACTTCACCATGTCCTGAGATAGAGTTACCATCAGATTCTGTCTTTTATTAACTTTTTTTGAAGACAAGGTTTGAAGTGCCATACTTGAAATTTCCCCTGTCCATTCACCTTCACACATAAAAAGAAAATCCTTGGCTCTTTTTATTGAATCAGTATTGCCAGAAATTAGGGGATTCCCTTTTACATATCCTAGCACATTTTTTGACTGTATGGCCAAGTTTTAAAGCCAATGATGGATTTCCATATTTGTTTGACTTTTCATCAAATGAGCACAATGATTTGGTTGCTGCAACAACAACTGGAAACTTGTCAGTATTAATCAAATCATAAAAACTTGAAATATCAGAGTCATGCTTTCTTGCCCTTATAAGCAACCGTGCTAACTCTCTCATTTTCTGGCTGACAAGTTGATAAAGATGAGGATTAATTTCTATACTTTTGATAAAGATTTTCTCCCAGCCTAACAATAAGTCTATCTTGACGAGCTGCTACTGTGACTTTCATCTACAACCATCTTACCAAATATATTTTCCTTTAGACCTTTACTGACTTGAACTGGAAAAGGTAAAAGAAGATAGGCCTCAGCTTGAACTTTACTCCACTTTTTGATATCTTTTGCAAATGGACATGCTTTTCTATGTCGCCACAAATTTGCTTTGTAATAGAAACCCAAACAACTTTTACATGGCAGATAGTCTTCGGGGGATGTTGCATTTGAAGACTTTGCTGATGTGACTAGAAGTCCCTCGTTTTTTTCCAAAACTTCAGTATTATGTTTAAAGTTCCCAGCATGCCGTAATTTCAGCAACTTTAATTTTCTCTCAGACGAGTTCAAAGGTTGGTCAAGAATTTGTTTTACTTCAGGTTCAGTTTTGTGGAGAAGAAGGTAATGCCTTCTTACACTAGTTGAGCCTTTACCACAATATAAGCAAAATTGAAGCTTATCATATTTCTTTTTACCATCTTTACTGTTAGTAAATTGCACTTTTACTCCACTTGAAGGCCTTTCTGAAGTTTTAGTTGTATCTGCCAGACACTTTTTATTTCCTTTTTTCCCTTTCTTTAAAGTGTTTGAACCTTTCTTTGTCATATGTGCCGAAAATTGTTCTGCAATATCGGAAAACTCTGACGAGTCGGAATCATCGTTGTCCTCAGTCTGATGAATCTCAGGGACTACAACACTGTTGCAGTTATTTTCTGTATCAGAAGTCATCCCCCAACTCCCTTTTTAAATTTTCCGGGTATGGAAACCCGGGTGATTGTTGATCAAATATAAAATGAATACTGGCTGGGAAATGGCTGTGAACAGTCTGGACTCCTATCTTTGGGAAAACCAGTACAAAAAATTATTAAAACACCTGTAAAACATAAAGGTTTTTAAAATTGATAAAAATGTACAATAAAGCACTGTGGGGAAAATTTAAATTTTATTAAGGGCATTTCTCTATTGGGTGAATTATTTGGGCTGAAAAAAAAAAATTTTTAATTTTATTTTAAAGGGAAATTTTAAAAAAACTCTGGGGTTAAAAAGTGGGGGATTCATGGGAACCCAATGAAAGTTCTAGTTTTGGGAAAGAGCATCCAGTTTGAAATAAACTAAAAGGACAAATTGGAAAAACCTTCTGTATTGCTTTTCTTCGCACAGATTTTTATAGAACTTGAAACAAGAGGGAATAATAACCCTAATATCGCTCACCTGAATATTAATACTCTACATGACAAGGAACAAGTAATATTGTAAACTTTAAACAAAAGCAGATATAACATCTAAATGTAAAATTGATATCAAGTTCATACTACTATCTGATAATAGCGCACATTCAAAAACATAACTGATTGCTACTTAGTTGAAAATAAAAAACAAGACTATCAAAATATGACACATAACAAAAGTAGCATTAGAATATTTATTTTATCTATAATAAATATTGAACAATAATGAACTGTATGAACAAATGTAAATATAGTTAGAATACAAAATATTTTGCAATTACATGTTGGGTACAAACTTTTCATTTAAGTGTATAGACCTCTATATATATGATGTATTATAAAATTATTATGATGATTTATATCATGACAACATGAATACAGAATACATTAAATAAAAGTTTTGTTGAGAACATATATGATATGTCACACTAAAATCTATAATGAAATTTTCCCAAGGGCAATAGTCAAGCAGTTAAAAAGTTACTATTTCAATTTTCCAATGACACAGCAAAAAATTCTGTAAATTTTCATAAAGATGTTGTTTTCTTCATTCAGATAACAAATTATGGATTTCAAAAATAAAAAGAAACCTTATCTATTTCTAAAACATGATTTTACAACTATTTTTAAATATTGTACAACTTAACTGCTAATTCATCAATTTATGGTTTGGTCCCAGCTTTTACCAAAACTGATATCACAAAGTTCATATTTGTATCTGAAATAGTGCATGTGTAACAACATTACTGGTTGCTATTGCTAAGGGAAAACAACAGTTCCAAAAGATGTGCACATATAATATAATATCTAAGCTCAAGCTCCTTGGGTTTTCTAAAAGAAGATTTTATCAAGTTTTTGCTATATACATATAAGGAAAATCAATGACTGACTAGAACGGGGCAAATTTTGATCCTGTTTTACCCTTTTGCAATAAATATGTCTATTTTTTAATTCAAATTCTAACATGGGACGGATTTAATTGACATATAATGCTCATTTTCGGGATAAAAAATGTACATCACCATTGCAGTCCGCCATTTTTTCTTCGGATTTTTAGTCACAGATCATAACAAGGAACATCGCAATGCGATGCAACCAGGTTTTCAGCAAAATATTTCACAGAAGCTTTGTCATGAAGGGGCATTTGTTTTTAATTGAACTTTTAGGAGGAATTATGGCTTTTTTAATATTCCTCAAACAAAAATGATTGAGAAATTTTATGTTGTCTATTCGCCTTTTTTTCCCAAATATTTTAGAAAGGTAAACAGTACTTTATTTTTGCTTAATTTTTGCATTTTTGCGTCTCTTGTCATTTTCTTTCGTCAACAATATTGGCGTGTGGTGTTTTGTGCGATATCAAGAAAAGTATGTTCACAATTTTAAAAAAATACTTGAATGATGTCTTGGAAGAAACATGGGAATTTAGTGAGCGCCAGGGCACTTGATGACAAAGCTTCTGTGAAAGTTTGGTCAAAATCCATTGAGAAATGTAGGAGAAGTTGCGCACTGTAGAAATTGTTCACTTATATTCTGTATAAGGAAAAAATATACAAAGGGCCATAATTCGGTCAAATATTATCCAATCACAAAACTCCGACAATATGTGCCAGGCACTTGATAACAAAGCTTCTAAGAAAGTTTGGTCAAAATCCGTTGAGAAATGTAGGAGGAGTTGAGCACAGAAGAAATTGTTCTCTATATATTCTGTATAAGGAAAAAATATACAAAGGGCCATAATTCAGTCAAAATATTATCCAATCACAAAACCCGACAATATGTGCCAGGCACTTGATAACAAAGCTTCTAAGAAAGTTTGGTCAAAATCCGTTGAGAAATGTAGGAGGAGTTGCGCACAGAAGAAATTGTTCACTATATATTCTATATAAGGAAAAAAAAACAAAGGGCCATAATTAGGTCAAATATATACCAATTGCAAAACCCTGGCAATATGTGACACGGCACTTGATGACAAAGCTTCTGAGAAAGTTAGGTCAAAATCCGTTGAGAAATGTAGGAGGAGTTGCGCACAGAAGAAATTGTTCACTATATATTTTACATAAGAAAAAAAAACAAAGGGCCATAATTAGGTCAAATATTATCTAATCGCAAAACCCCGACAATATGCGCCAGGGCACTTGATGACAAAGCTTCTGTGAAAGTTTGGTCAAAATCCGTTGAGAAATGTAGGAGGAGTTGCGCACAGAAGAAATTGTTTAGCCCGCCCGCCCGCCGACATACCTCAATCTAATTACCAGTTTTTTCCTTCGGGAAAACCTGGTTAAAAATGGAACCCATAAAATTTCATTTTAAATCACTAAAGTTTTGTCCCAGCTTATGGAAAAAAGAAAAATAATGGCCTACAGATGTGTAAATGCATGTTTTATATACATGTACATGCAGTTGACATTTGATAGCAATTGCTCATATTTTGTACCAGTGCTTACTGAGCTATCAGTAGTGTGCAATAAAAAAATGAAAAAAAAAAATGTAACTATGAGTAAAGTGGTCATGACTTTTTTTAACATATCATATAATGTTATTTAAAAGAAATAAATATCAATTTGGATAACACTAATTTTGTCAGAAAATAATTATATGGTTAACGAACCATAATACAAGATTATTACTATAATGCAGACGATAAGCATGCAACACAGGTGCTTTATATTGCAGGTGTTTTTTTCTATTATTACTTTCATATAAATAATAAAAAGTTACAGATGGTTGTCGTAAATAAAGTAATTGTAAGAATGGACGTGAAGGCTAGGCATGGTTGTTTTAGTGTTGCGAGACGTCTGCCATGCATAAATCCGCACCTGATGCAATTCATTACCAATTCACAATCTATTGTTGTAGGTATGGTGAAAATTTATTCTACATGTATAATTGTCTTTGTAATTATTCAACATAATACACAAAAAAAAATGCCTCATATGCCTTTAAAATTCTACATAGACAATATTTACATTTCTAATGCTATGGTCACAAGCCCTGTGCGTCTTTTTTGTTCGTACATTTTTTGAAGGCCACGTTCCTGTTTTTTTTTTTGTGTGAATAATTTGGTAGGATGTGGCAAGAGCAGAAGCACGTCATATTCACGATTGCCCAAGGTTTGAGTATGCGGCGCGCAAGCCACGTCTAGGGGTAAGTTATTTATTTTTAACAAGTCTTTTGTGTTTAAAGTTCCGAGCAACTTCTTTGGCACTACACTTCCTCTTATTGGTCCCCATCATTGTGTGATCATTGAAGTTACACTTCCGACAAGAAGCAGACGGACAACTATAATGCTCTCCCTTCAGGGAGCATAAAATAGCATTTAATTTTCGGCTTGGTTCGAACATTCACTGTGCGTTAAGCATTGACATTTGGGACTACTTCGGATGTGTTGTTTTATAATTCTTTCACTGTTTATCAGTGGTTAATTTTAATTAGAATGAATTGAATGAATACTTAGACCATAAATACAGAATACACAACACATTGTTTATTTCAGTCTCATCAATGTACTCATGACATTTCAATAGCATAAAAAAATCAAATAAGATTATACATAGCCACTCTTCAAAGAGTTTTAAGAGACATCATGATTATGTTGACTACATAAATGTATAAAATCATAATATATTAATACTATATTGAAGCCTTAAAATAGTTTAATAACACTTAAAAAGTATCTAATCTATTTTGAGTTTAAAAAGGTTTAGTACTAGCTTAGCAGGTGAAGGATCATGTTTCAGACTATTTAAACTCAAGAGCTATGGGTGTGATAATATAATTCAAACTATTAAACCCGAAAAAGGAAAACATAAAGCAATAACTTATTTTCAGTGTAGCAATCACCCATCAGCATCTATAAGAATCATGATCCTTAGCCTTTACAAAAGTATTCTAAACAACATTTCATCTATACAGTATTTTTACTATTAGTAACAAGAGCTGTCGGTAGGACAGCAACGCTCGACTATTCTTAGTGATTGATAGTAAAAAAAAATGCTTGATACAGTTACCTCCTCCTGTTTACAGGTTGGGGTAATGATGGTGAACAAGTGTGCAAAGTTTCAAAGCCATATGTCAATGAACTTTGAAAATATTTGAGGTATTACAAAAATTTTAACATAAATCCTAAGTCGAAAAAGGGGCATAATTCTGTCAAAATGCTCGATACAGTTACCTCCTCCTGTCTACAAGTTGGGGTAATGATGGTGAACAAGTGTGCAAAGTTTCAAAGCCATATGTCAATGGACTTGGAAAATTTATAAGGTACATTTGTATTACAAAAACTTTAACATAAATTCTAAGACGAAAAAGGGGCATAATTCTGTCAAAATGCTTGATAGAGTTACCTCCTCCTGTCTACAGGTTGGGGTCATGATGGTGAACAAGTGTGCAAAGTTTCAAAGCCATATGTCAATGGACTTTGAACATATTTGAACTAATACAAAAAATTTAACATAAGTGGTTACGCCGACGCAGACGCTGACGCTCGGGTGACTGCAATAGCTCTACTTATTCTTATTGAATAGTCGAGCTAAAAAGGGCATGTGTAACCTATGTGCATAGTACATACATTTCTTCTTATACTGGAGGTTAGTTAGGGCTTTCAAATGATAAAACAGAATATAGCAGTGTCTTTTAACAAATTCTCATGTGAGAGCACACATATCAATTTATCTACATCACTCAAAGTATGAAAAGAGGCATTAAGCTTATATAACTTTAAAAATAAGGTCCTTTTTTGAGATGTTGATAAGAATGGCAGTGAAATAGTACATGCATTTAATTGAAAACATTAACCTTTCAAATATGGCACAACTGCTAACTTTAAGGAATATTTTCATATCTTCCCATTTCTCATCTTAATGGAGACCATTTCCAGAGTTCTATATACATGTATATAAATATTAACATACACAGACAATTTAAAATAAGTAAAAAAAACAATGTCAACTAAATAAAAGCAACTCTTATCTTTAAAAGCACTTATTTTCTGATGCATAATTAAAGGTGTCAGGTGTCTAAGATTTGGGTATTGTCTGAAGTTAGGCACCCAGCCAGTGCCTGAGATCGTACATATCTCATTTTTTTAAGCACAGTTTCTTCAAATGTTGGGTTGTGTGCATTCTAACAGTCTTCCGCTCGTTGAACAATTTTGTTCGGATCTTAAGGTATTGTACCTCCTCAGGCAATCCCCTAACAGATTCAATTACTCCTTTGCGGATGACACTGATTATTTGTTGTTTACCTGAAACAGACAAGAATATTTAAAACATAAAACTACACAATGGAGTATGTAACAAGCTGAAAAAGACCAGAAATGTTACTGTTTTTGGTCTTATGGCAATAAACAATAGCTTTATTACTTGAACATTTCAACTGGGTAACGGTGTGCAGACAATGAATGAATTCTATAAAATTATATTGCCTGGCATGGGTTGTCTTACAATTAAATTAATATGACCTACTTGGCAAACTTCCCTTGCAGTCTTCCTGGTCACTTCTGGAGAAAATGCAATCTTTGAACTCTTTCCGGAGCAAACTGGTGTCTTTTGCAGACCATTTTACTGAAACTTACAAAAATATAAACGTTTGCATCCAAAGTTCTCTCTTTAATTGGAAGTTTATCAATCAGGCTACCTGCATTTGCAAGTGGCCTAAACAAGTTTTATGCTTTTTAAAATGCTATTTTAGCTAAGTTTTTATATGATGTCATTTAATTTTTTATAAATGATATTATTAATCTTAAATTGTCAATGTTCATAACTTGCGCCTGCCATATGTGGTTCAGTAATGACTTTTAGCAGTATAAAGTTCTTCACTGCAAATTTCACATGGTAAACTAGACATTCCTTAAAAATAATGATGCTCTTTAACTAGGCATATAAGTTGGCATTGGAAACTGTTCAGCATTTAGATAGATACACATGTATGCAACCAGGCCTGGCCAAGTTGACTTTTTGACAATAATTGTTGAATGCTCTTTTTTTGTTCTTGCTCTATTTGTATAGTTGACTTTAACCTTCATCAAAATGTGTTTCCTCGAATCCTGTGATATTTTGGTATGCAGTATTTTTTATTCTTTGACTCTCTTTCGATGTCCTGTTAAGCCTATTCAATTTATCTGTGTTTTCCTATATTTCTTTGTGCTATCAAAGTGTCAGATGAGATGTTAAAAGCTTACACTTATTTATTAATGATAGTTCCAATTTCTTTGTTAAGACCTCAGCAATTCTCTGAATAGGTCATTCATTAATCTCATTAAAAAAATGTTATTTCACTTCTTGACAGGTCATATGGCTATTGTGGAAATATCACCAATCTTTAATAGTTTTCAATATGACATGTGAAGGACAAAAATAACAATAATCTATGTAACATTACAATGTACATGCATATTAGCAATAAGGGTCCACAAAATCATGGTTAAGGGGACACTTCATTAATGTTTATGTTGTCTGCATATTGTCATTATCAAAGTAACTCACCTTCAGTTTTTCTCTGTTTCTGTCCTTGTGTCTGGAACTCCTCGTCATCGTTATCTTCACATCTCATCGAGCTACTGCTTGCTCTGAACCCTGCTAAAGACAAAATGACTTAAGTTCCTGTTATATTTAAGAACTAGAGCTCAGCACATCAAAGCATTATACACATGAAAGTATTGGCTGATTATTGTGCTAATTATGAATACAGTCAACTCTCATTATCTTGAAGTCATCGGGACCGTCCAAAAAATATCGAGATAACGAAATGTCGAGATAAACATATAAGGGTTTGAATAAGGCAGAATACTGATTTTTACAAAAGACATGTGCATACCTTATGTCAAATGAACTATGATATCCCCATGTCTTGTTTTCATAGGCGTAGTCAATATTTAACAAAGTAACATAAGTGGATGTTTACCAGCGAAAATACGGGTTTCTGTGATAAACACACATAGTGAGGTTTACTCAGTTACTTTTACGTGCAAAAAGAATGAAAATATCTTACATGATAATACGCGTTTTGATCTGGCAGGCGTCGATGAGATTTCTGCTTTACTGCCTGGAATAGAATGCAAACAGTCTGTTGGACCTTCTAGGAATATAATGTTCAATTAAGTGTCACTTAAAAGTAATATTGATCAACTTACCTGTTTCATTTCTTAAATTGACATTTCCTAAATCTAAATTTCGGAACTGTCCATTATCAACTTTGGGGATATCAGATGAAAATTTAACTCAAATAAACCTAAGCATAGAGCCAGTAAAAGCCTATTCAGATTGCACAGATGCTGGCCCGACTAGTGGCAAAGGCTAATTACCATCCGGGTAAATGTTTAACAACCTCTTAGTATTACTCAATAAACCCAGTTTTTACCCTGGGGCCATGAATGGAACAAAGCTGGATGTCCATACTACACACCAAATATCTATGTTCTTGATTAGGTGTCTCTTTTTCTTTACAAATTCTGTTACAGACATTTACGAAGGAACAGCACCAGACAACACTTGTTACTCTCTATGTACAATGACTGGCTAATTGCTGGACAAAGGGCCGTGCAGTTTTTGAGAAGAATTTTAAAAGTTTTCATAATTTAAGTTGCCAAGAATTTGGCCATGTGGGTTCAGAGGAGATGTCTTTTGAATTGTGGACAATGGACATCCATCAATCATGAAAACTCACATATGTGCTAGTGTGTTAAAAAAATAAACAAACAAAGATAAAGAGCATTTCGCTCCATTTTTTGCACATTTCCATTGATAATCTAATCAAAGGTCAGAGGTCCGCGACCTATGACTGAAAAATAGGTTTCATAGGCTGAACTCGTCTAGATGCATCCACATATGAAGTTTTAATGTTCCAATTGCAGTAAATGACCATAAACATGAATTTAATCAAAGAAGTAAATAAAGAATGAGTGCTTTATGGCCCAAATTAAGTTTGGCAAGGTACATCTACATTCAAAACTTCCTAAGTCAATGCATTTGATCTAATGGCCAGGAATATATTTTGCTATTACAGTGAACTCTGTCATGAAATAAGTGTGGCAGGTAGAAAACTTTTGAGATGTATCAACACACATATGTATTAAGTTTCAAAAGCTTTTCTAGTTAATTACCGAAAACAAAAACTTGACCATAATAGTAAACCTAAGTCATGATAATAACTTTATCCAGTTTTTCTTCAAAGTAAAAAAGGGGCATAATTTTGTCAAAATCCAAGACAGAGTAATGTCCTTTTGATTGGAAGTTGGGATGATGGTCACTAAGAAGTATTTAAAGTTTTAAAGCAGTATCTCAAAGTGTATAGGAAATAAATCGGTGGTACAAGTATCAAAAACTTTACCAAAAGTGTGTAGCAGACGCCAACAGATGAGTAAGTAGGATAGATCTCCTTTTTATTTGAATACAATAGTTGAGCTAAAAATAAATATTGCATATTGGGTCATTATTGTAAACACTTGAGCAAGATGACCAAAAACAGAATTGCAGGCAGCCTGCCTTTCAACATACTCCATTTTTTTTCCTATTAAAAAACAAGTTAAAAACTTACTTTCAGCTACATGCAAATGACAATCACCTCCACTGTCATCGTTATTACCAACATCATTTTCATCTTTATCTTCATTTACATCATTTTCATCTTTATCTTCATTAACATCATTTTCATCTTTATCTTCATTGACATCATTTTCATCTTTATCTTCATTGACATCATTTTCATCTTTATCTTCATTGACATCATTTTCATCTTTATCTTCATCAACTTCATTTTCATCTTTATCTTCATCAACTTCACTATCACTGCTCAAGTTACCAACTACAAAAATTACAAGAAAAACAGGACTATAGGTAGAAGCAAACTCTAAGGATTAGATCTACATAAGAATCAAGTAGCTAGAAGGATGTTAAAATTATTATAAAACTTTTTTCATTATATAAAGACATTAAAGTACTTTTGAAATACTTGTAGTAAATAAAAGGTAATTTGTATATAATTCAAGGTAAATTGAATTTATGACTGAACATACACTTACTTATGCACATCTATGTATTAAGTTTTATCAAAACTTTTATAATTCAAATTGTTGCCTTTTCCATTTTTAAAAAGAATGAAGAAAAACTTCATCATAACATATTTTTTTTAATTTAAAAAATTTATATGAAAAATTAAAGAAATTTGGGACGGGTATTAATTAAAAAGCCTGTTTTTTAAAAAAAACCCAAATATTCATTTAACTGTGGGATGGGCCCCTTTGCAAACTTTTAAATTTTTCCTACCCATAAAAACGAAAATTTACTTCATCAATGAAATGCCCTAAACAGATTTTTCCAGTAAATTGGTTAATTGTTCCATTATTGAATGCAATTAAGAGCAGACCCATCCTAGCAACCAAATCAGGTTCTTGTGGCAGGCGACTAAATGACCCATGCACTTTGATGTCATGTCCCATAACAGTTTCTAAGGTTTTAAGATCATTTTCCTCCATATTTAAAATCTGAGAAACAATCGTCACTTGTTTTCTAAGTTTGATACTTGTGATATTCAGAGGTGATGATACATTAGCCTCTGTTGCAAACTTTTTAAGGACAAATGAAGTATTAAGTGGAGTAGTGCAACTAAAGTTTGGTCTGGCAAACAGATATTTGTTGTCTTTGTGCACACCAGCTTGACTTCGCCACTTCAAAAGAAGATCTATGTTTTTCCCAATAGAATGAGGAATGAAAATAAGCACAGTCTGCCCTTTGACCCCAGGGATATCTACTCTGGGAACTGTGGCCAACAGCGCTTTTTCAGTACTACTCATTAAACTTCCAACTTCTTCAGGTGGAGTTTCTGATTTCGTTCCAGTCATGTAAACTTCAGCAGTTAATCTCTGAGTTTCTCCAGCATGACTCCTATTAAAAAGAACTAGTTGAGCCAGACTTATTTGATTAAGTAGTTCCCAGTCAGATTTTGAGAATGACGGTGACTCTTCTAAGCTTTTTCTCAGTGCTTCGGTTTTCTTTTGAAAGAAAAGATGTAACTTCACCATGTCCTGAGATAGAGTTACCATCAGATTCTGTCTTTTATTAACTTTATTCGAAGACAAGGTTTGAAGTGCCATACTTGAAATTTCCCCTGTCCATTCACCTTCACAAATTAAAAGAAAATCCTTGGCTCTTTTTATTGAATCAGTATTGCCAGAAATTAGGGATTCCCTTTTACATATCCTAGCACATTTTTTGACTGTATGGCCAAGTTTTAAAGCCAATGATGGATTTCCATATTTGTTTGACTTTTCATCAAATGAGCACAATGATTTGGTTGCTGCAACAACAACTGGAAACTTGTCAGTATTAATCAAGTCATAAAAACTTGAAATATCAGAGTCATGCTTTCTTGCCCTTATAAGCAACCGTGCTAACTCTCTCATTTTCTGGCTGACAAGTTGATAAAGATGAGGATAATTTCTATACTTTTGATAAAGATTTTCTCCCAGCCTAACAATAAGTCTATCTTGACGAGCTGCTACTGTGACTTCATCTACAACCATCTTACCAAATATATTTTCCTTTAGACCTTTACTGACTTGAACTGGAAAAGGTAAAAGAAGATAGGCCTCAGCTTGAACTTTACTCCATTTTTTGATATCCTTTGCAAATGGACATGCTTTTCTATGTCGCCACAAATTTGCTTTGTAATAGAAACCCAAACAACTTTTACATGGCAGATAGTCTTCGGGGGATGTTGCATTTGAAGACTTAGTTGATGTGACTAGAAGTCCCTCGTTTTTTTCCAAAACTTCAGTATTATGTTTAAAGTTCCCAGCATGCCGTAATTTCAGCAACTTTAATTTTCTCTCAGATGAGTTCAAAGGTTGGTCAAGAATTTGTTTTACTTCAGGTTCAGTTTTGTGGAGAAGAAGGTAATGCCTTCTTACACTAGTTGAGCCTTTACCACAATATAAGCAAAATTGAAGCTTATCATATTTCTTTTTACCATCTTTACTGTTAGTAAATTGCACTTTCACTCCACTTGAAGGCCTTTCTGAAGTTTTAGTTGTATCTGCCAGACACTTTTTATTTCCTTTTTTCCCTTTCTTTAAAGTGTTTGAACCTTTCTTTGTCATATGTGCCGAAAATTGTTCTGCAATATCGGAAAACTCTGACGAGTCGGAATCATCGTTGTCCTCAGTCCGATGAATCTCAGGGACTAAAACACTGTTGCAGTTATTTTCTGTATCAGAAGAATCATCCTCCAACTCCATAGAATCCTCCGATATGGACCCTGATGATTGTTGATCACTATCAATATGCAATACTGGCATGGAACTGGCTGCTGAACAGTCTGGACTCCTATCTGGAAAGCGAGTACAAGAAAATATTAATACACCTGAAAAACATATGGTTATTAAAATTGATACATGTACAATAAAGTCACTGTGAAAATTAATTTCATTACAGACATTTCTCTATGGCTGAATTATTGGTCTGAAAAACAATTTTTAAGTTTTATTAAGGAATATTAAAAAAAGCTCTGGTTAAGAGTGGGCTGATCATGGCACCAACTGAAGTTCTAGTTTGGAACTGAGCATCCAGTTTGAAATAAACTAAAAGGACAAATTGGAAAAACCTTCTGTATTGCTTTTCTTCGCACAGATTTTTATAGAACTTGAAACAAGAGGGAATAATAACCCTAATATCGCTCACCTGAATATTAATACTCTACATGACAAGGAACAAGTAATATTGTAAACTTTAAACAAAAGCAGATATAACATCTAAATGTAAAATTGATATCAAGTTCATCCTACTATCTGATAATAGCGCACATTCAAAAACATAACTGATTGCTACTTAGTTGAAAATAAAAAACAAGACTATCAAAATATGACACATAACAAAAGTAGCATTAGAATATTCATTTTATCTATAATAAATATTGAACAATAATGAACTGTATGAACAAATGTAAATATAGTTAGAATACAAAATATTTTGCAATTACATGTTGGGTACAAACTTTTCATTTAAGTGTATAGACCTCTATATATGTGATGTATTACAAAATTATTTTGATGATTTATATCATGACAACATAGCTACAGAATATATTAAATAAAAGTTTTGTTGAGAACATAATATGTCACACTAAAATCTATAATGAAATTTTCCCAAGGGCAATAGTCAAGCAGTTAAAAAGTAACTATTTCAATTTTCCAATGACACACCAAAAATTCTGTAAATTTTCATAAAGATGATGTTTTCTTCATTCAGACAACAAATTATGGATTTCAAAAATAAAAAGAAACCTTATCTATTTCTAAAACATGATTTTCCAACTATTTTTAAATATTGAACAACTTAACTGCTAATTCATCAATTTATGGTTTGGTCCCAGCTTTTACCAAAAAATTGTTGAAATTTGACACTGCATAATGAAAATATATACAAAACAAGAGGGTCATGATGGCCCTGAAATCGCTCATGTATAACAAGAAACAAGTTATATTGTAAACTATAAACAAAAGCAGATAAAATCTAAATCTTAAACTGATATCACAAAGTTCATATTTTGTAAATCTGAAATAAGTGGCATGTGTAACAACAATTACTGGTTGCTAAAATTGCTAAGGGAAAACAACGGGGTTCCCCAAAAGCATGTGCAAATATTATAATTTAATATTCTAAGCTCAAGCTCCTTGGGTTTTCTAAAAGAAGGATTTTATCAAGTTTTTGCTATATACATTTAATTATAAAGGAAAATCAATGACTGAACTAGAAAACAGGGGCAAATTTTTGGATCCCAATTTTATCCTTTGGCAATAAATTATGTTCTAATTTTTTTAATTCAAATTTATAACATGGAAACGGATTTAATTGACATAATAATGCTCATTTTTGGAATAAAAAATGTACATCACCATTGCAGTCCGCAATTTTTTCTTCAGATTTTTAGTCACAGATCATAACAAGAGGGCCATGATGGCCCTCACCTGTACATAGGCCCCCGAGCCCAACCCCCCCCCCCCCAAACATTGCAGGCCAATTTAACCCAAGGGCTTTTATTTGCACAAACTTGGTAGACACCATAAGAAGATGTTTCATGCTAAACATCTAAGCTCTAGCTCATTGGGTTTTTTTAAAAGAAGATTTTTTTTAAAGTTTTTACTATACACATATAGTTAAAAACAATGACACCCCTGGGGGGGCCAGTTTTGACCCAGGGCTTTTATTTGAACAAACTTTGTAGACACTTACTAGAAGATAATTCATGCTTAATATCTAAACTCTAGCTATTTGGGTTTTTTTCAAAGAAGATTTTAAGTTTTTGCTATACACATATAAAGAAAATCAATGACCCCCGGGGCGGGGCCAATTTTGACCCCAGGTCTTTTATTTGAACAAACTTTGTAGACACTCACTAAAAGATGTTTCATGCTTAATATCTTAACTCTAGCTATTTGGGTTTTTTCAAAGAAGATTTTTAAAGTTTTTGCTATACACATATAAGGAAAATCAATGACCCCCGGGGCGGGGCCAATTTTGACCCCAGGGCTTTTATTTCAACAAACTTGGTAGACACCTATTAGAACATGTTTGATGCTAAATATCTTAGCCATAGCTCTTTGAGTTCTTTAAAAGAAGATTTTTTAAGATTTTACTATATGCATATAGGGAAAATCAATGACCCCCGGGGGCGGGGCCAATTTACACCCCAGGGCTTTTATTTGAACAAACTTGGTAGACACTTATTAGAACATGTTTCATGCTAAATATCTTAGCTCTAACTCTTTTGGTTCTTTAAAAGAAGATTTTTTAAGTTTTTACTATATGCATATAGGGAAAATCAATGACCCCCTGGGGCGGGGCCAATTTTGACACAAGGGCTTTTATTTGAACAAACTTGGTAGACACCTATTAGAACATGTTTGATGCTCAATATCTTAGCCATAGCTCTTTGAGTTCTTTAAAAGAAAATTTTTTAAGTTTTTACTATATGCATTTAGGGAAAATCAACGACCCCCCGGGGCGGGGCCAATTTTGACCCCAGGGCTTTTATTTGAACAAACTTGGTAGACACCCATTAGAACATGTTTCATGCTAAATATCTTAGCTCTAGCTCTTTGGGTTCTTTAAAAGAAGATTTTTTAAGTTTTTACTATAAGCATATAGGGGAAATCAACGAACCCCCGGGGCGGGGCCAATTTTGACCCCAGGGCTTTTATTTGAACAAACTTGGTAGATACCCATTAGAACATGTTTCATGCTAAATATCTTAGTTCTAACTCTTTTGGTTCTTTAAAAGAAGATTTTTTAAGTTTTTACTATATGCATATAGGGAAAATCAATGCCCCCCCGGGGCGGGGCCAATTTTGACCCCAGGGCTTTTATTTGAACAAACTTGGTAGACACCTATTAGAACATGTTTGATGCTCAATATCTTAGCCATAGCTCTTTGAGTTCTTTAAAAGAAAATTTTTTAAGTTTTTACTATATGCATATAGGGGAAAATCAATGACCCCCGGGGGCGGGGCCAATTTTGACCCCAGGGCTTTTATTTGAACAAATTTGGTGGACACCCATTAGATCATGTTTCATGCTAAATATCTTAGCTCTAGCTCTTTGGGTTCTTTAAAAGAAGATTTTTTAAGTTTTTACTATATGCATATAGGGAATGCATAATAGTTTCTGTTCTTGTGTCTGGAACTCCTCGTCATCATTATCTTCACATATCATTGAGCTACTGCTTGCTCTGAACCCTGCTAAAGACAAAATGACTTAAGTTCCTGTTATATTTAAGAACTAGAGCTCAGCACATCAAAGCATTATACACATGAAAGTATTGGCTGATTATTGTGCTAATTATGAATAGGTCTGAATACCGAAAGAACAAAAATTCTGAATTCACTGTCACATTCATAACACCAAGCATGTTTGCCAATGATCATGAAGCCATAAAAACTTGACAATGATTGACAATTTCTGTAGGGTGGTGGCCGTTGTCTTCTTATTTTTTTTAACTTTATTCAATTGTATACTTTTCACATTTTTAAGTTCATGAGCCTTAATTTGCAATTGTATTATTAAAATATAGTCTTTTACACTACAAACAGAATGTTTTGAAAGAATCAGGGACATTGCACTCTTAAACACTTTACCTACACAACAAAAACTTAAATTACCTTTGTCTGCTTTGTTCACAACTGTGGTGGTTTCTTCAGTGATAAACTGTTTCAGGTCTTTCAATGTTGATTCCAATGGTAAGTTTGAAGGCTTGCATGTTTTTTCCAATGAATTTGCAAAACTTGTTTGTCTAGGTTTGAGGAAAATCTCACTTGATTTATGTTTGTATGCTGCCTTGAAGTTTTTTAATTCCTTTCTTTTTTCATCTTGCATAGTTACACTGTAATGACCATTTAAGGTCTTAACTGATCTTAGAATCACCCCATCTAAAAAGAATTTCTTTCCATGTTTTTCAGTTTTATAATCATCTTTTGTAACTACCAAACTAATAGCCTTGACTAGATCACTCAAATTGCATCTTTGGAACATGTCTTCAACAGTTTTGTGTTCTCCAACTATTGTTTTAAACATTTGAAATAGTTTGGCAAGTCCCCTCATTTCCGCCATGACTACTTTCCTCACCTCAACTTGTTTTCCTTCTTCATGTCTCCTTAGACAGAAATGTCTGTACCCAAACATTTTTATTGTTTGGTTGGTCCTACACAAGTCCCCAATTTCTCCATCCCGAAATCGGTTCAGGATGTCCAAGAATGCAGTGTCTTCATTTGATTGTTTTTGTAGTAATACAGGCTTCAATGGCTCCGGTTTGTCCACCAAGCATTTATGTTTGTAAAAATACTTGTTTCCAAAATACCCTTTACAATCAAGACAAACCCTCAGTTTGTCTTCACATTTTACATTCCTCTCACGCATGGTTGGTTCATTGCCGTGAGATAATTGCTCTATGTTAAACTCATAAATGCCTTCTTTTCTTTTTTGATTAAAAAATTGATTTTGCACTGCTTTTGTTTGTTTTAAAATATATTGTACTTCTTGATTGCTTTTGTGCTTCCTGATGATGTGTCTTTTCAGTTTACCACCAAAAACCATTTTCTTGCAATACAAACAGTATCTCTCAGGTTTCTGAAAAGAGAAAAATGGACTCTCCAATTTCCATCCATAAAAAAGAATTTTTCCAAAGAATTAAATGTTATTTTACCACTTCAATTCAAAAATTTAAATATTAGAGCCTTGAATAAAATGTGTGCAACCACAAAAGCCAACTAGAGCTATCACAATTGTGATGAATACCCCACGATTAGCCTTAAATGGTTTAGTTGTTTATCCACATATGATATTTAGGTAATAAAGGTAGGGTTGCAAAACTTGTACAAGTCATACCATCTCAATGAGGTTATTATTTGTACCAAATAATATCATCCTTCATCAAATATAGAAATAACTGCCACGACAAGCTGGGGTTATTATGCACCGTCTGTCCGTCCGTTTGTACAAACCTAGAGGTACTTGTGTGACTTGGAGAACAATGGGTAACAGTACTATCTCTTTGATCCTATTCATGCTGTTTTTATTTGTGTGTCTTTTTCTAAACCTTGTGTGACTAAAAATGACTAAAAAGATCAAAGGAAAAGTCACATAAGTACCATTTCGTTAGTACGTCCGTCAGTCTGTCCCCACTTAATTCGTGTCCGGACTGTAACTTTGGAATACATTGAGGGATTTTGAAATAACTTGGCACAAATGTCTCCCACATCAAGATGATGTATCGTATTCAAGAAAGTCCCTACCTCAAAAGTCTATCATTTTGAAGTTTCACATTATCACAATTAGAATTAATAGGTACCCAAATCGTGTCTGGGCTGTGATTTTGTCATGCATGGAAGGATTTAAAAATAACTTGGCATAAATATCTACAACATCAAGACGATGTGTCGGGTCCAATAATCTTGTACCTACCTCAAAGGTCAAGGTCACACTGCCATTTTGAAGTTCACTATATCATAATTAGAGTTTATAGGTACACACATTCTTGTCCGTGCTGTAACTTTGTCATGCATCGAAGGATTTTAAAATAACTAGACATAAATGTCTACCACATCGAGATGATGTGTCACGACAAAGACCCATGTCCTAACCTTCAAGATCAAGGTCACACTTTTAGTTTTAAGTTACTCATTCTCTCAGGAAGAGTTTGAAGATACACATTCATGTCCGGACTGTAACTTTGTCATGCATGGAAAGATTTTAAAATAACTTGGCACAAATGTCTACCACATCATCAAGACAATGTGTCGCGGCTAAGGCTCATGTCCGTTCGTCTGTGTGTGCCCACTTACAATTATGTCCAGTCTTAAACTTTGTCATGCACTGAGGGATTTTAAAATAATTTGGAACAAATGTCTATCTCATAACAACATTTTGTTGCGTACAGGAACCTCGTCCCTTCTTTAAAGGTCAAGGTCACACTTATATTTTGAAGGTTCATGCTATTACAACTAGAGATTACAGGTACAACAATACAAAGAACAATAGCAATTACAAAAATGTAGTTACTTTCATTCTCTTTTCATAATACCTGCATGCTTAAGAAACCTTTTCGGGGGCATTTGTCACTTGGGTGACAGCTCTTGTTTTACAAATATAATGACACAACACACTGTCTAATTGTGGGTCATATTGCGGTTAACATTTAGGTCAAAGCTTTTTTGTAAATCCTTTAAAGGTTATAGTAAATATGGTTATTGTAAAGGTTATGGTCCATTTTAGAGGTAGGTGAACAAAAGTTTCATTGAGGTTAATATTTGTTCCACATTATTTTAACCTTCAACAATGAAGGCGTTACAGCCCAGACAAGATTATTTCATACATAAAAATTTACTTTTGACCTCTAATGTTGACCTCAATTTTACAGTACATGAATCACAATTGTATGCATCAAACCGTCAACAAATGTAGAAGTTACCGCCCAGACAACAATAGTGGGGCAGATAAACATATAAGACTTATAAAAGTTTCTAATCAAACTGCCTTAGAGATATACAGTTTCAGTTACGCATGATAGAGAGGGTGTTGTAATCGAGCTGGCGCATTACCAGGTATGTTGTTGCAGTTGTTGTTGTGTATCATGGAAGGCCCTTAATCGGAATGGGTCCTAATTGTGATGATTAGCCTTTTTACAATTACATAGCATCATATGTAGGCAACCATAGATGAAATGTTATTACCTTTTTGATTAATAAAGATGGCGAAAATATATAGTATTTTCATTTAAATGGATAATTTGGCATATGACTTAATACAAGATTACATTACAGCTAACTAACCAAAGGCAAAAGGTTAAAGAATTAACTTTTAACTACAATTCAATTTATGTGTCTGTTTATTTGTTGTCTCAGAATCAGATTAAAGTCTTAAATCCCCATAGTTAGGGCCTCCAATGGTACCTTTTACTATGTTTTAATCATGTATTAAGCCACTAGGAACACATGTGATTATATAAGATGTAAATGCTGTCATCATTGTTTTAATTTTATTGTTTTTCTTTGTATATTTGTATATTTTTAGATCACAAGTTTTAGAGCTGGGCTTTCCTTTCCATTTGGCAGTTGACCTTGAGACTTTTCATATTACGGGTCATCTGGAAATTTTGGGGGTCTTTTAAAATTCGTAAGAAAATTTGTTACAAATGGGACCCCCATTTTAGTACCTAGTTTGTAGAGCTGGCTTTGGCAGTTATAAGTCAAGTTTAAACATAAATGTCCATTGTTTTTGTTTAGATACAACATCAAGAAAAAAGCACTACACAAACAGTGTCAAGAACAGAACATTGATATATAATAACATTATTCTGCATACATTATATCATAAGATTATGAGGATTCATCACCAAATAAAAATCCTATCCAACTCATGAATCTAAATTACTAAGATCTTATCAAATCTGGCCTTTAGTCACCGCCTTTTTTACTCTGTTTAATGTAAAGGTTTTGTAATGGATATTATACTATAATGGCACTGGCAATTAAGCGACTAGTCTCATCTTCGGCAACATGCAGAAAATGCAAATTCGGGCTGAGCATATTTGCATCTCAATTATTCAGGGCAAAATAATATAACATTTTCTACAGACCGTCAGGCAAGAATTCTGAGTTTAAGGTAACAATGGCTTAATCCTTAACCAACAGACCCTAATGTATAAGGAATAAACAGGAATGACGTCCATACCTTTTTACCAGGGGACTTTGTCTTCGAAGCTGTTAGCATCTGTTTACCTAGAAAGTCAAATTCATTATTTAAAAGTGCATAAATTAAAAAAATTGGTAGTAAAAATGTGAGCTTAAATACTAAAGTCAATGGAAAGTCACTTAATTGTTTTTCTCTGTAAAAAAAAAAATGTCACATTAACATTAATTGTTTCATACATTTAACAATGGTAATTTTATATTTTCATAACGACTTTGATATTCTAGATAGAGAAAATTATGTTACATTCATAAGGGCTAAGTAGAAGAATTACATAATAAATGACCAAGAGGACCATCAGTCCTATAGTGCACACCTGTGCCAAAGACTATTAGATCCATGACTGCAAAATATTCATTCTGGATTTAGAATGATATAGTGTAAACCTATGCCTGTCAATCAGGGTTTGTATGTAAAGATGGCTGAGACTGTAAGGTTGAGAAGTCATAAACCTGACTTTAAAATCTTCAAGTTGGTAGTTTAAAAACAAAATTTTGGGTACTATGACCTACTTATGCATTGGAGCTATTAACTTACCTGCTAAGCACATAGGCCTTGGCTCCCCAAAAAAATCATATTTTTCGCCGATCATAATTTTTTCCCCATGAATATTGATATCGTGCTGTATCTGCTATAACGCTTGTTCAATGTGTCAGTTAAGTGCAATTAACAGTCAAAATTAGGTCACTCGTGAGCACAGAAGGTGTGAAATGATACACAGGTTAGCGCTTATCTGCTCTTTTGTTCATTTTTAACTGTTGATCAGTCAGGTATCAAACTGTTACAACAATCTCAAAATCATAGCTACGCTCTCTCCGTCTTCAAATTGCCACCCGGGTCTGTAAATAATATACAGACCTGTTCCTCGTACGGAACTATAACTTACGATATGTCACAGTTTTTATAACATAACAAACTGATAGAGATAATCCGATACCTGCGTGTATTAATAGTTTTATAACAGTCAAAACAAATGCATGTGTAATAACTTTTTGCATAAAAAAATCTACATATTTACGTTTCAGTGCACATAAATTATAGGGAAGGTGCATAAATTATTATGAACACGCCTTCATCCAATTAACAAAGTCTATGAGATGAAGCTAATCAAACATGATTGGATACAGGAGTGTTTGACCTTTGAGTAAATCAATTTTGATTGGTCTTCGTTTGGTCAGCATTTAACATTGTGCATATCATCAATCATACAAACATCTTGAGCATGACATAACGAAAAACGATCAAAAGTACTGTCAATGTACATTGTCTTTGCACCTGTTGACACTTTGTTTTTTGCATGGAAATATTGAGAAGGGTAAATCTTTTTATTTTATATTCTTCATCAACAAAGGGAAATGTGCTGAATATGAGTGTCCTTTATATCTGCTGCTGACATTATTATCGAACATCCATTGCATCATTTAAATTTTATTCATTTTGATATGGTTTTTTTTCCAAACATTATGTCTTTGCTTCTTTTCCAATCAGTTCTAAAAGTGAGCCCGCATCACCATTAACAAAACTCTAAAAAAAAAAAAGGCCAAAAAAGATCAACATTTTTTAGCTACTTGACCAAAAATCGAGTTGATTTTTATGGATAATTTTTGCAACCGATTTTTGTCGACTTATGGACGCTTATACATGTATAAACAGTACTCAGTACACTACAGCCCCTTTAAAACGCTCATGTTGGGGTCCAATGTCTCAACACCATGTTCTAATGAGGCTCTCGTTATAACGTTCATCGTGAAATTACTCCATTACTCCAACCACCTCTGATACATATAACGCTGACAATTTTTACTTAATGTTCAATGAATATCGACATTATCTTTTTCTTAAACAATTTAATGATATAAACATTTATTATATTCACAAATAATACTAATTATATTAAAAGAAACAGAAAACTTGAAAGAAAAACATAAATCACGAATTTATTGTAAACAGTTAGCCATTACAGTTGATTAAAAGCTTCCAGCTTTAGATTTGTCCTCTAGTTAAACAAACGTCATTATGATTAACTTCCTGTCTTGGCCGTTCGATTAAAAGTGCAGGATTTCAAATTGATTTTGGGCTTGTGTGATTTATTTAATTCAGCGCGTTTGCATGTCACAATACGTGTGTATATTTGAGTTTATTTATACTCGCCACCGGTTGTCAATGTCATTGTTACGATATGAATTTGAGATTTTTGGAACAACTTGATGCCTGACTGATGGACAGGTAAAACAACAAAAGAGCGGATTAACCCTAACTTGTACATGTTTTTCACACCTTCGGTGCTCATAAATGAGGTGGGGAGGGGGAGCCAAGGTCTATGAGCGCTTTACTGAGATTAGCATTTTAACGGGGAGCGATATATCGGGGCTGCAGTGTAATACTTTATGAAATAATATTAAATTGCATTACAAATCATATTAGAAAATATACCGATATTCACTGATTGGTAAGTAAACAATCATTTGTGCTAATAAGCATTAAAGTTTTGGCAGTAGGTGGGTTAATGCGATAATTTCAAGGTAATTACACAATGAGCATTATAAACGGTTACCCATTAGAACACGGTATTGGGATCATGGACCCCAACATGAGAATTATAAAGGAGCCCCAGTGCATATATGCATACATATTACACATAAAGGCATAACAGTCATATTTCTTTTTAATATACACATATTAGGAAAATCAATGATCTCCCTGGGTGGGGCCAATTTAGACCCTAGGGCATTTATTTAAACAAACTTGGTAGACATCCTTCACGCCAAATATCTCATTTATAGTTCTTTCGAATTGTCACAAGAAGGTTTTTAAGTTTTACTACATGTACATATAGTACAATTGGTATAGAGGGAGTTGTTGTTTTAAGACACTATTTTTTGGAGGATGCATGACGCAGAACGGGTGCAGGGTGATCACAAAAGCACACCTTTGAGCACTATGTGCTCAAGTGATCTAAAAAAAATTCTACTTCATCATCTAACATCTCAATAAAACGAAGTCCTTCAAAGATCTATTCTGTTAAACTTACTTTTATTTTTCTCCCTACTGGTTGTTGCATGTTGATCTTTATGTTGATCTTCTGCATCTTCTGAATCAGTTGCACTTGAAGATTCAGATATCAGTGCTGATAAAAGATGAAAAATCAAGTTCAATAAAATTAAATATGTAGCCCTTACAGGAAAATACAAAATCTCTCTACCTCTAATCACCAGCAATTATCAAATGTATATGAATGTCAAAAATCTATTGTTTCATTTTCTAATTTAAGGCCAACATCCTGTAAGTTCAATATCTAGTTAGCCATTTTTCCAAAAGGATTAGTTAACATGTAGCTGATTTCAAAGTCTGCATAGTTTTGGGTTGTGAGTGTAAGGAAGTTTCATTGATTTATTTGTTAAGTCATTTCATAAACCAAGTCTGTATATGGTAGCTGGTGTGCTAGTTTTTAATGGTATGAAATAAATAAATATCCCTATTAGATGATGTACTAATATTTATATTGTCCCAGGTATATTAAACCATTTCATGATGTCTGAAAACACTTAAAATTTAACCTAATGTTGACCTTATTTATCTAATGTAAGCTTTTTGTGATATTGTTTACCTTATCAAATTAAGAGCATAAAATTAGTATGCTATATTTTCAAGATGTCTTACTTTCAAGTTAATTTTGACTGTAAGAAATTGTCATTTATTTTTCAGATTGTCTTATTATTATGACATGCTTATTATCAATTTTTTAGGATAATACATTTTTCATCATTACAAAATCCAGCATAATGTAAGAAAACTTTCCTATGCGTATTGGGCTAAAGACTGGCTTCCCAGACTTTCTTAGGCAATATAACATGTACAACATCATTGATTATCTTGTACAGTAAATCAACTAAATATACACCTTCCATTTGATAACAAGAGCCGGTTGATGCTCCCAGACTACATTTTGGACACAGGAAAGTATATCTTTTGTAGTTTCAGATTTATGTCCCAGACAAAGTTCAAAGTGTGATAATTTCAAACTTAGGCAATGTAGAGTTACTGTTCTTTGAACTGTACTTCTACTCAATTAGGTTTATCTACTGACTTGCTCGCAACACGTCATCTCAATATGGTGATCATTTCTGTGAACAAGTTGTAAAATCCGAATTCAAATAACAAAGTTATGGGCCGGACACGATTTTGCTTCAAGGTCATGCTGTGACCTTGACCTTCAAGGTGAAACCCACATGTTGCATGCAACACGTTGTCTCAATATGGTGATCATTTCTGTAAAATAGTTGTAAAATCCGACTTCAAATAACAAAGTTATGGGCCCGACACGATTTTGCTTCAAGGTCATGCTGTGACCTTGACCTTCAAGGTAGCGACCCAAATGTTGCATGCGACACGTCATCTCAATATGGTGATCATTTCTGTGAAATAGTTGTTAAATCAGACTTCAAATAACAAGGTTATGGGATGAAATAAAAAAATTCGGGACGTACATACGTACGGACTGACAGACAACACGGCGACTCTATGCTCCCCCGAATTTTTTCGGGAGGCATAAAAACACTCTTAAACCAACAGTCCTAAATAATCAGTGTAAAGTTTCTTGTTTAAAAGAGAAAAAAAAACCAGCCTGTTCTACTAATAAAACAAAGAGAATATGTTGAGAAAATGGATCGTTCCTTTTTTATTACTTGATGTTGAAGCAACAGCTGAATATTTTTCTATTTTATTACAAGATGTCCATGATTGCTCTAAACTGACTTATTACCTAGTTCCTAGATGTATGCAAAAATAAACTCACTCTGCAGTTAAATTTACATTACTAAAATACATACCAACTAACATCTTCAATAAGAGGGCCATGACAGGGCTCACCTGTATATAGGCCCCCGGAGCGGGGCTAGTTTAAACCCCAGGGCTTTTATTTGAAGAAACTTGGAAAACACCCATTAGAAGATGTTTCATGATGTTAAGTTTTTACTACACACATATAATGAAAAAACATATAATGAAAAACAATGACCTCCTTCTTCTCCCCCCCCCTATCCCCCCTCCCCCGGCAGGGCCAATTCTAACCCAAGGGTTTTTATTTGAACAAATTTGGTAGACACCCATAAGAGGATGTTTCATGCTAAACATCTAAGCTGTAGCTCATTGGGTTTTTTAAAAGAAGATTTTTTTAAAGTTTTTACTATACACATATAGTTAAAAACAATGACACATATAGTTAAAAACAATGACACCCCTGGGGCAGGGCCAATTTTGACCCCAGGGCTTTTATTTGAACAAACTTGGTAGACACTCACTCGAAGATGTTTTATGCCAAATATCTAAGCTCTAGCTCTTTGGATTTTTTAAAAGAAGATATTTAATTTTTTTCTTTTGGTTGCCATGGCAATTAAATTCTTTGAATTTTTAAAGGTGACCACCAAAGGAACATTCCTGTGAAGTTTGGATGAAATTGGCTTAGTGGTTTATGAGGAGATGTCATTTAAAGTAAAAGTTTACGGCCGGACGCCGGATGGACGGCCGGACGCCGGACGAAAAGCGATCACAAAAGCTCACCCTGTCACTTTGTGACAGGTGAGCTAAAAATGAGAAAGTAGTTCTGAAGATCAAGGTAAAAGATAATATGCAATGAAAATTATGTCAGGATTCATAACTATAGTCAAAGATGAAAATCTATAAGCAAAACAAGAAATGTCGACCGACACATATGCCCCACTTTCAAACCCTTGACTAGCATTTGTAATTTGTTATAGAAACTTGCCATAAATTGGTACATGGAAGTTATGGAAAAAAGAAAAATAATGACCTACTGGTTATATCCAATCAATATGTGAAATATAAAGACCTTGACAATTGAACTAATTATGACTAATAAATATGTGAAATATAAAGACTTTGTGTGGCCGAGTGGTTAAGGTCGCTGACTTGAGATCACAGGTCCCTCACCGCTGTAAGTTCGATCCTCACTCGGGTCGAAATCTTTCATATGAGGAAGCCATCCAGCTGGCTTACGGAAGGTCGGTGGTTCTACCCAGGTGCCCGCTCGTGCCTGAAATAATGCCCGGAGGGGCACCTGGGGTCTTCCTCCACCAATAAAGCTGGAAAAAAAATCAACTAAAAAATCTCGGCAGGATGCTCTAGGATGACTAGACTTGAGTGTACGGTCGCCCATATGGGTTTCCGGCAGCGACCTTAAATAAACGCATTAAAAAAAAAAAAACTTTGTGTGATAAAAAGATTTCAAGGGAATAACCAGAAACCATATTTAAGTTTAAAGCCCTGGTGACCTTGACCTTTGAACTAGTGGTCCCAAAATCAATAGGGGTCATCTACTACATTTGGCTATTCGATATGTGAAATATGAAGACTTTGTGATAAATAGCTTTCAAGATAATGAGCGTAAACCATTTTAACATTTAAAGCCCCTGTGACCTTGACCTTTGACCTCAAAATCAATAGGGGTCATTTACTAGTTATGAACACCACTATGTGAAATATGAAGATTTTTTGATGAATTGTTTTCAAGATGATCAGCAGAAACCTATCTGACATTTAAGGTCCCTGTGACCTTGGCCTTTGACCTAGTGACCCAAAATTCATGAGGGGTCTTCTACTAGTTATGACCAACCACTATGTGAAATATGAAGTCTGTGACAAATAGTTTTCAAGATAATCTGAGGAAACCATTCTGACATTTTAGGCCCCTGTGACCTTGACCTTTGACCTAGTGGCCCCAAAATCAATACGGGTCATCTACTAGTTATTACCAATCACTGTGTGAAATATGAAGATTTTTTGAAGACTTTGTGTTAAAAATCTTTCAAGATAATGAATGTTAACCATTATTACATGTAAAGCCCCAGTAACCTTTGATCCCAAAATCAATAGGGGTCTTCTTCTAGTAATAATCAACCACTATGTGAAATATGAAGATTTGTGATTAATAGCTTTCAAGATAATCAGCGAAACAATTATGACATTTTAGGCCCCTGTGACCTTGACCTTTAACCTAGTGACCCCAAAATCAATAGGGTTCATCTACTAGCTATGACCAACCACTGTGTGTAAAATGAAGACTTTGTGATAAATAGTTTTCAAGATAATCATTGGAATCCATTCTGACATTTAAGGCCCCTGTGACCTTGACCTTTGACCCCAAAATCAATATGGGTCATCTAATAGTAATGACCAATCACTATGTGAAATATGAAGACTTCGTGATAAATTGTTTTAAAGATAATCAGCGGAAACAATGTGGTCTACAGACGGACAGATAGACCTACCAACGACCTATCGACATTAGCAAAACAATATACCGCCTCTTCTTCAAAGGGAGGCATAATTATCATTGATCTAGTTGCTATCTTTATCTTGTAATCTTTATGGATAAATAAAAACTTGAACCATTATTATTTTTAAGACTAATGCTTACATGATTTTTTCTTTGTGTCAGGCGGCTGCCATGTCTCATCTGCGCTGTCATCAACATATTCAACTTCATCCCACTCAACTAAATTCCCCCTGTGACCTATAATGAAAAGGAAACTAAATGTTACACAATATAAACAGACTGGTTTTCTCATACATGTTTCTACATCTTCATATATGTGTCAATGATGTACAGAAATTTCTAGCCAGGATATAGAAACCATGCCAGTGCCTATCCTCCCATTATAGAGAGATATATAGAACATAATTGTATGTAATATCATTTTAAAGAAACTCAACTGAGGTGAAAAATCCTAAATCATTTTTTACTTCTTACACAGATCAAGTGGGGCACTTAAAAGAGAAACATGTGTAAGAGATAATCATTTTTTACAATTAAAATGATTATTCTAGTAATACTGAGTGAATGATCTGATATTGTGCACATAAGTTTTTGTTCCAGACCTTCATCAAATGGTACATAAATCTTAAAAAAATCTTGTTAGTTGCCTCATGTCAATAAACATAAAAAGAGTCCCTTAAGTACCTCTTTTTGCTGATAAAGGTAAGGGTTTGAGACCATCCTACACCAGTCACTTTAAAGGCCCATTATTTCCCAAAAATGCTTAAAGTGATACTTTCTAAAGAATGACGGTTAAGAAATAACTGCCTAATAGTTAAAACTAGAACTGTGTCCAAAGGACACGGATGCCCCCACTGACAACATATATATGGTATATAGTGAAAAAATCAACAAAGGGCCATAATTCTGTTAAATTTGGTCGCAGCAAAAATTCCTTCCTTTACTACCATCTACACATTAAGGTTGTTCATCCCTGGAAGTTTAAGCAAAATCTGCCATCCGGTTTAAGAGGAGTTGCGTTCACAAAATTTCTACATAGTATATAGTGAAAAAATCAACAAAGGGCCATAATTTTGTTAAATTTGGTCGCAGCAAAAATTCCTTCCTTTACTACCATCTACACATTAAGGTTGTTCATCCCTGGAAGTTTAAGCAAAATCTGCCATCCGGTTTAAGAGGAGTTGCGTTCACAAAATTTCTACATAGTATATAGTGAAAAAATCAACAAAGGGCCATAATTCTGTTAAATTTGGTCGCAGCAAAAATTCCTTCCTTTACTACCATCTACACATTAAGGTTGTTCATCCCTGGAAGTTTAAGCAAAATCTGCCATCCGGTTTAAGAGGAGTTGCGTTCACAAGATTTCGGGACGTACGGACTGACGGACGGACAAGTGCAACGCTATATGCTCCCACATTGTGGGGGCATAAAAATAAAAAAGGGCCATAATTCTGTAAAATTTGGTTGCAGCAAAAATTCCTTTCTTAACTACCATCTACACATTAAGGTTGTTCATCCCTGGAAGTTTAAGCAAAATCTGCCATCCGGTTTAAGAGGAGTTGCATTCAAAAAATTTCTACATAGTATATAGTGAAAAAATCAACAAAGGGCCATAATTCTGTAAAATTTGGTCGCAGCAAAAATTCCTTCCTTTACTACAATCTACACCTGAAGGTTGTTCATCCCTGTAAGTTTAAGCAAAATCTGCCATCCGGTTTAAGAGGAGTTGCGTTCACAAAATTTCTACATAGTATATAGTGAAAAAAAAACAAAGGGCCATAATTCTGTTAAATTTGGTCGCGGCAAAAATTCCTTCCTTTACTACCATCTACACATTAAGGTTGTTCATCCCTGTAAGTTTAAGCAAAATCTGCCATCCGGTTTAAGAGGAGTTGCGTTCACAAAATTTCTACATAGTATATAGTGAAAAAATCAACAAAGGGCCATAATTCTTTTAAATTTGGTCGCGGCAAAAATTCCTTCCTTTACTACCATCTACACATTAAGGTTGTTTATCCCTGTAAGTTTAAGCAAAATCTGCCATCGGGTTTAAGAGGAGTTGCGTTCACAAAATTTCTACTTAGTATCTAGTGAAAAAATCAACAAAGGGCCATAATTCTTTTAAATTTGGTCGCAGCAAAAATTCCTTCCTTTACTACCATCTACACATTAAGGTTGTTCATCCCTGTAAGTTTAAGCAAAGTCTGCCATCCGGTTTAAGAGGAGTTGAGTTCACAAGATTTCGGGACGGACGGACGGACTGACGGACAAGTGCAACGCTATATGCTCCCACATTGTGGGGGCATAATAATGTTTTCAGGCTTAAAACAAACAAAAAACAAACAAAGAGACCATGTGTAAGACTTACATAATTTCTTCTTTGTTGCAGGAGGTTGCAATGTTTCATCTCTGTCATTATCATTTTCAACTTTATCCTGCTCAACCTTTCTTTTCTGTCCTGACCTTAACGTGTATGTACATGACCCTTTCATATCTAGAAAAAATAAATACATATGTAAATTTTAAGATGTCAACTTGAAAACATAATACATATATCACTTGGAATGATTACTATGTCTTATAAAACATGTACCAATGACTGATAATCATGCCAGTAAATTTGAAGTTATTAGCTAATAACTATACTTGAAGATGTTTGCAGAGAATGACAAGTCTATTTCACCCAGTTTTCGGGCTCGTCAGTAAAAGAGCAGGACTAAAAGAATTTTACAAACAAGAGGGCCATGATGGCCCTGAGGTCGCTCACCTGTATATGGGGCTATATAACGTTGCAGGGCCAATTTAACTCAAGGGCTTTTATTTGCACAAACTTGGTAGACACCCATAAGAAGATGTTTCATGCTAAACATCTAAGCTCTAGCTCATTGGGCTTTTTAAAAGAAGATTTTTTTAAAGTTTTTACTATACACATATAGTTAAAAACAATGACACCCCTGGGGCCGGGCCAATTTTGACCCCAGGGCTTTTATTTGAACAAACTTTGTAGACACTCACTAAAAGATGTTTCATGCTTAATATCTTAACTCTAGCTATTTGGGTTTTTTCAAAGAAGATTTTTTAAGTTTTTGCTATACACATATAAGGAAAATCAATGACCCCCTGGGGCGGGGCCAATTTTGACCCCAGGGCTTTTATTTGAACAAACTTGGTAGACACTTATTATAACATGTTTCATGCTAAATATCTTAGCTGTAACTCTTTTGGTTCTTTAAAAGAAGATTTTTTAAGTTTTTACTATATGCATATACGGAAAATCAATGACCCCCTGGGGCCGGGCCAGTTTTGACCTCAGGGCTTTTATTTGAACAAACTTGGTAGACACCCATTAGAACATGTTTGATGCTCAATATCTTAGCCATAGCTCATTGAGTTCTTTAAAAGAAGATTTTTTAAGTTTTTACTATATGCATATAGGGAAAATCAATGACCCCCCGGGGCGGGGCCAATTTTGACCCCAGGGCTTTTATTTGAACAAACTTGGTAGACACCCATTAGAACATGTTTCATGCTAAATATCTTAGCTCTAGCTTTTTGGGTTCTTTAAAAGAAGATTTTTTAAGTTTTTACTATATGCATATAGGGAAAATCAATGACCCCCCCGGGGCGGGGCCAATTTTGACCCCAGGGCTTTTATTTGAACAAACTTGGTAGACACTCACTAGAAGATGTTTCATGCCAAATATCTAAGCTCTAGCTCTTATGGTTTTTTTAAAAGAAGATATTTAAAGTTTTTTCTTTCGGTTGCCATGGCAACCAGAGTTCTGCATGGAATTAAATTCTTTGAACAATTTTTAAAGGTGACCACCAAAGGAACATTCCTGTGAAGTTTGGATGAAATTGGCTTAGTGGTTTATGAGGAGATGTCATTTAAAGAAAAAGTTTACGGACGACGGACGACGGACGGACGGACGCCGGACGAAAAGTGATCACAAAAGCTCACCCTGTCACTTTGTGACAGGTGAGCTAAAAAAAATCTTAAAGACAAATAAAGGTTTAAACAACTTTTAGACATCTAGCAATAATAATCTATGCAGATTTTTTTACCCAGAATTTATTCTAAAGTTTACAATAAAAATCTCTTATATAGACAAATATTATCAAAAAAACATGCATATACAAATGTATACCTAGTCAAAGTGAGAAATGCTTAAAAATTATGTTTAAGTAAATTAAAACAGCCAAATTTTGTGCAGAAGGTAGTTTTGAAACAAATGTACCTTGTTTCTTAGCTGGTGTTGGTAATGTACCTTGTTTCTTAGCTAGAGTTGGTAATGTACCTTGTTTCTTAGCTGGTGTTGGTAATGTACCTTGTTTGTTAGCTGGTGTTGGTAATGTACCTTGTTTCTTAGCTGGTGTTGTTAATGTACCTTGTTTCTTAGCTGGTGTTGGTGTGGAGACAACACCATTTACATTGTCCTCCTCTGATTCAACTTCATCCACTAGAATATAAACAATTGTTATACCACTAATCATCCATTAACTTTTACACTGTACAACTAAAATATAACTTAATAAACAGGAATTCTTTTTTAATTTCTGTTATTCATGCCAATTTTAAGAGTTTTTGGCCATATCTTGGTGGTCAATCTACATAACTGGCTATCCTGGTTAGCTAACCAGTAATATATCAATTTCTAGGCAAATGACAGACTACTAATCCCACATGATTTCTGAATCAGCTGTGAGAGACAAATGACCATTAAACTCAATGTCCCTGATCAATTTTCACGATGTTATGCTACTTTATGACATCACTGTAACAATACCTCTAAAAACTCTCAATTGCATGCTTAAATGACAACAGAAGTTTAAGAGCTTTCAGGTACCTAGAAAGATACAAGTTTTATTTTATCGGATTTATTCTTCAGTTTACAATAAATATGTCTTATAGACAAACATTTTTATTCAAAGTATATATCTATTCAAAGTGAGAAATGCTTATAAATAATGTTTTAGAAAATTAAAAACTACCAATATTTTGTGTAGAAGGCAGTTTTGAAACAAATGTACCTTGTAAGTTAGCTGATGTTGGTAATGTACCTTGTTTGTTAGCTGGTGTTGGTAATGTACCTTGTTTGTCAGCTGGTGTTGGTAATGTACCTTGTTTGTTAGCCGATGTTGGTAATGTATCTTGTTTGTTAGCTGGTGTAGGTAATGTACCTTGTTTGTTAGCTGGTGTTGGTAATGTACCTTGTTTGTTAGCCGATGTTGATAATGTACCTTGTTTGTTAGCCGATGTTGGTAATGTACCTTGTTTGTTAGCCGATGTTGGTAATGTACCTTGTTTGTTAGCTTGATGTTGGTAATGTACCTTGTTTGTTAGCAGGTTTTGGTAATGTACCTTGTTTGTTAGCCGATATTGGTAATGTACCTTGTTTGTTAGCAGGTTTTGGTAATGTACCTTGTTTTGTTAGCCGATGTTGGTAATGTACCTTGTTTGTTAGCTGATGTTGGTAATGTACCTTGTTTGTTAGCAGGTTTTGGTAATGTACCTTGTTTGTTAGCCGATATTGGTAATGTACCTTGTTTGTTAGCAGGTTTTGGTAATGTACCTTGTTTGTTAGCAGGTTTTGGTAATGTACCTTGTTTGTTAGCCGATGTTGGTAATGTACCTTGTTTGTTAGCCGATGTTGATAATGTACCTTGTTTGTTAGCCGATGTTGGTAATGTACCTTGTTTGTTAGCTGATGTTGGTAATGTACCTTGTTTGTTAGCAGGTTTTGGTAATGTACCTTGTTTGTTAGCCGATATTGGTAATGTACCTTGTTTGTTAGCTGATGTTGGTAATGTACCTTGTTTGTTAGCCGATGTTGGTAATGTACCTTGTTTGTTAGCTGATGTTGGTAATGTACCTTGTTTGTTAGCTAGTGTCAGTAATGTACCTTGTTTGTTAGCAGGTTTTGGTAATGTACCTTGTTTGTTAGCTGATGTTGGTAATGTACCTTGTTTGTTAGCCGATGTTGGTAATGTACCTTGTTTGTTAGCTGATGTTGGTAATGTACCTTGTTTGTTAGCTGGTGTTGGTAATGTACCTTGTTTGTTAGCTGATGTTGGTAATGTACCTTGTTTGTTAGCAGGTTTTGGTAATGTACCTTGTTTGTTAGCTGATGTTGGTAATGTACCTTGTTTGTTAGCCGATGTTGGTAATGTACCTTGTTTGTTAGCTGATGTTGGTAATGTACCTTGTTTGTTAGCCGATATTGGTAATGTACCTTGTTTGTTAGCTGGTGTTGGTAATGTACCTTGTTTGTTAGCCGATGTTGGTGTGGGGGCAACATCATTTGTATCGTCCTCTTCTGATTCAGTTTCATCCTCTAGAATATAAACAACTGTTAAACCACTAAATCATCCATAAACTTTACATTGTACAACTAAAAAATAACTTAAAACACATGAATTTTGTTTAATTTTCTGGGGGTTTTTTTACGCTGATTTGAACAGTTTTAGGTCACATCTCGGCAGTCAATCCACATAACTGGCTATCCTGGTTAACTAACCAGTTATTCTCTGCAAGTGACCGACTACTAACCCCACATGATTTCAAAATCATCAGTAAGAGACAAAATAACCAATAACCACAATGTCCAAGATCAACGGTCTAAATGAAATCACGCCCTGCCAGATGATCAAACTAGCGAACCCTGGATCACCTATTTGATGCTCTCCCTACTGAAGAGAAGACCTGAATGATATACATAAGTGGACAATTGTCATAAGTTAAAGCAAAAATTCTTGACCTTTTGTTTTTTTTGCCCCTAATTAGCATTCTAAACCATTTAAGTCCCATTATGCCCTAAAAAATTTCAAACAATTACTCATTGACCTAGTAACCAGCTTTTACTTCTTAAGCATTTTTGGCATTTATTATAGTTGTAACAATTAAATAGTATTTTGTATGCAAGTCAAAACATCACCTTGTTTAGGTTTTGCTTGTTTTATGACATTATTTCGCATTCTGCATTACTTTCTACAGGTTATAAACATCTAACATGCCTTAAATCCATTATTAAGACAGTATAAACATATATTGGCACATTCTAAATAAGACAGACATTCATTTCTGAAGCTTTTCTTTGCCTTTAAACTAAATGTCCAACACATAAATTTGCATAAAAACACTGTAAGTACTGGAAACCAGCACATCATTAATGACAGAATAACCAAATGCTGAAAGGTAGAACAAGACAATTTCTTTTTTTATCAAAACTGTCATAACAAATCAGAAAATGATGACCTTAACCATTAATGTACCTTAATATTTAGTAGTATGTCAATTAATGAAGGTAAAATTGCCTAGAGAAAAAAATTTGACGGTTTTGACAAAGGAGCACTATCAGAGTAAGAAGTCAATTCATGAAGGCACTATTACAAAATCTAGATATTTCTATTCTAGCCACCATGACATTGACTTGCATTGAGTCAGTACCTGTTAATTACACACACAAAAATGTTACTGTCATACCTAAAGGTAAATCAACATCAATATCATCAAGGGCCTTTCCAGCAACTGAGGAGATTTTCCCATTGTTCATCAAGTGAAGAAGCCTTGCCACTTTTGCAACTTCCACCATTCCCTCAGGTAAACAATGTGTATTAATTCTAATGTCATGGCCAAGAAACTTTGACAGAATGTCTTGATCATTTTCAATTAGACACAATACTTGAAACAATGTCGCAAGCTGCTTTTTGAGCGTATTAGAAGTGATCCTGCTTACATACATCATTTCAGTTTCATGTGCTATTTCCCGTAACACTCGTGTTCCACGGTATGGTGTTAACCCCTGAAGAGGTACAAAAAGGTACCTAGAGCTGCAACCAAGGCAATCATGCAAGCTAAGAATAAACTTAACATTTTCCTGCATAGCACATGTAAATAGAATTGTCACTTTTTTCCCATGTTTTCCTCTTGTTTCAACTCTTAGATGAGACTCACATAATTCTTGTTCAAATTTTGATAAACAGTTCTTATCATCTTCATCCACATGGACATTAAAAGAAGCTTTGCTGAAATCATCTTTAGTAATATGTTGTGCTCCGCAAGCTCTCTGCCTGTTAAACAGAATGACTTGAGCAAGTGTAAGCTTACACATTCTAACATATGCCTCTTCCATAGCATTCTCGTTATCTGTACTTTTCACCTTTTCAATCTCTGTTTCAATATGCTTTGAGAGTTTCATTACATCTTCAACTAGTGGCAGAAGTTTCACTTTATCATACTTTTTAGCATCCAGGCTTTTTCTTGCTCCAACACCAACCACCTCATCCCATTCGTCTTCATACATTTCAAGGAACCGCACAGCTCTTTCTCTTGATATTTCCCCCTCATATGCATTGCGTGTGTTTTTTAATATTTTTGCACATTTTTTTAAACTTTGTCCGCATTTAATTGCAAACAAGGGGTTTTCATACTCTTGTGTTTTTACATCGAATCCTGCCTCTTTCTTAATTGTTTCTGTGAGTGTATCCCATTTAGCTGGAGTTATTACATCACCTAAAGCCGTCACTGTTATATCCTGTTTGTGAATGCCAATCACACATGTTGCCAACTCGCGTAATCTCTGGCTAATATATTGCTGGGTATATTCATACTTACTGTAGAGTCTTTGTCCAAATTCTAAAATAAGTGCATCTGATTTTATTTTTGATGTTACGTCATCATCCCTTAACTTGGAAACTACATCTTTAAAAAGTTGTTCTGAGCATTGTTTTGGCAAAAGAAGTCTACCATCACGAATACGGCCATCACTTCTCACATTTTTAGGTTTAGAAATGCAGCTTCTATGGTGGTTCCACATGTCTTTATCAGTAATATAGGTTAAACAATACTCACACGGCAAAAGACTCGAATCTGATTTTTCAGTAACTTTCTTATCACATGGCAAAAGACTCGAATTTGATTTTTTAATGACTTTCTTATCACATGGCAAGTCTGATGTATCAATAACTTTCCTGTATCTTGTTAGAAGGATTCCAGATCCCTTTTCTTTTACTTTCTGGTTATGAACAAAGTTGCCCTTTGATGCCAGTCTGATCCAAGCATTCCTTCTTTCTTTGGAATTTTTCTTTAAATTCAAAATTCTAGCCACTTCAGTTTTATCTGCATGTTGCATGGACAAATGTCTAGACAGTTTTAGGACAAGATTGCCACAGTAGATGCAAGCCTGCCTCCTTTGTAACCGTTTGGTCTTTGCTTTACCCGCTTCCTGGACTTTAATCTTTTTCTGAGTTTGTGCTTGATTATTTTTCTCTAATGTATTCAAGCCTCCCGTTGATGTGGTGTTATTTTCATCATTGTCACTTAGATGATCTGACAGTGGATTTGTTTTACCATCTGAAACTGTTCCTTGACTCTTTCTTTTTCTTGGACTTACAGGAACCTCCTCTTCATCTGACATACACGATGAGATATCATCTGATTCAAGGTCACTTATCTTAAAATCTGAGTCAGTCAAAATATCAGCTATATCTTCTTCCTCTTGAATTTCATCACCTAGGTTACCACCACTTTCTACAGTGTGGTTAGCTGTGTCTTGTGTATTAAAGCAGTCAACAGGTTCGTCTGAATAAAGGAAAAGATTTTTTTTTTTAAATGAATTAAGTCTGTTTTAAATTCAAAGCAACAATAAGCAAAGGGATATCAAATTCAAAGAAGGGACACTTGTGCCTATTTTTCTTAATGTGAATTTCAACATGTTTTTGGTCACTTCTTGTTAAACAAGCTGTTCCCAGTAAATAACCAATAATTACTAATATCTGTGATTAACTATTAATCCAAAATGATTTCTGAATCAGCGATGAGAGACAAATAACCATTAGACTCTATATCCCAGACCAACTCATCCAAGGATTCAACCAGAGACCCCCAGATTACAAATTTGATGCTCTTCCTATTGAAACGGACAGGGACACTTAGAAGAATAAACATATTTCTATAAGGTATATTTCTGTCTTATTGCAGATTTTTCACAATCAGGTAGCTGATGTTATTTTATGTAGTACAGTGCCCTTGAGTATTTACAACAGTTTGACACCTTAGGAAGTGACCTTCAATTATGATCATGAAGACAGGTGTGAAGTTTCAAGTCAATTCCTTCAGTAGCTCTGAAAACTAGTATTAAACCAGGAATTCAAAATCCATGCCAGAATTATTAGCCTTAGTAAAATAGCATCCAAAGAGACACATATTTGCACAAAGGGGAATTTTTCAGTCAAAATCCATGCTTGAGTTATTGACTTTAAATAGTAACCCCTCAGTATGATTTTAAAGACATGTGTACAGTTACAATAAAATATCTTTAGTGGTTGATGAGATATGATTTTAAACAAGATGTTACATGAAAATAATTTAACTAAGTATCACGCCCATGACACTTAGGTGAATGGGATAGCTCTACTATCCATTAAACAGTCAATCAAATTAAAAAAAATACAGAAAAATTCTATGATTAAGAAATCTCCTTACTAAAAGCACATTAACTTGTAAATATCTCCCTCTGTTCATTATAATTGGATTCTTATGTGAAAATGACTAAAAAATTTATCAAAGTTCCTGCTGATACTTCAAAGAGTACAAGAAGTACTCCTACAAAACCTCTCAAAATCTCATTTTTACCTTTAATGATCCATAGAGCATCTTCGGTGACACCTTTATGTATATCTGTTACATCAATGGACACCTGCTGTAATCTACTTATTTCTCTACTAAGTGAAGCATCAACGTTTAACATGTCATTTGATAGAGATATACTGGTATATTCATCAGCATGTAGTTCTCCTTAAATAACCAATATATGACATATTAACTTAGACACTGTAAAGACATGGCAATGTATGCTGGAATCCAATTTTGTTTAACAGGTCAAAAATAATTTTTCAGTAAGGAAAGAGACTTGTTCATGAAATTTGTCCAGAAAAAATTATCCATAATAACAAGTGAAAAGAAATTTTCATACAACAAATAAAATTTAGTATCATATATATGAGCCGCGTCGTGACAAAACCAACATAGTGCATTTGCAACCAGCATGGCTTCAGACCAGCCTGCGCATCCGCCCAGTCTGATCAGGATCCATGCTGTTCGCTTACAAACCCTAAAACAAGTAGAGAAACTGATAGTGAACAGCATAGATCCTGATCCTGGTCTGGATCCATGCTGGTCACAAATCATTATGTTGGTTTTGTCGTGGCGCGGCTCATATGTATATGTTATATCAGATCATGTATCATTCACTAGCCAACAACTTATATAATATAATTCTTTCGTAACTACACATGTAATCATTCATTGTATAAAGATCTCCAATTATAGACCAATTCACTTTAACAATAATCTACAATATTTACCATTCCTGACAAATAAATCTCGAAGTATGAGGATAACCCTCTCTGACAGTGTTGAAGCTTTAGTAAAGAAATCACAGGCATTAGAGACGTGTATCATACTGTATGATTGTTGACTGTCCAAACTGTAGTCTGTTACATGTAATATTGTTACTTTTTCCTGTAATATAAAACATGTATTACATATAATAATAATGCTTCCTGAAAATTTAGAAGACAATCCACACATCAATTGTGGCCTTAGCCTGAACACTTATCCTCCACAGGGTTCCCACTCTTAGATATTTTGAAAATTTAAGGACTTTTCCAGGACTTATCAAGGACCTTTTTTGATTTTTTAAGGACTTTTTAGAAGATTGAATTTCAAGCTACATGTATTTGATTTTTTTTGTCCTATGAATATGTTCATGGTAATGTTTAAAACAACATTTAATAACACCAATATAATACATGTAGTTCATGACATAAATCTAATTCTTTCTAAGAAATACATTCAGTGTCTATAAATAATGAAATGTACTTTGTGACAGCAACTGTTTTTGCAGGTTGTCTGCAATTTTCATGTAATTTTGCTGTTTTTAATGCTTCCAAGGGATCACTTTTTATACCAGATATTCATAGTACTTTAATTAGTAACCTCACATTTGACCTCAGTCCACTAAGGCTTCATAGAATGGCAAAAGCATGTCACACTGAAGGGTATATGAAAACTGCCTGCAGGTGTTTCTACATTCAAAATTTCACGACTTTCATGTTAAAATATTGTATTCTGCTTAAGCCAGTGCTACGGGGTGCACTTTCCAGTACCATATATCAAGCCCTAGTCTACAACATTTTCAATTTTGCTGTTTTGGATGTTATTTAGGGATTCTTTTTTGTATTTCAATGACATATCTTTTGATTTGATCTTACAATTTTTTAAACCATCTACAAAATATGGCGGCAGCATGAAATACCCAAATATACCCAAACACACTAAATTATAGCAATGTTCATTTTGGTTTGTATACAATGTTGATTTTAATGAGAAAATGAATTGATATTTACAAAATAATATGACTTAGCCAACTATAACTTTCGATCATTCCATTAAAATTGGCAGTTCAGATGTTGTAAGAAAAAAAAAAGTGACATTTGCTTATCTAACTGTTAGGTTCATTAATGAATAGGCAAATGTACTTGCAAGATATGATAATATTTGTTGTCTACATTTAAATTTGTAGGGTATAATTTTGTTGAAATTTCATACAAGTTCATTCGTATTATTTTCTTAATTTAATAGCTTTAATGGAGTATACTGTATTTGGGTATATTTTGGTTCAAAAATGTATATTTGGGTATGTTTCATTACATCTTAGTGAAAGTGTATATTGTATTCATGATTAAAACAGCACTTTTTTAGTAAAACACATTTATTTTTAGTATATTTTTGTTATATTTGGGTATTTTGTGCTACCCAGATATGGTGTGGCCAATTGGCTGTGCTCTGCCTTGACAATAGTTCATGCATGTAATACTATTTTTTTTATTTTATATTGATTTACCTTTGGCTTTTAGCATGGTAGTGAGCAATTAGGATACAAAAATTTGTCAAAGGAAACAACCAGGCCAATCAAGCAAACTTGAGGTTGATTTGTGACTGTCTTCCTAGATTTTCCAAACAAAACCGCCATAGTAACCAGAAAATAAATGATAAATCTCATAAATGTCAAACTTGGCCTCCCAAAACAGTTGTAAATCGAAAATCATCAACATTCAAGATGCGGTCAATATACTGTGCAAAGACCGCCATTTTGGTTTTTTGATTTACCTCCCCTTTTCCAGACTAATTCCCGTACCTTCCCGGACTTTTTTATGTATCAACACTAATTCCCGGACTTTTCAAGGCCGGGAGCTCCTGTGTTCAAATTCACGGACATTTCCCGTTTTCCCGGACAGCGTGGGAACCCTGCCTCCACCACCTCTAGGGAATAACTAGCCCTATAACTAGTAAATTACACAACCAGCAGGGACAGTTCCATGTTCAATCCCCATTAAATGCTCTAACATTGTATGTTGGACATATTTTGTAAGTTGGACATATTCCCTGCTATTCTGACACCTCTTCCCAACCATCAAAAAAAATAACAACAAAATATATTATGGCTCCTTAGTACTAGGGCAGACAGAAATTCAAAGGTCGAATCATTACCTGAGCACTGCCCTGGTATTTAGGGAGCAAAGGTAAAAACTGATTAGTGCAAGTGTGTTCTTTGTGTGTACATCTTCCAAAAATCACCAATCAAAATTCCGTTGAACATAGCTTTATGTAATTCAGTACACATGTTTTACATTTAAATGAAAATGTCTGAATAACCTCAATAACACAGAAATGATATTAAAAACATTTTACTGTACCATACCTTTAAATGTATATAGAACACTTTAACAACACATGATGCTCTCCTCATGGCCTCTGATTTCAACATCTCCGACAGTTGTATATATACAGGAGATTTACAAGGTAGGATATTACTGGAGCATTTCTTAATGGTAAATGGTGACATATTCGTCTCTTGAAGAATGTAACAGAAATCTGGAGGTTCAGCCAAACGGCCCTGAAATTTAAATTATATTAAAAGTTTAATAATATATTAACTTCAATGATAAACAATCAAATGAAAAATTATTTTAAAAGTTTAATAATATATTAACTTCAATGATAAACAATCAAATGAAATGTTAAGGCTCTATTAAGATAACAGAAACACTTTAAGCACAACAAGAGCTGTTTGTAGGACTGCATGCTCAACTATTCTCAGTACTTGATAGGAAAACAAGAGCCTGGATTATGCAGAATTTTCTAAGTTTTAAAAACAATAAGTCCAGAGAAATCCATATTATAGTCTTCGGCCTTGAATAGAGACCTATTTTTCCCTCAAATTAGGGAGTGAAAATTTCAATCTTTTCTCTTCAGTAGTTTTGAAGATACCAACTTGCACCCCAAAAACTTAACCAAAGTGCACCCCGGAGCCTGGCTCTCCCTTTTCTTTAAATGGTTGAGCTAATATATGCTCATATTTAATATCAAATGAAATTTCTGATGGTCATATATCATTGAAAATAAGCAATGTCATGTGATAAAATCATCTTAAAATAATGTTAACTTACACACATACATAGAGGATATTGAATGAGTGTAGATTTAATACTAAATATTGAATAAAATCTGATTATGCTAGCTACATTTAGTATTGAATCTACACAAATATAATATTTTATCTATCACTTGTCCATAATAAGATCAGTTTACAGTTTAAAACAGTCATTTTGCATTGATGCGCCTAAACTGTAACACTAACATTAGCGCTAATCAATGCTATGATTGTATTTATGCAAATAACATCAGACCAATTTTTTATTACATGAGTGTAATACCATTTTTATTAAATGGCTGTATTACACTCCTACACCGCGGTTTTGGTTTGTGTGATAAAAGAGAATTTCTGACCGTTACTTACCAACAAATTCTGGGAGTCTGAACTATCTTGACGGTCCACAACATGTTTACCAGACCACACACTATCCACCATTGTAAACAGACGTTCATTTCTGAAATTGTCATTATTTACATGTATATAACATTAATCAGACCATGTGCAAATAAACTTGCATGATAGAAAATATCAACATGAATTATTGCTAGATCACACATTATCTACTTTGATAAACAAATCAAAACCTTTGTATGTCTGAAAATGTTCTGTTTCACAAACTGACCTCAAGTACTCATGATCAACCCATTTACCTAATCTATGGACTGTTGAACAGTGTTCTCTAATTATGGCTGGACAACCTTTTTCTTGACATCTGACCATCTGACCTCTAAATAAATAAAGGTCATCTACTATTGATTACAAATTGTCAAACCATATCTAAGGACTGTGGGATAATGTATTCTCAAAATATTAGTGGGACTAACTTTTCCTTGACCTTTAACAAACTGACCGCAAAATCAAAATGGATCATCTCATTAAAGCACAGTGTATAGCAAAAAGTCCATAATTATTGGTAAGACAAGCTTTTTTGGACTTATAATGGACCTATAATAAACTAACAATTACAGCTGTCACAATAGTTACCACTACCCTATCATCTCTATGACAAAGGATTTATGTAGCTCCATTTTCATTTTTTTTGAAGGTTAACATTTTGAGCTTAGTTTCTAGAAAGTCTTTCATGAAGTGTATGCTTTTTAGTGCAGACTCAAATTTATCTGACATTTAACACCTTCAAGGGTGACCTTCACCTTGAGAAGGCACAGTGGCAGTATGGGTTCTGCATATCACTTTCTTGGTGTGAAAATTTAAGAAAAGTTAAAAGAAAAGTTTAAAGACAATTCTTCTCAACGGGTAAATAATTTTTTTGCAGACATACAATTGTCCAACATTTGACCCTTCAATGGTGACCTTAACCTTGAGAGGACACAGCATGGGTCCAGCAAATTGCCGTCATTAGATGGACATATAAGCAAACTTTGATAAAATTGCTTTTTGGGATAACAAATTTATGGAGTGGACAAGATATTGTCTAGAATTTGACTTTCATGGTTGACCTTGACAATGTGCAGGTACAGCCATAGTATGGGTCTGCATAGGGCCTTGCTGAGATGAATATTTGAGCAATTTTAACAGTTATTTCAACAGGAACCAGTCTAATAAACGCAATTACTTCATGTACTCATCAATCCTGTAAAGTTTCATTCAAAGTGCATACGAAGTATAAAAGAAGTAGTCTAGACAATCTTTAACTAGAACTGCCACTGTCATGGCGTGAATACCCCTGCATACCACTTTGTCAGAATCAACAGTGGCCATTTAGAACTCAAGGACAACCTCCCTGCCAAATCTGAGGTTACTAAGCCAGTGCATTGCTAAGTTATGTATTCTACATGCTTCTAATGTGAAAATGTCAAAATCAATACACTCTGGACAGGCATTCTGAAGCAATTGAGAAGGTCCCTGTGACCTTGACCTTTGACTCGGTGACCTCAAAATCAATAGGGGTCATCTACTAATCATGACTAACCTCCATGCCAAATATGAAGACTGTGGGTCAAAGGAATCTTAAGTTATTGGGCGGACAAGCTTTTTGAAGTCAAGGCCCCTGTGACCTTCACCTTTGACCTGGCGACCTCAAAATTGATTGGGGACATCTACTAATCATGACTAACCTCCGTGCCAAATATGAAGACTGTGGGTCATAGGAATCTCAAGTTATTGGGCGGACAAACTTTTTGAAGTCAAGGCCCCTGTGACCTTGGCCTTTGACCTGGTTACCTCAAAATAGATAGGGGTCATCTACTAATCATGACTAACCTCCATGCCAAATATGAAGACTGTGGGTCATAGGAATCTTAAGTTACTGGGCTGACAAGCTTTTTGAAGTCAAGGCCACTGTGACCTTAACCTTTGACCTGGTGACCTCAAAATCAATAGGGGTCATCTACTTATCATGACTTACCTCCATGCCAAATATGAAGACTGTGGGTCAAAGGAATCTTAAGTTATTGGGCGAACAAGAAAAAACCGACGGACGGCTGGACGGACGGACAGCCGGACGGACAAGCTGATTCCAGTATACCCCCCTTACAACTTTGTTGTGCGGGGGTATAAAAATAAGATAATTAAAGGGAGATTATAAAAATAGTTGAACTGGAAAATGCTGACAATATGCACAACTAGACTTGGTATTATTCCTGTAAAGTTTGTATGAAACTGGACCAGTAGTTTTTTAGGAGTAGTCCAGACAAGATTTTGAAGGACAGGCACATGACAGAAAAGAGATCCATATGTGTCCCTGCCATCTGTAGCAAGTGATACAAAAAATCTTTGTCTTTCACAAATAAAACAAGAGGGCCATGATGGCCCTGAGGTCACTCACCTGTATATAGCCTCCCCCCCCACCCCCGGGCCAATTTTTACCCAAGGGCTTTTATTTGTTTATTTGAACAAACACCAATAAGAAGATGTTTCATGCTAAACATCTGAGTTCTAGCTCATTGGGTTTTTTAAAAGAAGATTTTTAAAGTTTTTACTATACACATATAGTTAAAAACAATGACACCCCTGGGGCAGGGCCAGTTTTGACCCCAAGGCTTTTATTTGAACAAACTTTGTAGATATTTACTTAAAGATGTTTTGTGCTTAATATCTAAACTCTAGCTATTTGGGTTTTTTCAAAGAAGATTTTGAAGTTTTTGCTAAACACATATAAGGAAAATCAATGACCCCCCGGGCGGGGCCAGTTTTGACCCCAGGGCTTTTATTTGAACATACTTGGTAGGCACCCATTAGAACATGTTTCATGCTAAATATCTTAGCTCTAGCTCTTTGAGTTCTTTAAAAGAAGATTTTTTAAGTTTTTACTATATGCATATACAATATGCATATAGGGAAAATCAATGACCCCCTGGGGCGGGGCAAATTTTGACCCCAGGGCTTTTATTTGAACAAACTTGGTAGACACTCATTAGCAGATGTTTCATGCTATATATCTTAGCTCTAGCTCTTTGGGTTCTTTAAAAGAAGATTTTTTTAGTTTTTTTCTATATGCATATAGGGAAAATCTATGACCCCCTGGGGCGGGGTCAATTTTGACCCCAGGGCTTTTATTTGAACAAACTTGGTAGACACTCACTAGAAAACGTTTCATGCCAAATATCTAAGCTCTAGCTCTTATGGTTCTTTAAAAGAAGATTTTTTAAGTTTTTACCTATATGCATATAGGGAAAATCAATGACCCCTGGGGGCGGGGCCAATTTTGACCCCAGGGCTTTAATTTGAACAATCTTGGTAGACACTCACTAGAAGATGTTTCATGCTTAATATCTTAGCTCTAGCTCTTTGGGTTCTTTAAAAGAAGATTTTTTAAGTTTTTACTATATGCATATAGGGAAAATCAATGACCCCCTGGGGCGGGGTCAATTTTGACCCAAGGGCTTTTATTTGAACAAACTTGGTAGACATTCACTAGAAGATGTTTCATGCCAAATATCTAAGCTCTAGCTCTTAAGGTTCTTTAAAAGAAGATTTTTTAAGTTTTTACTATATCAGTATATGCATATAGGGAAAATCAATGACCCCCCGGGGCGGGGCCAATTTTGACCCCAGGGCTTTTATTTGAACAAACTTGGTAGAGACTCACTAGAAGATGTTTCATGCCAAATATCTTAGCTCTAGCTCTTTGGGTTCTTTAAAAGAAGATTTTTTTAAGTTTTTACTATATGCATATAGGGAAAATCAATGACCCCCTGGGGTGGGGCCAATTTTGACCCCAGGGCTTTTATTTGAACAAACTTGGTAGACACTCACTAGAAGATGTTTCATGCCAAATATCTAAGCTCTAGCTCTTAGGGTTGTTTAAAAGAAGATATTTAAAGATTTTTCTTTCGGTTGCCATGGCAACCAGAGTTCTGCATGGAATTAAATTCTTTGAACAATTTTTAAAGGTGACCACCAAAGGAACATTCCTGTGAAGTTGAGATGAAATTGGCTCAGTGGTTTATGAGGAGATGTCATTTAAAGCAAAAGTTTACGGACGGACGACAGACGGACGCCGGACGGACGACGGACGGACGGACGCCGGACGAAAAGCGATCACATAAGCTCACCCTGTCACTTTGTGACAGGTGAGCTAAAAAGCCCAGGCACCTTGACAATTTAGGGAAAAAAGACCTGAACTTAAAAACTAGAACTGCCACTGTCATGGCGTCAGGCTGTCAACCAGGTCTTATCCAAAATAAAGGAGGAATATAGGAATATTTTAGCAGGAAATATAGGAGTTTTTGGACCATTTTGAGGCAAAAAAATAGGAGTTTTCAACTTAAGTAATTGTTTAACTTACCAATGCTTATATAAATGTAAATTATTCTTACTTTTACACATGCTGTTTCTACAATAAAATGTCTACCGTATAAGTGAAGGAAACCATTAGCAGGCTGTCCAGCACCTTCCGACATAAAATTGGGGCGAATTTTACAGTCATATTTCAGAAATTTTAGGGCTAAAATTAGGAATTTTAGGGTACGGAATAGAAATTTTAGGGCTAAAATTTGCAATTTTATGACTAAATAAACTAAGGTCCATAAAGACCACGATGTGGGCTAACCTTTGCATATTTGACACAAAAGTAACTCACAAATAATGCTCTAGTTTAGTAATAGAGCAAAGGTGCTACCAGTGTGGACTCACTGGTCAACTGCCTCCCCTGCGGAAATGGTCATAGTCAAATCATGTTCAAACCTTATTTTTTAAAATGGCTGAACATGTCAAAAAGAACATGTTCTACCTATGTTTTGGGAATGTTATAACCACAAGTGTCTAAAAGGAATTCTTATACAGTGAAATTCTTGCACAATGCAGCTTTTGAATCATAATTATGGACAAATGAAATTTTTTGTAAAAGTAGGTAAAAAGTAAAAAGGCATTTGCCTTAGTACAGTCATTTGAATAAATGGGAAGCATCTATAATCAACACAAAGAGTTGCACATCAAAAGAGTTCATCACACAGACCATTCAATTGCAGTTTATCTAGATCACATAATTGCAAAATGTGTTTACATTGTAATTGGAAATGAGCTTTATATTACTGAACTGCCAAATTATTTTGAGTGTGATTAATTATATGAGTCTGCCTTTCCTAAATTGCACCATATGAATGAAAGAACAAGAACTGAATGAAATTGATAACTTTGTGGCAAAATAAGCAATTTCTCCTACAAAGATACGAAAAGAATAAATAAGTATGAGGGAAAGAATTAATTTTTCAAAGTCTATGTTAACCCATTCAGTACTTTACAATGTTGTTTTGATATTATGCAGATTTAAATAAAAGAGTTGTGAGTAAACAAATTCAATGTACATTAATTTTTGACAACTATTTATACATGTTTTTAATTAAGATTGTGTTACAACAGCTTCATAATGATCATTTTCAAATATGATATGATACAAATGGACCACTTCAGAAATTTGGATAAAATGAACAAACATAAAATTTAAGATATCTGGAGTTGGCAAAACAGTGTCAAAATATTCCAGAATAAGTGGACTCTTACGGTTATGATTTAAGTTTCAGGACAATGATATGGTAGTGTTTTTGCTGTTAACTGTCAACATGATTATCAACAACTGCTTTGATTATGAAATAGCAATGTTACTGACATAGTCAAAGTAACTTTCAGTTGAAAGGAAACCATTTCAATGTCATCAATTTTGAGTTGGCAAATCATGGCCAAATAATTTTTGACAATGTTCAAAACATAGTCGACTTTGAGTTATGTTTACAGGGTTACAAGTTATAAGTATGTTTAGTACAAAAGATAAAAATAATTAGGAATTTCAGTGAAAAAATAGGGCAGTTTTAGGAATTCCCTTCGAATTTTTCACTTTTTTAGGAATTTTAGGGATGCTGGACAGCCTGCATTAGCTTTAAACCACAGCATCAGCAGAAAGTTACAGCAATGCATGACCATCATCTGAATGGTCACCTGAAATAAAGTTGACATACTGATGCACTGCTTTTCATGGTGACCATGCAGATGGTGTGTGGAGCACAGCAGCCTTGAGCATAGTAATGTGATGCTGATGCAGGCATACACATTCTCTTACCTGTAAAATACAAAAGGCCAAAAGCAGTACCAAAATTTGAATCTCTTTGAATTCCTCGGCAATATACTTTTAAAAAAATATAGGAAAAATATTCAAAATATAGGAGAATATAGGAAAAATAGGAGGTTTTTTAAAATAAAGGATTCTGACTCAAAATATAGGAGTTTTATAGGAATATAGGAATTGGTTGACAGCCTGTGGCGTGAATACTCCCGCATACCACTTTGTCAGAATCAACAGTGGCCATTTAGAGCTCAAGGACAATGTCCCTGCCAAATCTGAGGTTACTAAGCCAGTGCTATGTATTCTACATGCTTCAAATGTGAAAATGTCAAATCAATAAACTGCGGACAGGCATTCTTAAGCAATTGAGGGGAAAAGCTTTTTTAAGTCGACCTTTGACCCAGTGACCCTCAAATCAATAGGGGTCACCTTATAGTCATGATCAACCTCCATGCCAAATATGAAGACTGTGGATCAAAGGAATATTAAGTTAATGGGTGGACAATCTTTTTGAAGTCAAAGTCCATGTGACCTTGATCTTTGACCCAGTGACCTTAAAATAAACAGGGGTCACCTACTAATCATGACTAACCTCCATGCCAAATATGAAGACTGTGGGTCAAAGGAATCTTAAGTTATTGAGCGGACAAACTTTTTTAGTCAAGGCCCCTGTGACCTTGACCTTTGACCCAGTGTAATAAAAATAAATAGGGGTCATCTACTTATCATGACTAACCTCCATGCCAAATATGAAGACTGTGGGTCAAAGGTTTCTTAAGTTATTGGGCCGACAAACTATTTGAAATCAAGGCCCCTTTGACCTTGACCTTTGACCCAGTTACCTCAAAATCAAAAGGGATCATCTACTTATCATGACTAACCTCCATGCGAAATATGAAGACTGTGGGTCAAAAGAATCTTAAGTTATTGGGCAGACAAGCTTTTTATAGTCAAGGCCCCTGTGACCTTGACCTTTGATCCAGTCAACTTAAAATCAATAGGGATAATCTACTAGGCCTAAGGGTTCTTTAGTTATTGATCGGAAACCGTTTTTACCTAAGAGGTCAATGTGAACTTGACCTTTAACCCCTTGACCCCAAAATCAATAGGGGTCATCTGCTGGTCATGACCAATCACCATATCAAGTTTGAAGTTCCTAGGCCTAAGGGTTCTTTAGTTATTGATCGGAAACCGTTTTTACCTAAGAGGTCAATGTGACCTTGACCTTTGACCTGGTGACCTCAAAATCAATAGGGGTCATCTACTCATCATGACTAACCTCAATGCCAAATATGAAGACTGTGGGTCAAAGGAATCTTAAGTTATTGGACCGACAATCTTTTTGAAGTCAAGGCCCCTGTGACCTTGACCTTTGACCTGGTGACCTCAAAATCAATAGGGGTCATCTACTCATCATGAATAACCTCCATGCCAAATATGAAGACTGTGGGTCAAAGGAATCTTAAGTTATTGGGCGGACAAGCTTTTTAAGGTTAAGTCCCTGTGACCTTGACCTTTGACCTGGTGACCTCAAAATCAATAGGGGTCATCTACTCGTCATGACTTATCTCCATGCCAAATATGAAGACTGTGGGTCAAAGGAATCTTAAGTTATTGGGCGGACAAGCTTTTTAAGGTTAAGTCCCTGTGACCTTGACCTTTGACCTGGTGACCTCAAAATCAATAGGGGTCATCTACTCGTCATGACTTATCTCCATGCCAAATATGAAGACTGTGGGTCAAAGGAATCTTAAGTTATTGGGCGGACAAGCTTTTTAAAGTCAAGTCCCTGTGACCTTGAGCTTTGACCTGGTGACCTCAAAATCAATAGGGGTCATCTACTTGTCATGACAATTCTCCATGCCAAATGTGAAGACTGTGGGTCCAAGGAATCTTAAGTTAATGGGCGGACAATCTTTTTGAAGTCAATGCCCGTGACCTTGACCTTTGACCTGGTGACCTCAAAATCAATAGGGGTCATCTACTTATCATGACTAACCTCCATGCCAAATATGAAGACTGTGGGTCAAAGGAATCTTAAGTTATTGGGCGGACAAGCTTTTTGAAGTCAAGGCCCCTGTGACCTTCACCTTTGACCTGGTGACCTCAAAATCAATAGGGGTCATCTACTCATCATGACTAACCTCCATGCCAAATATGAAGACTGTGGGTCAAAGGAATCTTAAGTTATTGGGCGGACAAGCTTTTTGAAGTCAAGGCCCCTGTGACCTTGACCTTTGACCTGGTGACCTCAAAATCAATAGGGGTCATCTACTCATCATGACTAACCTCCATGCCAAATATGAAGACTGTGGGTCAAAGGAATCTTAAGTTATTGGGCGGACAAGAGAAAACCGACGGACGCCAGACGGACAAGCTGATTCCAGAATACCCCCCTTACAACTTTGTTGTGCGGGGTATAATAAAAGAACTTTTATCTTACCTATCCCTGATTAATCTTTCACATACTGCAAGGCCGGAGAATTTAAATGTATTATTCTCACAGGAATTTGTAGTTAAACCAGCTCTGGCCAAAGACTTTGTTGATAGTTGTACTTCACATATACTTCCACATTTATCTTCTACCAACAGGTGATATCTGTATGTAATATTATATTATTGTAATTCTTTTGAATAAAATACATCACTATATTGATAATAAATATATCTAAACAGTTTGTTTGTTTGATTTTCAAGCTTTTTATGTCCATTTTAACACTTTTATAGTTATTTCTCCGCAGTTCATCCACTAACAAAATCATACAGTGTACAATAACAAAAAAATACACATTAGTTACCTTGTTTTAGAACTGTCATTTCTAACAGTGACTGCCCTATGAACATGTCCGCTAAATGATACTGTCCCACTATAACCATCTCCCCCACCATCTACAGCTGTCCTACATGACTCAATACTCTTTAATAGGGAGTCACAAATGTCAGGATCCTTTGAACTACTTCCTGTTTTAGATATGGAAGGTTCACATGGTTTAGAAGAGATAGTGAATAAATGACTGGTGGTTGATTTGAGCAAATTGGAGTTTGAACCTTTTCCCCGTGCGGAGCTTCTCTTTTTAGCAGGTACAGTTTCCTACAATAGAAAGAAATTCATGTATACAATTACAGGGCTTAGTGTGAAACTGGTCCATCTATACACAGAAATAGAAGCAGTTAGACCAGTATCGCTCTAAACCCTCAAAATTTACTGCACTCATCTTATATTATAACTTTATCTCTTTTCCTGTATGACTTCAGTACATATTTTATCTATACAAATAGAAAAAAAAAAGCACAAACAAGCAAACATGTTTTAGTCTTAGACAAAAGAATATCAAGAATGTACCTGAAACTGTCCTAGTGTTGATGGAAACTGATATGCAGGACAAAGTGTTTGAGAACACTGTAACCCTGAAATAAAATATTGATAAACATTAATCAGCTGAATGTGTATGTCAATTTTGTGACAAGTATATATTCATGCAGTTTGCCCAACCTATATACTAGTAGCAGCTGAATAAATAGACTATTCTAATTATTACATACACTCACATCAACAATTCTATCTATTACATACCCTGAACACATGAACAATCCTATTTATTACAAACCCTCAACACATCAACAATTCTATTTGTTACATACCCCAAACACACAGACATTCCATTTATTACATACACTTACATTTATTACATATCCTGAACAAATTGGCAAATCCAAATATTACATATCTTTAATACATGGACAATTCCATTTATTACACACACCCTGAATACATTGAAACATACCATGAACACATGGACAATTCCATGAAGCTGTGACAACATTTGTCAGTTTATCAACATCACTGGAAGGTAACGTAACTGGGGTATTATCAGGTTGTTGTACAATATGACAATATTTTGTACACAGTAATATTTGCTGCCCATCATTTAACTGTAGTTTCTGCCTGTAACATAAAATAAAAATGTTTAAAAATGGCCGTTTTAGCCAAAACAATACCAAACACATGAAAACCTTTTGTAGTTGTGAACACTGATCTTGAATGAAAAATAAGAAATTTTAAATATTCACAAAAAGATATAATTCAGTCAAAATCTAAGCAACTATTTCAACCTTTAGTAGTTGAGATATGATGCAAAACTTTAACCAAGTATTATGCCACTGAGGCCACAAAATGGAGTAGGATAGCAACACTATTCTTTGAGTAGGCAAGATAAATAATCAGACAAATATATAACAATTTACATGTGTACCATGGTGGAAATATTTTAAATTGACTTCCAATTTGCAGGTTCAACTGTTCTGATTGGCTGGCAGGAAACATTACAAGTCTCTTGTTGCAAGTGCCCTCATCTTGAGATTTCTTAGATGACAGTATATCACCTTTCCTCCTATCTTTCACATCACTTTTTTTCAAATCTGAACCCGTCTGGCTAGCTTCTTTATTCTTACATAGAACACATTTTACTAGGTGCATAGAGTAAAGGTTTTCAAAACCTATCACTTGGAGCTGAATTGATTTGGAATCTGAAAGTAAACAAGCAAATTTGTTGAAACAATATTCTAGATTAGATTTTATTTTCAGGACAGTTTCAACATTAAATGGATGAGTTAAACATGTTAACTATAAATAATGAGGAATAATTTTCTGTGATCTTTGTCATGTTAAAATTTGATACTACAATGTATCACTTCAACAAACTGAACAATGAAAATTGTAACTGTTATGGTTATTTGGCCTTCTCAAGGAAAATAAACATTTTCATTTTCTTTCATTAACCCACTTCCACATATGCCCCTTCATAAAGAAGCTCAAAAAGTAAGTCATGCAGACATCCTGTAGAGAAATTTAGTTGTTGTAAAAAGTAAGACACGTTTTTATTTTCAGTGTATTAATAACCAACATTTCAATACTCTCATTAAAACAGTGTACAACAAAACTTTTAATGGTAAATAGATAACAATGTCAATTTCGGGAGTAAAGTTGAGGATTAAAATTTATTTACCTTTTAGTTTTAGTCCTCTTTACCTTTCATCAGAACCAGAAATCATATAAATGTATTGACTTTTGGATGGCAAAATTTACTTTTCAGTAAATAAAACTTTGTGCTAGATTTTGTTCACAATGCCAACTGTGTAACTTAAACATATTACTGAATGGTTCATAAAATTAAACTATTGACTTTAAGTACAATGTACGATAGTTTGCATCAATTTAATGTATCAGGTCAAGACAAGCAAGCTTTGAGACAGGAGTATTATTTTCAAAAGAACATGTACTTGCCCGACAGGACAACAAAATCTAAAAGTTAAGGGCCAGGCCAGGGATTAAACAAAAGAAAATTTCATTCATATAATTATCATTTAATTATATTCACACAATATTTAAATGATTATATACCTTGTTTAGCTGATGGTTTGCCTTGATGATGCCATATCTTAACTGCTGATTTATCTCTCAACTGAAGTTGCCTAAACTGTTCTGCTAAGCCATTTCTGTAATCAAAACACTTCTATCTCTTAACCATCAAATATTGCCACTAGTATTGAGCCAGGTCAGTCTGCACATCCATGCAAAAGTGACTGGACACTATATTGTTGGCCGAATGATATTTTAAATTTGAAAACTGAATATCTTAACTACTAATGAACTGTTCAAAATTAAAAACAGGACAAATCGATTACACAGATTTTGCAGGGTACCATAAAAGCTGGGGTCAATACTAGTGAAAATATTTTCAGCTAAATTTTCACCTGATTTTGCCCTAGACGCAGTCCCTGCAATAGTGCTGCTGTGTGAGTATAACAAGGTTCAAGTTTTTTGGATTATTTAACTGACCAAAGTAAATTTAAATGATCTACACTGATTAAAATCTTGAATGACATTTTGTTTAGTTAGCTTTTAAGTCATAAAAAAAAAAATTTCAAGGTCATATGGGGACTATCCAGCTTTACCAGTAGGGGGAAGCCATAGATGCTCCTTCATGCATTGGCTACAAAAGAGCATCTGAGGATTTGAACCCACAATGGTTGGAGGCAAATGATATGAAGTCAGCAACCCTAATCACTCAACCAAGGAAGCTTCTAATAACAAGTTCCTATTCTGAGCCATTAAATTCAGTTTTTAAGTTCACACAATGACACATACAATAATTGATATATGTTAACATAAAGCAATCTACATTTTGTACATTTGAAGTAAATTTGAACATAATAATTATATCTTTGATATATCTATTCTTCAACAAAATGACAATATATTATAATATAACTAATAATATACAATTAAAGTAACTTTTCCATAAATGATTTATAACTAACATACCTTGAATATTTCTTTTGTTTCTTGGCAGAATCTTCTATCTCTGAATTATCAATCTGACACTCAGATGTACTGGGAGTTTTCTGTTGTAATGACTTAAACCAATCACTTCCATTAACAACTGTACAAGTTACAGGGAATGAGGATTTCTGTGAACTGTCCTCATTTCCAGACATATGACTGTCTGATTCTTCAAATTCCTGCAACAAGTAATAAAAAAAAGAAAACTGCCTGAGGAAACCATACAGGAAAAGTTACAATTTATCAATTTCAAACAAAGATGCATATTATCAGTATACCTGTAACACTTTTATTAGAATAAAACAAGAGCTATGCATAGATCCCCTACTGTCTAATTCTAATTATCAAATTATCTAATTATCTGAGTTCTGACAAAAATCTTTGAACAAGACAATGCTTGAGCAATATGCAAAACTAGAATTGTTACTGATCATTCCTGTAATGTTGGGATGAAATTGCACTAGTAGTTTTTGAGAAGTCCAGACAAATTCTGTAATGATCAGACAGATTAACGGGCAGGCTATAGCCACAAAGCAGGCAACACAAAACTTGTGAATGTAAAAATATGAAATTCTAATTTCTATCCAGAAGAGTCAAGAGTTTTCTTATTCAATGACAAAGAGCATGAAAAAACAACTGAGTTTTATAAAGTTCTTATACTGTATAAGTACACAGACACTTGGGGTTTGGAGCTCAAAACGCCTTTAAAATCCAAATAAAATGCATATTTGTCAATCCCAGCACATGTACAGATCATATATATCAAAAAAACTTAATATAAGCCGTATTGAAAAAAAATCATATTTCAACATCTATAATAATTAATGTATTATGGTACTTACCTTCACCGATGATGAATCAACATCAGCAGTATTCATCTCTCCATACAACACAAACCCTTGTACTCGGTCTACCCATCATTCAAAACAATATTAGTAAATTTAACTATCAAATACTTATTATGAAAACATATAAGTATTCAAAGCATACTTACAGCGATGCTAAAAAGAAGAGCAGGTTCAAAGAACCGTCCTTTCCTATCCAAAGTCATAATATCCGGATTCTACTCTAGTTTCTGTTGGTGTCATGTGTTTTCGCGATATGTTTCGTTAACTAAAAGAATTGCAAACTTTAAATTAATGAAACAAACGGGATAATCACTTTTGTATGTCAACAACGAAAAATCTTCAAAAATTTCTGCCTTCTTAAAGTTCAGGAATTATTCAAGCTATTTTAAAAAATGTGTGGCTCAAGCAGCAGACTGGTTGTAAAATGGAGTACGACTAATATAAGAAACGGATTTTTTTGGCGCAACATTTATTTGTTAATATATCAAAAAATATTTACCGGTACATTATGATTTTTTATTGATTTTAAATTGCTTACACTTGCCACTAGAGCGAGCATATATACTTCAGCTAAGATTTACGGGGAGCTAAAATTTCTTATATCGAGGGAACAAGTCACTTCACCCCAGCCCTTCCCCCAGACACTTCACCACTCAAATTTTGAAGAAACTTCTCCCCTCATTTAGGCTCAAGACACTTCACGTCCTAAATTCAGCAAGACACATCACCCTATTTTCTAGGGTATTTTTTTTCAAATAACAAATACAACTTTATTTTCTTGATTATCTTTTACTTTTAGTATTTTTATTTTATTTTTTATATATATAAAATATCTAAATACAGGCAATTTTAACATATTAACATCATTATATCATAAAAGACAATTTATAATTAACATACAGTTGAAACTTTAATATATAACAACATTAAAACATAACATGAGAGACAATTTAAAGATGAATTACATATAGAAAAAAATTATCAATAAATTAACAAGCAGCTATAATTAAAGTTACATGTGACTTTCCACATAAACATTAAATTAAAAATTTAAGGTACTACGTGTCAATTTAAGAACAAGAGAAGTGTGAAAGCGATCTAATTATCAATAAATATATATATGAAAAAAATCCATCATACAAATGAGTGATAAAAAAATGTTATTTTATATTCAGTGAAACTTTCATTGCAATTTTAAAATCATACCAATATTTTAGCAAAAAATATACATACATACATTTAATAACGATTATATTTATTTTCTAACCCTATAAATTTGATAAACAAAATATTTCTTTCACAAATTCATTCTAAAAATCTTTCTTCCATTAAAAAAGAAGGCACGATTAAATCATCAACACTGACTTGCACTATAAATAATTTTGGTTAAATGGTATGAAATGTGTGATAATCCAAAGAGACATAATAATAATATACCTCTTAATGACGCGTGATACTCCGATTACGATTAAACAATTAAGAGAATCGAAAAAAAGTCACTATACAACGGTCAATAAGAACCTAGACGTCCAGTAACACGTGTCAATTATGAAGTTGGTTAGCCCTGATAAGGGCTGTTGTTGCCAGTAAAAGGGGTCTCCCATTCAAGCAGTCTCTTTGTTCTAGGGCCTCACGCACATATATACATGTGTAATACCCTTTCTCGTCATATCTGCCACTTTTTAAGGTCAAGACAGAGGCTACTAACTTTACACAGACTTGGTCATGTCACCTTAAACGTTACCCCGAGCTGTAGTTCTAAAGCATGCTGTAGGAAACCCTTTAAACTAGTTTCATTTGTATCCTTACACGTACTTTTCAGTCGATCTTCTTGATGCCTCTCTACGACGTGACACTACTGAGGGGAAGAAGAGATGAAAAATATCTATGATGTATTTCTTAAGCTGTATATAGCGATACAAACATAAATTATAAATAATTTCAGTAGGGAACCTTTTTATTACTTGTTTCACCTTGCAAACACGTTGGGTACCTCAATATCACAGTTAATGAAATCACAACCAGTCTACAGTGACGTGTTGGCGGGAAATATCTCAATAGGTAAACAAAAGAATTTTGGAATTTTGAAAATGTGGAAAACACTTTATACTCATTGTTCAATGACAAAAGACAATATAACATTGATTTAAATCATGTTTTAATCTGCAATGCGTTTATGAATATATCGCGAAAACATATGATAATGCAAAGAACTGTAGTAGTATCCGGTTAAATTTATTTGGATAGAGTTTTTCAGTTTTAATTTCTTTCAATTTCCTTCACGATAGATGCAAGCAGCTAAGTTTGTTTCAAACTAGAATATATCTTTTAATTATCGATTTTACAGTAAAGGTTTTCAAACAAACCTGTGCTATTTGATAAATTAACAAAGTAGTAAAATATGATGGTTCTAAAAAATTGTCCTCATCTGTTATGTCAGTTATTCCAATCAGTATGTAGCATTTCAGGTTATAATGCTTATTTTAGAATAAAGCACATAGACCATAAGTAATATTGTATTTTTGCCAATCATAAATCTGCTGTATCTGCTATAACACTTATTCAATGTGACAGTCAAGTACATGTGTATACCTAAAAAGGAGGCCCTAAACCAAAGAGTCGAAAAAGCAGCCCTCTTGATCGGCCATATTCGTCGAGTATATTTCGGTCACTATCTAGGATTTGACTGATTTTTAACAAAATAGAATTTATACAATTTTTTCAATTTTTGACTATTTTTAAATTCCCCCCCTTTGAATAATAATTCTAATAGGGTGAATCCCCATCTCCTAGAACAACATGATTTAGTGTGTACGTAATGGGTATTGAATTAATGTAAATCACACAATCAATAATGAAGGTTCACTTTCTTTAAAACAAAACATATTAACAGCACATAAAACTTTTGGATAAGACAAAGTTACTTGACATTTTTCTCCTTCTGTAAAAACATTATATTTTTGATTTCTTCATTAAAATAAATACTATAATTTTCTTCATACAGTGTAACTAATTAATTATCAGTAATTAGGAGACTCCTGAGAACAGAAGATGTGAAAAGCATGCTTTTTGATCAGTCATATATGGAATTGTTAATGTATAATAATCTCAAATTGTCAGTGTCTATTCTAGGATTTGAAAAACGGGGGATTTTTATCGAAAAGTGAGAATTTATTACATTTGTTGATTTTTTTTCTTCTTTCTCTATGTTAAATTTTCCCCCTGCCTCTGAAAAACTAGGGGGAATTCTCAAAAATAGGGGTGAATCCCCCAATCCCCCTCCTAGAACAAACACTGATTGTAGGTGTGATACGCAAATGGCAATGAATAATGTAAATCACACAAGTCCAAAATCAATGAAAGAAGTATGCACTTTCTTTTAAAACAAAACAGTTATTGAGACAGCACATAAATGGCATCTGATTTAAACTAAAGGGACACAACTTAGGCTGGAAGCTTTTTCTACAACTGTACTGGCTAACTGTGGCTAACATTTGTGATTGATAATTTTTGAAAGTTTTCGGTTTCTTTTAAACATAATCAGTAGCTTGAATACCTCACTTTGCTTGAACTCATCACCAGTCACGACAAAGTTCCTATATAGTTTATATTGTCCTACCTCAGATTGCTTGAACCTGATATCTTGTCCCTTTGGGAGAAATATATTGAAAATCACAGAAAAAGACAACAAAAGTTACGGGACAACATGCTTTGAATTGGCATCATATAGGTGCAACTTTTGTCTGCGGCGTTGTTGTCGGCGTCCCCTTAAGCTTGTGCGGAGCATGAGTCGGTCACTAAAAGTTGGATTGACTCCGAACTTGGTATGCATGCTTCTTATAAGTGCACAAGAATCGTTACTCTGTACTTCTTTATTTTTGAGTTATTGCCCTTTGTTAATTTTCATATTTAATTTTTGTTCGGGGCATTTCTCCTACTAAAGTATAAAAGCTAAGGACTTGAAACTTCATAGGATGATAGATCTCATTAAGAAGAAGCTAGTGCTCTGCACAAAAACTGATACTCTGTACTTCATGATTTTAGACTAATTGCCCTTTGTTAATTTTCTTACTTAGTAGACATGAGTGTTATAACAGGGTTGCAGTGTATCTTGATGTATACGGACGTATATGTCCCGGGCCATATTCTGATAACTGTGTGTCCAGAAACCTACAGATGTTAATACTTTAAACCTATGTCAAGTGATGCACAAATGTCACCCTCTTTGTCTAAAAGACTTTAAAAATGCGGAGAAATCATCTATTGTAAATTTTAATAAACAATCTGCAAGGAAGGGGTATTAAAGGACAAAGAAAAATGAAGCAAAAAAATTTCAAGATTGCTATTTCAGAACATGTCTATCATGAAGGTTTACTAAAGTGGGTAATCACCCCCAAACTTGGGAAAAAATTTTAATTTAAATATTGATTTCCCAACAGCTTAAATAGTTTGTTTTGCATCCACTATTTGTACGCAGACTGCATTAATTGGCTACTAACCCATTAGAAGTGCAGAAGTGTTTACAAATACAGTCAAACTTCGTTTGCTTGAACTCTGAGGGTCTGTGCAAATTTGTTCAAGAGATCAGTAGTTCGAGCCAACCGAGGTTGAACTATTATCACGTTGGGCATAGGCCTAAACGTTCTTCAGCTTACACCCGTCAAATGATAAATATGTCTGTATAATTGTTTGTTAGTACATCAGTTTGTCGAATACATCATTTCTTTTAAATATTAAGAATTTTAAAATGAGTATTAACGGTACATGTTTAAATCTATATTCATGCATATTATAAATGGTTGAGTCGATTGGGCAATCGTTTTCCAATCTTATTGAACAATATTCAAAATATATTTTTATGTGTATTATGGGATAAAATGAATTTTAAACGATGAATTAACTAATTATTTAAAAAACAACGACATTTAACAGCAGCATTTATTTGTAGTCATTTACTAAAATAAACACACATACAAGTATCATTCTATAGATATTCACGTTACATGCACCAAGGTTTTGATTAAAGCCGTCCGGGGTAAACGTCATCTATTTATTGACTTGCACATTTAACTTATTTCACGAGTTATTTTCCTTTTATCGTTACTGAAGAGGGCAAATAAACAATATTATCATAACAAACAATTCGGTTACAACACCTATAGTTTTGTATCAATTAACATTAATTGCCTTTATCACGATCACGAGGTGTTTAAAACGTGTCGCCGGCTGTCACTTATTTAGTACCTGTCGACCGCAACTTTTGTTGCCTTTTTTTGTTTGACCAAAATGGTGTGGTTGTAACTGTATTTCTGCCCAATGGACCAGAGATCAGGTTCAAAAGTTTGAGGGATCAGTGTTCGAGCGATCTGAGGTAGAACAATATATAACATATAGGATAGGAATTTTGCCGGAACTGGGCGATGAGTTCGAGCAAAGGGAGGTATTCAAGCGATCCAGAGTTCGAGCGAAGGAAGTTTAACTGTAATAGATAAACTTGTTGTTATTTATGAAGTTGAACTCTCAATCATTAAAAGTTTGGAATAAAGTGCACATGTGTAAACTGAATATAGGTGCCCCGCCTTATAATTAAGACAACTTGACATTGGTAGAATATTTTAAGTGAGAACAAAGTCAATTTTTTCTTTACTACCGTTTTTTATGGTCATTTTGTTTATAATGCCATGGAGAAAACATAGAAAAACACAAGCATTTTTAACATTTTGATCTAGCATGTATAAATCATAAATTGATGAGGATTTTCTTTTAAACATTTATCAGTTTATGCACACAGGCACATGAAGGGTAAAGTTTCACTCCTCTTTACATATTGTTTCAGTATATTTAACGTCATATGAAAGTGTCCTCAAACTCTCAGCAACAAAATTGCACATGGAAGGGCTAATGTTGATATCACAAAAATCATTCACATCCAATATTTTTCAGAAAATTGCAACATTTTAAGGGATACAGATATGAACACTGTGCACTCTGTAACCTGACTCACCTTTGTTATTTAAACATTAAATGACATAACTGATAAATGAAATATGCCCCCTAAACTCCACCCATCATACTTTCTATTGGCTGGAGGCATTCCAGCGGGGTCAAATGAGGCTAAACACTGAATAAGTTAGTTTTTATTAAGTAAACATTTTGACAATTAAGAAGCCATGGTCACTACCTTGGGTCACTTCCTTTGGGTTTCTTAATTGTTAAAATTTCACTGAATAAACTCTATATACTTTAGCTGTATGTAATGAAATATTTTTATGATACATATAAGTGGTAAAATTATGTTGTTTCCATAATCCTGGATTCCAGAATGTTATGGTTGATTCTAAACAGAGTTGCAAAATAGAATGTTTCTGTTATTATACCCCCAAAAACGAAGTTTGGGGGGGTATATAGGAGTCACCCGGTGGTCGGTCGGTCGGTTGGTCGGTCGGTCGGTCGGTCGGTCGGTCCAGACGTCCGTTGCATTTTCCTTGTCCGGAGCATAACTTGAAGACTAATGGTTGGAATTCAATATAACTACATACAATGGTCAAGCACATTGAGAGGAAGTGCAGTGCACAAGAACCATAACTCTATCTTGACTAATTACAGAGTTATTGCCCTTTGTTACTTTTCCTTGTCCGGGGCATAACTTGAAAACTACTGGTTGGAATTCAAAACAACTTCATACAATTGTCAAACACAATAAGGGGAAGTGCAGTGCACAAGAACCATAACTCTATCTAAAGTAATTACAGAGTTATTGCTCTTTGTTGCTTTTCCATTGCTTCTTTTTGTCCGGACCATAACTTGAAGACTAATAGTTTGAATTCAATATAACTACATACAATGGTCAAGCACATTGAGAGGAAGTGCAGTGCACAAGAACCATAACTCTATCTTGACTAATTACAGAGTTATTGCCCTTTGTAACTTTTCCTTGTCCGGGGCATAACTTGAAAACTACTGGTTGTAATTCAAAACAGCTTCATACAATTGTCAAACATAATAAGGGGAAGTGCAGTGCACAAGAACCATAACTCTATCTAAAGTAATTACAGAGTTATTGCCCTTTGTTGCTTTTCCATTGCTTCTTTTTGTCCCGACCATAACTTGAAGACTAATAGTTTGAATTCAATATATCTACATACAATGGTCAAGCACATTGAGAGGAAGTGCAGTGCTCAAGAACCATAACTCTATCTTGACTAATTACAGAGTTATTGCCCTTTGTTACTTTTCCTTGTCCGGGGCATAGCTTGAAAACTACTTGTTGGAATTCAAAACAACTTCATACAATTGTCAAACACAATAAGGGGAAGTGCAGTGCACAAGAACCATAACTCTATCTAAAGTAATTACAGAGTTATTGCCCTTTGTTGCTTTTCCATTGCTTTTTTTTGTCCGGACCATAACTTGAAGACTAATTGTTTGAATTCAATATAACTACATACAATGGTCAAGCACATTGAGAGGAAGTGCAGTGCACAAGAACCATAACTCTATCTTGACTAATTACAGAGTTATTGCCCTTTGTTACTTTTCCTTCTCAGGGGCATAACTTGAAAACAACTGGTTGGAATTCAAAACAACTTCATACAATTGTCAAACACAATAAGGGGAAGTGCAGTGCACAAGAACCATAACTCTATCTAAAGTAATTACAGAGTTATTGCCCTTTGTTGCTTTTCCATTGCATTTTTTTGTCCGGACCATAACTTGAAGACTAATAGTTTGAATTCAATATAACTACATACAATGGTCAAGCACATTGAAAGGAAGTGCAGTGCATAAAAACCATAACTCCATCTTGACTAATTACAGAATTATTGCCCTTTTATACTTTTCCTTGTCCATAGCATAACTTGAAAACTACTGTTTGGAATTCAATACAACTTCATACAGTTGTCAAGGACATTAAAAGGAAGTGCAGTGCACAAGAGCCATAACTCCATTTTGACAAAATACAGAGTTACTGCCCTTTGATACTTTTCCTTGTCAGGAGCATAACTTAACACGTACTGGTTGGAATTCAAAACAACTTCATACAATGGTCAAGCACAATAAGAGGAAGTGCAGTGCACAAGAACTATAACTCTAGTATTTATAGAGTTATTGCCCTTTATTCCTTTTCTTTGTCTTTCTGGACTTATTACAGAGTTATTCAATTAAACTTCATCAATGGCCAACCACATTGAAAGGAAATGCAACATACAAGAACCACAACTATCTTTAATTGCCCACAACCATAACTGTATATTTCAATTCTTTTACAAGGTATTCTGTTACTAGTAACATCCTCATTTCCTAAGCAGTCTTGTGGGGGTATTAATCACATTTAGTGATAGTTCTAGTTTAACATGTAAATATAGTACAGAAACTGAATAAAATGTTCTGGAACAAAATATTATGCTGCTGTCTTAAAAAGGGTTTTGACTGCTAAGCAAAGAGTTTGCTCATGCACCATCTGCTTTTATTGAGGAAAAAACACAAAACATATTTATTTCATACAGATATTTTTAAATTATTCTTTTTAAACAATATTTTGTAAACTATAGCTTTATGCCCTTAAAGCTTAAAATATAAAAAAACGTCAGACATTGTTCTCAGTTGTGAATTTTTCTTGAAGAATAGCCACATTTTTTCAATCTTAATTAATTTCAAGAATTAATTATCTCCCTTTATATTGCATTATTCCATGACATGAAAGGAGGAGATGAATTTTCAAATGAAAAAAGGTATTCAGTAATGCAAGAACATCCATTAATGAATGCTTGAATTTAACATTACAGGTTCATTCCATTTGTAATTCAGTTAAAAGGTTAATTCCAAAAGGTTGTTAATATCAAAATAGGATATACTAGAAATGCCTAGAGATTACTTTTATTTCTATTTTAAGGCCATGAAACTATGTCAGCATCTAAAAATAGATCACTGGACTGGTCCCGATGTGCGGAAGGGTTTGCAGATTTTAATATTGACAGTGGAAGTGCAACAAAAAAGAAAATAGAGCCAGGGAAAAGAAAATCTTCTGAATCTGTATTCAGTCATGGAAATATATTTGAAAAATTGGCATTTGGCTATGAGGAAGACAAAAGTAAGATATCTGTTGTTGGTATGATCATGGTCCTATTAATATAGTGTAAAATACTGAATGATTTTTATATACCTGTATATATATATATGTATATATAATTTATATTATATTTTTTATTAGGAACCCAATTCTATTTTTAGTCCCCTACCGGTTTAACCGGAGGGGACTTTAGGTTTACCCTCCGTCCGTCTGTCTGTCTGTCCGTCTGTCTGTCTGTCAGTCCGTCCGTCCACAAAACTGGATCCCGCGATAACGCAAAAAGTACTGAAAATATTTTTATGAAACTTAATATATGGATAGATGGCAGTATGGAGATTATGCACGTCTTTTTTTTTCTTCGTATGTTGAAAATTCTGGTTACTATGGCAACAAATAGTCTGAAAATATGGCAAATTTAACACATAAACTGGATCCAGTGATAATTCAAAAAGTACTGAAAATATTTTTATGAAACTTGAAATATGGGTAGATGGCAGTCTGGAGAATATGCACATCTTTTTCGTTTCTTCCTATGTTGAAAATTCTGGTTGCTATGGCAACAAATAGCCTGAATTTCAAGATTTCTCATTTAAATTTTTCAGCTTTTTCACTATAAGTTCTTTATTTCTTAAGGTGTTTACTTCAAACTTTAAATATATGTTTCTGATCATCAACCACATATGTGACAAGGTTAACAACTCTAGCACAACAATTATCAGTATTACCTCCCTTGAACTTAGAATTTTTATGAAAAAAAATGTTGTCTTTTTAGCTCGACTATTCGATAAGAATAAGTAGAGCTATTGTAGTCACCCGAGCGTCGGCGTCCGCGTCGGCGTCCGCGTAACCACTTATGTTAAAGTTTTTGTAATAGTTTCAATATTTTCAAAGTCCATTGACATATGGCTTTGAAACTTTGCACACTTGTTCACCATCATTACCCCAACCTGTAAACAGGAGGAGGTAACTGTATCAATCATTTTGACAGAATTATGCCCCTTTTTCGACTTAGAATTTACGTTAAAGTTTTTGTAATAGTTCAAATATTTTCAAAGTCCATTGACATATGGCTTTGAATCTTTGCACACTTGTTCACCATCATTACCCCAACCCGTAAACAGGAGGAGGTAACTGTATCAATCATTTTGACAGAATTATGCCCCTTTTTTCGACTTAGAATTTACGTTAAAGTTTTTGTAATACCTCAAATATTTTCAAAGTCCATTGACATATGGCTTTGAAACTTTGCACACTTGTTCACCATCATTACCCCAACCTGTAAACAGGAGGAGGTAACTGTATCAAGCATTTTGACAGAATTATGCCCCTTTTTCGACTTAGAATTTAAGTTAAAGTTTTTGTAATACCTCAAGTATTTTCAAAGTCCATTGACATATGGCTTTAAAACTTTGCACACTTGTTCACCATCATTACCCCAACCTGTAAACAGGAGGAGGTAACTGTATCAAGCATTTTTTTTTACAATCAAGCACTAAGAATAGTCGAGCATTGCTGTCCTACCGACAGCTCTTGTTTAAATAACTTCTTTATTTCCTAATGTATCTACTTCAAACTTCATATATATGTTTCTTATTATCACTCAACATTTTTGAGAAGGTTAAATACTCTAGCAAGACTATTTCCAGAATTATGTCCCCCTTGAACTTAGTTTTTTTTCAAGAAATTGGTATTATTCACTCCAACTTCTTCATTCCTTATAGGATTTACTTTAAAATCCCACATCGTAATAATATGACAAGGTTGTATTAACATAATTTTCTTACTAGGCAGGGAAACTTAACACATTACTGTGATATAGAAAAACTTAGAACTCAAAAGATTTAAGTTCATTCATGTCATTCATTCACTGGTAAAATTGACTGGCCAATGGCCCATCAGAGAGTTGCTGGGGTTCTAACCGGTAGGGGACTTATGGATTGCTTGCAATACTATGATAATTGCTTGTTTTATCTTATTAAGCAAATATATTCTTATACATTTATCTCTGTTTGTCAGTTATTGTTTTGAAACATGTATTTTATTATGCACAATGTTTAAGAAATGTGTGGTATTATATTTTAAAATAGGTCAAAGTATCACATGGAGTTCAAGTGAAGATGAGAAAGTGGAGAAAATTGTACCAGTTGTGAAGAAACCTAAACGTCAGAAGACACCAAAAACTAGTGCACCAGCAAGACGATCTACCAGAAGAAGCAATGTAAAAATAATTTAACTTAATGTTTATTAACCCATTCTATGCATTTTAATTTCAAATGAAAATTAAGCAGTTATTAAGTTGAGTCATACCAGCTAGGGAACACATGTGTACACGCTAGCCTTGTAATATACAAGCACTTGTGACATACATTATAAGTCATTAATACATGACATGAACATCTGTAACATTATTGGTTTAAATTAGGAAATGAGATGTGGGGTCTCTGAGGTGAATCAACATATTAAATGTTGTAGATTCAAATTCAACTAGAAATATAAGATATATTCATGTTGAGAATCTACTCATATTATTTGCTCCATGTTCCTGTTGAGAATCTACCCATATGCTGATTTTTTCCATGTTCAAGTTGAGAATCTACCCATATGCTTATTTGTACCATGTTCATGTTGAGTATCTACCCATATGCTTATTTGTTCCATGTTCATATTGAGTATCTACCCATATGCTTATTTTTTCCATGTTCATGTTGAGTTTCTACCCATATGCTTATTTTTTCCATGTTCATGTTGAGTTCTACCCATATGCTTATTTGTTCCTCAGACTAAAATGATAGACAAGGAGTCTTTTCTTGAAAGTCTTACTGAGTTTTACCATGGTTCTTTTTATTCTGTTATACCTATATGTTAGTGATTTGATTTTATCTTGACTTAAATATGAAAATGAGAATTTGTACAGCCTTTTCTCTGACTTTTCATATGTCATAAAGTAATAAATCAAATCAAATCAAATCAAAATTTATTTATTGTCGGTATACATATATAACATTTTACAAAACATAAGCTATGTATAGCTTTTGACCGACATACATGCATATAAACATAAAACTCATAAAAGAAGCACATTATGATAAACTTTGAAAGACAAATGGTACAAGACAAATTAAATTACTATAATGTGGGATGTAGACACTAAATGTTATAATTTAAAGTAAAATAATAATAATTAATAAATAGTAATGATATGTTAAGGATATGCTTAAAAGATCTATACTGTATCATAAGTGAATAAAATAATATATATCTAGATAAAAATGCGGAACATATTAGCACATACATGAAATAAGATTACATTAAAAGTGGGTGGATTCTGCTGATCTTGACCCTGGAGGCCTAGCCTGGACTGCTATAAAAGAAAGGAAATAAGATATTGAAAATGAAAAGGATCACAAAATGTGACCACTAATTAGGTTTTATAAATAAAAAATCCCCAATTCAAAATTTGCAAGAAGTGATCAGCAGCCTCCTCAATAAGCAAACTTTGCAATAAGCGAAATAGTAATCATTTACAAGTGTATGAAACAACAGTAACTGTTCAAACAGTTTAAACAGATGTACATGTAGCACTTATAGCAGTGTATCATAATACTTTATTTCCCACATTTAATATATTACTAACCAGTGAAAGTCCAGAAATTGTGGTCTTCCAATATAAATCATTACTGGATGCAACCATATCTATTTAGCATCATTTTCAGTTTCTGATTCCGGAAAAACATACACATATGTATATTGTATTACTATTGTACTCCATCTAGCCACATTTTCTCTTTCCCAGTCCAAATGAATCATATAGGATTGTACTTGAAGTAACAAAGTTCCATCAAAATGTAAACAAGAGGGCCATGATGGCCCTGAAGTCGCTCACCTGTATATAGGCCCCTGAAGCGGGGCCAGTTTAAACCCCAGGGCTTTTATTTGAACAAACTTGGTAGACACCCATTAGAAGATGTTTCATGCTAAACATCTAAGGTCTAGCTGGTCAAGTTATTTCTTTACACATTTAGTTAAAAACAGTGACACACCTGGGGCGGGGCCAATTTTGACCCCAGGGCGTTTATTTGAACTATCTTTGTAGACACTTACTAGAAAATGTTTCCTGCTTAATATCTAAACTCTAGCTATTCGAGTTTTTTCAAAGAATTTTTAAGTTTTTGCTATACACATATAAGGAAAATCAATTTACCCCGGGGCGGGCCCAATTTTGACCCCAGGGCTTTTATTTGAACAAACTTTGTAGACACTCACTAGAAGATGCTTCGTGCTTAATATCTAAACTCTAGCTATTTGAGTTTCTTCAAAGAAGATTTTTTAAGTTTTTGTTATACACAAATAAGGAAAATGAATGTCCCCCGGGGCGGGGCCAATTTTGACCCCAGGGCTTTTTTTTTTAACAAACTTGGTAGAGACTCACTAGAAGATGTTTCATGCTTAGTATCTAAACACTAGCTATTTGTTTTTTTTCAAAGAAGATTTTTTAAGTTTTTGCTAAACACATATAAGAGAAATAAATTGGCCCCTGGGCGGGGCCAATTTTGACCCCAGGGGCTTTAATTTGAACAAACTTGGTAGACACCCATCAGAAAATGTTTCATGCTAAATATCTAAACTCTAGCTCTATGGGTTCTTTAAAAGAAGATTTTATTAAGTTTTTACTATATGCATATAGGGAAAATCAATGACCCCCTGGGGCGGAGCCAATTTTGACCCCAGGGCTTTTATTTGAACAAACTTGATAGACACTTATTTGAAGATGTTTCATGCTAAATATCTTAGCTCTAGCTCTTTGGGTTCTTTAAAAGAAGATTTTATAAGTTTTTACTAATAATATGCATATAGGGAAAATCAATGACCCCCTGGGGCGGGGCCAATTTTGACCCTAGGGCTTTTATTTGAATAAACTTGGTAGACACCCATTAGAAGATGTTTCATGCTAAATATCTTAGCTCTAGCTCTTTGGGTTCTTTAAAAGAAGATTTTATAAGTTTTTACTATATGCATATAGAGTAAAATCAATGACCCCCTGGGGCGGGGCCAATTTTGACCCTAGGGCTTTTATTTGAACAAACTTGATAGACACTCACTAGAAGATGTTTCATGCCAAATATCTAAGCTCTACCTCTTTGGGTTTTTTAAAAGAAGATATTATAAGTTTTTTCATTACTGGATGCAACCATATCTATTTAGCATCATTTTCAGTTTCTGATTCCAAAAAAAACATATACATATGTATATTGTATTACTATTGTACTCCATCTAGCCACATTTTCTCTTTCCCAGTCCAAATGAATCATATAAGATTGTACTTGAAGTAACAAAGTTCCATCAAAATGTAAACAAGAGGGCCATGATGGCCCTGAAGTCGCTCACCTGTATATAGGCCCCTGAAGCGGGGCCAGTTTAAACCCCAGGGCTTTTATTTGAACAAACTTGGTAGACACCCATTAGAAGATGTTTCATGCTAAACATCTAAGGTCTAGCTGGTCAAGTTATTTCTTTACACATTTAGTTAAAAACAGTGACACACCTGGGGCGGGGCCAATTTTGACCCCAGGGCTTTTATTTAAACAATCTTTTTAGACACTTACTAGAAAATGTTTCCTGCTTAATATCTAAACTCTAGCTATTCGGGTTTTTTTTAAAGAATTTTTAAGTTTTTGCTATACACATATAAGGAAAATCAATTTACCCCGGGGCGGGCCCTAATTTTGACCCAGGGCTTTTATTTGAACAAACTTTGTAGACACTCACTAGAAGATGCTTCGTGCTTAATATCTAAACTCTAGCTATTTGAGTTTCTTCAAAGAAGATTTTTTAAGTTTTTGTTATACACAAATAAGGAAAATGAATGTCCCCCGGGGCGGAGCCAATTTTGACCCCAGGGCTTTTTTTTTAACAAACTTGGTAGAGACTCACTAGAAGATGTTTCATGCTTAGTATCTAAACTCTAGCTATTTGTTTTTTTTCAAAGAAGATTTTTTAAGTTTTTGCTAAACACATATAAGAGAAATAAATTGGCCCCGGGGCGGGGCCAATTTTGACCCCAGGGCTTTTATTTGAACAAACTTGGTAGACACCCATCAGAAAATGTTTCATGCTAAATATCTAAACTCTAGCTCTATGGGTTCTTTAAAAGAAGATTTTATTAAGTTTTTACTATATGCATATAGGGAAAATCAATGACCCCCTGGGGCGGAGCCAATTTTGACCCCAGGGCTTTTATTTGAACAAACTTGATAGACACTTATTTGAAGATGTTTCATGCTAAATATCTTAGCTCTAGCTCTTTGGGTTCTTTAAAAGAAGATTTTATAAGTTTTTACTTAATATGCATATAGGGAAAATCAATGACCCCCTGGGGCGGGGCCAATTTTGACCCTAGGGCTTTTATTTGAACAAACTTGATAGACACTCACTAGAAGATGTTTCATGCCAAATATCTAAGCTCTACCTCTTTGGGTTTTTTAAAAGAAGATATTTTAAGTTTTTTCTATCGGTTGCCATGGCAACCAGAGTTCTGCATGGAATTAAATTCTTTGAACAATTTTTAAAGGTGACCACCAAAGGAACATTCCTGTGAAGTTTGGATGAAATTGGCTCAGTGGTTTATGAGGAGATGTTATTTAAAGAAAAAGTTTACAGACGATGGACGGACGGACGACGGACGAAAAGAGATCACAAAAGATCACCCTGTCACTTTGTGACAGGTGAGCTAAAAATTGGAGGTGTGAAATACAATACTGATTCTATTGGACTTTTCACACAGGTGCAAAACCTATGTTGGACTTGGTCATTCAGTATGTGTTTAACAGCTGTGTACTCATCCAATAGAATTCAGTTTTGTAGTCAATCATGTATAATAACCTCATAATATCATCAGAGCAATAATCAGAATTCATTAACCCATTACTTCATGAGCATTTTGTGAAAAATGGCTGTTTTCATTGAAAAGTCTCCCGTTACAAGTTCAAATTGCTATAATACTATAAAAACTGCTTCAACACTAATCAAACTTGGCACAAATGTTGACTGGACCATTGCCCTTGCAACAACATGCTCAGGCTTAAATTTTCTGTTACCATGGCAACGAGGGGACATCTCAAAATTGCCAAAAATCACTATTTTGCGTTGATTTTTTCCATCATAATTGATTTCAAAGTGCTGCAACTTCTCAATGGATTGAGACAGAGTCAAATGCTTTTC